ATAGTATATTTAGCATATATATATATATATATAAAGCATTACAACATTACTTTCCTCTCTTTTTTTTTTTTTTTCCTGATCCGTATGCCTATATATGTGTATATATATATATATATATGCATGTATATATATATATGTGTGTATATATATATATGTGTATATATATATATATATGCTAGTTTATATATTTATATGCAATCCTCTCAACCATGAATTCATATAGAGAATAAATATATATAAAGGTTAAATGATAATTAAAAATAAAAGAGAAGAAAGAATACACTCACATATTGTCACATATTGTTAGGTATTTATATTTATAATATATAAAAACACCAATATGTGAATGAAGGGCGGATGAATGGGAAGAAATGCAAATGAAAGGGATAAGGATAGTTTTGTCCATAAAAATATATATTTTAGTATCTTATAGAAAGTAGAAAACATCTAATTAAGGAATGCATTAATTATAATTCAACTCACCAATAAAAACAGACTGTAAATGAGCAGTTGCTAGGGCGATTGTCTTTAGCATTCCTCTTATTTAAATTATTAATAATACTCAATAAAATAATAAATACTAAAAAAATATAAGTTTTAATCAACCAAATTACTATATAATCCTAGTCTACAAAATATTAAATTATAACACACAAGTTTATATAGTAATTTTGGAACTTAAATAGAAATTTAGTTATGACACATATAATTAGACGTGTACTTTTCGACACAAATACGACACAATTGGCTAAATGAATTAATCGACCCGTTTATGATCCAAACCCGTTTTAACTTGTATCGTGTTAGCAGGTCGTGCCAAATTTTGCCACCCCTACTATTTAGGCCAATTAGTTTAATCTATTTGTCTAACAGAAGGGTTTTCTATACATTTGATATAATTGATAAGATCAAATATGAGTCTTATTCACTATATGAAGAGATAAAAGCCTTAAAAAATATGTTTGAGAATTTGAATTAAGAATCATTTTTCTATCCATTTGACGTTGTGGATGGGATTCATGTTTGACCTTATCCATTACTTCATCCCAAAATGCTTGGCCTTCTTTCCTTTTTGAATGTCCTAAAATACATGTTTCATTCCAAAAATGAATATATTATCTTTTACAACATTGTCAAACTATCTTTTTTACATTAATTTGACTGAAAAAGTATATTAATTGTTTTGTCTTTTAAAAAGGATAAATTTAAAAATTTACTCTTATTAAATTTATAAAATAATAATAAAAATCCACTACTATAAAAAAGTTAGACTCCCCAAAAACTCAATAATTTTGGTACAGATTGGAGTTTAAGGGAGGCAAGACAGCACACCAAGTGTTCATCGAAACACACAAGAACCTCTTTCATGACACTGTTTACCAGTTTGACCGCACTTTTATACATCATATATCGTCCATCGATCATATAAAGCGTCCACGACGATAGGCAGTGGCAGACGTGTCAAACTTAGAATCCATCACTGTATTTTCTTTTATGTTTTATATAATTTATAATTTTTGAGATTCAAATAAATTGGCTTCAACTATTATTGTCATCTCTCTTATGAGAGTTTCTTTAAAGAAACCATGTAATCAGATTTCTATGTAGCAAAAATTAATAAAAGATCTTTGTTATCTTAAATCCGTGTTTTATACTTGAGGTAAGTTACTAAAATTCCTGAACTATATTCGGATTTGCAAGTAATATAGTTGAATTAGATTTTGTGCATAATAAGATTTATTATAAATAGTATAGTTTAATTATAAGTTAATCATGTTAGAAAATATAATTATAAATCTATTTATTTCTACTTTTATGATAAACTGATACTAATAATAAAAAAAAGGTAAATGGTATAATTAATATTTAGATAAGAGAAAATATAATAAAAATAATTTAATAAGAAATGACAAATTTAATGAGAAATGGTAAAATAGTTTTTTGTGATGGGTTGGTCTCGATTGCAACAAATCAATAGTTTGGCAAGGGCATATTTGTAAAATAGCAATAGTTTAAAGGCTTTTTTTGCACTTTACCCTTATATATATTCTGTTTTGTAATTTTTTTATTTTTTTTATTTATATGTGTTTTTATACCTAAGCAAAAAACTCACAAACTCATTATTTGAGACTTTGGTTCATTGACAATTATTAGACCCTATGTTGATGAACTCATGAACCGATAGCAGGGGTGCACCTAATTTTGGTTCCTATAGTTCTCAGAATTAGAACCGGAAGCATTCCCAATGATTCCTAGAAATTGGAACCGAAACCGTAACCTTTAAAAAATAATAATAATAATAATAATAATAATAATAATAATAATTTAATGACTTTAAACCCAATTTTTAGTGCATTTTGATATATAATATTGTACATGAAAACATACATTTATTATTTATCTTTCTTTGTAGACATCAATAGGTGTATATATTAGTAATTATATAATTAAAAACATAATATATATAGTTATTATACAGTTCTTGTTCCTAACGGTTCCGATTCTCAAGTTTGGAACCCGAACTGGAACCGTTCCCAATTGTTCTTAGAAATTGAACTAGAACCAAAACTGAAGCACCGATTCCGATTCCTAATTGTTTCACCGGTTCTTTGTGCACCCCTAACCTATAGCTTAGAATCTATCAAGAGAAAATCTTCAATAATACTCTTAAAAATTTTAAAAAAAAATTATTGATTGGCATAATTAGTGATAAAAGGTTGCCATTTTTATCCATTTATGTGTTATGCGTGTTTTGTTTCCTATTTGTAGCCCAATGAATTTTGGACTTGGATCTTATAAGTTAATTTTTTTCTAAGTTATTCTGAGTTGAATTATCTGCAAATTGACACGTGACATTTAAAATCTATTTACTACTTATGTTAAACTACGCCAACTAATTTAAAGATTTTGAAATAAAAAAAATTCACCATAGTTTAACGAGTTAACATCATTCTGTCTCCCTCATATTTTCCAAAAAAGATCGCTCATCCTCTCTCTTCTTGCTTATTCCCACGATTGGGGGAATATTTCGCACCAAAAATGAATGTGCAAATTGAAAGTCTCTGTAATGGATTTTGCAATTTAAATTTCGAAAAAAAGATAAATCTTGGGGAATATTTCACACCAAAAATGAATGTGCAAATTAAAAGTCTTTGTGATAGAATTTGCATTTTAAATTTTGAAAAAGAGATGAATTTTGTAATTTAGATTTCAGAAAAAAAGAGTGAAAAAAGAGATAAATTTTGCAATTTAGATTTCAGAAAAAGAGAGTGAATCAGAACGATTTTGCAGTTTAAGAGGAGTAATGATACTTGCACCGATTTATTGCACCAAATTGTTGCCCCGAATATTTTTGATTGATTATTTATGAATAGTACATGTAAGTGGAATATCCCACTTCTTTATTTATGCAATTTATTGTAATGAATTGTCAAACCTATTTATTTTAATTGGTTTATTTATGCATAAATAAAGAAGTGGGGCCCTCCACTTACATGTACTATGCATAAATAACCAATCAGAAAACATTCGGTACAACAAATCGGTGCAAGTATCATTATTAGAGAGGGAGCGATCTTTTTTGGATAAGATGAAGGAGAGAAAACAATGTTTAAGTCGTTAAAGTATGAATAATTTTCCTTATTTAAACGGTACAGTTTTCAAACTTTGATAAATTTTTTTTTATCTCAAAACGTTACAGTTTTCAAACTTTTTTTAAATTAGTTGACGTTGTTTGATATATTTTAAATATCACGTGTTCATCTGCAAAAAATTCTAAGTTAGGATAATTTAGAAAATATTTAAGTTAGAGAATTGTAAATTTTTGCTACATTTGGAATTAAAATCAAATGCCCAACACTACCAAAATTCTGCAATGTCTATAAAAATCAAACGTCAGTCAAAAGCTACATGCCACAATAGCTAGGGCAGAAAAATAATAATAATAATAATAATAATAACAATATAAATCAGAAATAAAAATTTTATTTGAAACAGCCACAATTGTTGAATTATAATAGGTAATTAAAAAATACCTAATACAAAAAGATTTGATGGTTGAAAACTAATTAGGAAGATATTTAAAAATGCACACCCAAGTGCAAGGTGGGGAGTTAATGGTCATAAAAAAAATAAAATAAAATAAAAATTGCAAATGCAGTACTATTGAATTGATATGGAAAATAATTATTGCACCGAGTTACAGTCAATTGTTAGACTTATTCTTTTAATTGGTTAATTATGCAACAAATAAAGAAGTCACTTAATTATATTTGATATAAATAACCAATTAAAAATTATTTAGTTAGGCAATTTATCACAAGTATTCAGTGATAATTCACTGTTATAACAAATCGATGCAAGTATCATTACTGATCATACAAAAATAATAGTTGTATATTCGGACACTATTAACCTAATTAAAGAAGATAAAAAATTAAAAATATTATACACTTATAGTCAACATTTATATATTCAGAAACTATTAATAATTACCTATAAGAAAATGATATTATTGACTACTTTAATATCCGACTTAAAATGTAGTGTCCGGTTTCGACTCTTTGCACCTACTAATCTAACTTCTAATCCTTCTTGCCTTGTAATATATATATATATATATTCGACTTAAAATGGACATAGATAAAATATGACATGGTTATTTTAAAATTTCAACCTAAATCGGCATCATTATTATTCTCATTTGTTCCCATAAAATACGTTATAGATTTTTATTTGTCAGGCTAAATAACAAAACTCTTAACTATATATTGTAATATATTAAAAGGAAGTTTATGTAACATAATCTTTTATATTTAAAATTTACTAATTAATTTTCAAAATTTTAAAAAATTGTGTATAATAAATACAAATCAGTACCCAATATAAACAATGTTAATTTTTTGTGAAATAAAATACCAAAAAACAATTAAAATATAACCCCAAGGAAGTGAACGTGTTAAAAAATAATAATAATAATAATAATAAATAAATAAATAACCTATGAATTCACCGTTCACATCAATGGTGAAGTAATGCAAGCATTGACCCATCCTACAAATCTAGGTGGGAAATTTAGGAGAGTGACGGTCTGAATGATGAATTCCCAATTGATTGAATCGAAAGTTTTCTGCAAGGCAATCTTAATAGCACATCTTGGGGTACCCGAGTCCAAATGATAACAATGAAAGAGTTCTTGGGCTAAAAGGATATTGTCACTGATGTTTCTGTTTGGTATGAATTCTTTCAGGTACCTTACCATCATGGCTTTGTTATCTTTTCACTGTTTTCTCTCTGTAATCATTCAATTTATGTTTGTCTCACACGCAGTTTCAGTGTTAATCATTATTGATTCTAATTCAGCAGACCCTAGAAACTGATGGGACTTTCTTTTATTTTATCTATCGAATCCGCTATAAAGATGTATATCATCACACTAGGGTTTCAAGGTTTCTTGTTGGTGTGATTTAATAGTATACAATGAATTCAAGACTGAGGTTGTAGGTTTCTGTATATGAAGTTTTAGTAATCTGGAATTAATGGGTTTCATTCAGTTCAATTTCTTTAGTGATGAAGATAGGGTTTGTTAATGTATAACGGAAGAATGTTCATTCATTTTGGAATTTGGATTAAGTGATCTTGTTTACTTCTGGGGATAGAGTTGAGAATTGAGTTTGTGTTTTTCAATTTATGAATGTTTTGTCTTCTGGAATCAATGAGTTCTGTTCGGTTTATTGCTTGACAGAGTTTATTTATTTAAATTTTTTTTTTTAATTTTTTTTAATAGTTGTAATGTTGTGTTTTCCGCTGTATCTTACCCTCAAATTGATTTGGGATGTTTTATTTTTAGACCCCTTGGCCCTTGGACTGTTGATAAAACTATGAAAAACTATTAACTTAAATGCATTTTGACGCTGTTAAACAAAAGAGTTAGAGAACAATAACTTCTTGGTTAATTTGCAGGGAGTGAGTGCTGAAATATCTCAGTTGAGAGATGGTAGTGGCTCAAAACTGAGAGAATGGGATTAAGAGGGGCTTTAGGATACTAATAGTATTTGGTGAAGAAAAGGATAAGAGTAAATACACTATTCTACCTACGCTGATAAAATTACAGAAAGCTTAGAAACTGTTAACTCATTTTTGGCTGTTAAGCCTGACCTTTGCTTCTGGACTGCATAATAGACACCGCTTTTTTCTGAAGTGTCTGTTGATTTGAGCATGCATATGGACTTGATATTAGGAAATGAGTTAACTGTTTAAGGCATTTTGTTTCTTCGTTAATCACATGAATAGGATTTGGTGGCAAAAAGCGATGTCATTGGATGGTTCCCTATTACCTTTTGTGTTGTCTTGAGTTATTAGTCTTATCAAGTGATATTTCAACTTCTACATAACGTCTATCATCTTGGTTTGTAGGAATCCTCAAAATACTTAAAATTTTGTTTGTTTCTTTGATAGGATAAAAGGCTTTATTTTCTAAAACTACACTCGTTTATAAGTATGTCTAATTATGGATTTAGAATGAGTTCATAAATGACCTAGGTTTGATTAAGTTTTTCAATAATTTGGTTGCTCGATTAATCGAACTTCTTGATGGGCTGATTGAATTTTTAAACAAATTATAAGTTGAAAAACATGGAGCTACGACCAATCTTGGGATTGATCAAACCTATCAATCAAAGGTCTACAGAGGCAATGATCGATAGCTTGATCTAAGTTACTTGGCTTATCTATTGAAGGCTACCGAAGTAAACTTGATTGATTGAACATATTGGTTGGTTGATTGAATGTAGCAGATTGGAAACTTACAAAATTTAATAAATTTGTTTTAATCTTTTTCATATAGGACTCCTATATTGACCATGAGTATGGGGTTATAGTCAGTCTAGGGTATTAATTACGCATTATTAAAATTTATAAATTTTAGGGAGGGGAAGATTTGAGTATTAATCTAGTTTTCATACAACTCCATACTCTATTTGATTTATAGTCAGTCTAGGGTATTAATTACGCATTATTAAAATTTATAAATTTTAGGGAGGGGAAGATTTGAGTATTAATCTAGTTTTCATACAACTCCATACTCTATTTGATTTATTGATCAAAACAAGGAGCAAATTGGAAAATATTTTAGCAATCTGCAATCGTGTATTTTTGTGAAGAACAAGGAATTTAAAAACCATAAAGAGCAGACTAGTGGGTGATCAAGTTTGTTGATTGACCAGCAAGCAGAGCCCGAGGTGGAACATCTGGTGTGAGTCTGGATGAGAGGTAACTAGTTAACTATAGGGTTTAGAGTTAGGTACCAAGTGTTGTAAAATATTTCACTATAGTGGATTGTTCATATTTGGACCCAAGTTCCTGTAGTTTTTCCATTTCAAGGGTTTTCATGTAAAAGTCTATGTTTCTGCTTTGCTTTCTATTCATTGCTTTATGTGTTTGTATTTGTGATTGAGACGTGGTAACTGAATAATCTGAAAATTGAGCAAAGTTTAACTGAAATTTGAAAAGTCTGCTATTCACAGAAACAGTTTTCATAAGACCTATTCACCGCCCCCTCTAGGTCTGAACTGAACCATTCATACAATGATGTATCATAACCTAGGTGCTGGTTTGTTTACTCATGGCACCCTGCCACCCTCTTATATTTGTTCCACGTACTTTAGATTGGCTGCTGTAGGGATTACTGATTAGTCAATTAATATATTTGTAATACTTGGTTGGTTTGGACATAATCATTTAACATGCTAAAAACTCCTGGAGAAGGTCTATTAACTTCTTAGTTTAAGCTACTTAAAAGACTGTTTTTGTGTACCTTGAAATCAATTATTTATGAGGATTACAAAACACTAATTGCCAATATTGTCACTGAATTGCAAAAGACACTGATTGGCAATTCTATTTTGCGGTTCATGATGCAAGGAATACATTGTTGAAGAAAACCAGACTTGGGATAATACAAGTATAATCACTTTAATGAAAGAAATTTCCTTCATTGTTTTATAAGAAAATTCCGTATGTTCCTGTGTTACAATTAAGGGTCTCACTACTCAGAACTACATCAAGCATCCAACATGGTCAATTTTGATCCAACAAAGGCTTCAATTTTGCCTCAATATCCCCCAATCGGGGTCTAGCAGCTCACTCCATGCCTCAATAAACTGTCTGCAATTGCTTTTGCAAAGTGTAGTTGTTTACATCGTCTTCATCACTTTCATAGTTTTGGAATAATGATTGTAGCCCAATGCTTTGTTTGTTTTCCTGTTCTGCTGGCTTCTTACTATTAGAAACCACAGGAGGTTTCTTGACAACATTAAATTTGGTTTCTTGTTTCTGTCAGACAATCTGTTGGGTTATTAGGAAGCTCTTCAGAGACCTTTCTCTTCTTTAAATCACTAGTCAAATCTTCTTCTTCATCATCATCATCATCATCATCAAGATCTTCGTCATGGATTCTTTTTTGGACAGGGAGTCTTGATCCTTGAAATATTGATTTTATGAGCGCTTCATCCTCCTCTTCCAACTTCTTTTCCTTTTCCTCCGCCGCGCTGCAAAACCTCAAGCATCACATCTACACTGACAGTTGCCTGTCTCGACTTCATGGACTTCATCTCATCCAGTGCAGCAAGGATATCCATCTCTCTTTTCGAGTCCGAGGTTCTATTCTCCAAAGATTTCATTGCGTCGCCCATCTCTTCAGAATCCCTTTTCTGCTTCTCCTTGTCCGCTTCCTCGTCCTCTGCGCGCCAAGGTTCGAAATTCCTTGTTGCACCTGACTCGACTACATAGTCTGAATTTTGAGGGTCTGTCTTCATCGCAATCTCAGCTGATCACCTGGTGCATTTGAAGTAGAACCTAAATATTTGGATACCCAAGTATGTCTCGCCATTGACGTCTTCTTTACGGGAATTGAACTTGGTGCCCTTGTATATATAATTTCCACAGGTGTTGCAACGGATGCTCATGGGGAGCATCATCCTCACCTTTATCTGCTGGTTCTTCGGCTGTCTCCTCGGAGGTATCTTCGCCGGATCGAAGTCCGGCGGGTAGTACTTATTCAAAACTTTTCTCTCTGCCATCTCTCAACCGATCAATCAAAATTATTTGTAGAGAGAGAGAGAGAGTGATACTACAACTGCAGATATTGATATACAAAGAGAGAGAGTAGCTTCTTCCACTAATCTATGCGTCTGCCTCTGTCAATAAAGATTGTTCAATTATGGAGAGATTGAACGGAATTTGCGGAGTTCTATGATCTCTCTTATTTCTAAGATCAAACCCTTTTAATTAATTACCATATAAGAGGTAATGTAGTTTATATATCATGTGTGGAGAGCAAGTCATTACCATATAAGATAATGATATATATGATAATGAGGGTAGGTTAAGACAGTTAACAATATATATTCTTACAATAAATATATATATATATATAATATATTTTTCTTGTTTTGTTGATAGCATAAACTAATTAAGATATATACACATGCAAACTTTGGAAGTATATATTTTGGTCATTATGATTATTATTATTATTATTTTTTACCTGACAAACCTTAACCCACGAGAAGAGGTCCAGATCAGTGCGAATATCATAAATACATGGGGCGATGACAGAAGGGCACCAAGAACCCACTTGGAGAGTTTCCACAAGATTTTTAGCATCACATTCAAACCAGACGTTCTGAAAATCAAAAGCACGAGCTCACATGACAGCAAGTCTAAAAGCGAATGCTTCAGCTACCAATGGAGATGAAGCCGAAAATTGCTTAAAAACAACTGCCTTAAGAATGACCTGGACCAATAGGGAAATCCCAATTCATTGGGCCTTTCGATACAATCAAATAGAAAGCCCCAAGGGCGCCATATTCTAGGAGCCCAAACTATGTGATTGAATAAATCCTCCTCTATCTGTTGCGGGAAGCCTTCTGAATCTCTGAAAATAACTCCCCCACCCCCAAGGCTGGCTGAATGGAAAAAAGATGCACCAACATTGTACTTAATTTTGCCTAAAGGGGGAGAAGACCAAGAAAGATGGGAAATAGAAGGTTTGGGAGTCAAATTCACATTCAAACAACACCTCTGCGAATAAAAAAAAAAAACTCCCAGAAGCTTTGGACTGCCTTGGAGGTCACAATTGAAGGATTCCAAAGTTCACCTCAAAAATCAAACTGTTTCGAGCTTTCCATAAATAATGAATTAATTAATTCTATTATATATATAATGAATTTAAGCATCTAGAGGACGCCTATCTGGCACGTGAAGCTAATGAAAGTATTTGGTACTTATAGAATGATCCATGCATATATTACCCACAACATGTAGTGGTACAGTCAATATTCATTAATTGCTTGCTTTAATTATATTATTCGTTGTGGTATAGACATACTTATATATGCAAGGCCCTTCGGTGATGCGGAAGATTAAGAAACAAAAAGAGAAGCACACACGGTCTTATGAAGGCTCGACGATGACGTGGCAGACGTGTCAAACTTAGAATCCATCATTGTATTTTATTTTATGTTCTATTTAATTTGTAATTCTTGAGATTCAAATAAATTGGCTTCAACTATAAAAGTCATCTCTCTTATGAATTTCTTTAAAGAAACCATGCAAAAATTAATAAAAGATGTTTGTTATCTTATATCCCTATATTATATTTAGGGGTGGCAATTAGGTAGGTTTGGACGGATTTTAAGGTGATCATGAATGAACGGGTCAATAATAAGTCACTAACTTATTATCAACCCATTATGGTGGGTACCCAACCTAATTACTCAAATATTTTTAATTCTTGAATACCAAAAAAAAATAAAATTGTTCTTGTAACAGTTTGCCCAAAAAAAAAAAAAAAAAAAGAAAAATTCCCAAAAGTTAAAACAGTGCCAAATTTGTGAGAGAAAAAGATCAATATCAATTTAACAGTAATTATGTCGGTCAATAAAGTTACTTTTCAAAAGAAAAAAAATAAAAGTAAAAAGAGAGGAAATTACACTCTCTCTCCAAGACAAAAAAGGGGAAGAGAAGAGAAAACAGAGGAGGGGAAAAAAAATAAAAGAGAGAGAGAAATGGAGGAGAGAAAAAAATGTTTTGTTTAAGTGGGTTGAGATGGGTATCCACTATTCAGCTATTTATTTACCTGTGAATATAATGGGCACCCATTTTTTACCCATTCATTTAAATTGATTATCCAAATGATTTAATTTTAATAGACGGGATTGGATACTATCTTCTGAAGTAGTTCACATTCTGTTGCAAAATGCTCGAATTACACTTAATTTATTTTTATTATTAAAATAAATTATAAAAAAAAAAAACTCATACTATATTGATGACATATTTCCTATTAAATTTGCAAAAATTTATCTTTATTTTTTTGTACTAATTGTTTAAATAAAAATGTTAAGTAATTTTTTTAAAAAACAATTTAAGTAAATTCTTATTTTTTTCATAAATACATTGCATTAAAAAGAAGGTATTTTTTTATTTAAGTAATTTATTAATTTTTCATGAATATATTGTATGGTAATGAATTTGAGCTAAAAATTGATGGCAACCATAAGCTCAAAATAGGTCCACAACAATTTTACCCAAATTCAAGTGGAAAGCCCAACACTACCAAAATTGTGCAACGTCTATAAAATCAAACGTCAGTCAAATGCTACAAGCACAATAGCTAGGGCAGAAATAAATAATACTGCGTAATAAATAAATAAACTAACAATGTATATCTGAAATAAAAATTTTATTTGAAAAAGTCACAATTGTGATTATAATAGGTAATTAAAAAATACCTAATACAAAAAGATTTGATGGTTGACAACTAATTAGGAAGATATTTAAAAATGGAAAATGATATTTTAAATTTTCAACCTAAATAGGCATCATTACTACTCTTGTTTGTTTCTATAAATACATTTATTTTTCCTTCCTTAATTTTCAGTGTTTTAGAGTCCTTGATCATTATAGCAATTAACAAATTCCTATGAAAGTAATTGATGTAATAATGATCAAAGACACAATGTTTTATATATAATTAGGGATATACAATCTAATTATATATAGGAGATGTATGAAGTATCACAATAGTACTTACAAAGATGTAATATGATGTATATATATAATAGATACACATTTTAATATATATGATTTTAATTGTCAACAAAGATCCTAGATTAAGATAAAACTTAAAAGAGTAATAATATTTACACCAAACACTTACAGTGACTAACCGAATATTTATACAAAATACAACTAAGCAAGGCTTTACTTTCTTATTTATTGCATAATTGACCAATTAAAATAGTAGGTCTAGCAATCATTTTTCAATTATTTAGTGCAAGAATCATTTTTCAACTTAAAAATAAGATGACAACTTTATAAATAGTTAATTGCCTTATATTTTAATATGAGTCCCATTATATTAGACACATAAATAATCACATAGAATTAGTAAAGTAGTAGATTTTTATTTGTCGAACTAAATATCAGTACATACTGTATATTGATATATATTATCAAAGGATATATAATATATAACCATGAAGGGACTTAAACTTTCTTCATGAAATAAAATACCTATAAGTAATTATTTGTACGTTTTAGACCCTTATAAAAGATAGAAGTTTATGTAAAATGATCTTTTATATTCAAAATTTATTAATTAATTTTCAAAAAAGTTTAAAAATTGTTTATAAAAATACAAATAAGTACCCAATATAAACAATGTTAATTTTTTACGAAATAAAATACCAAAAAACAATTGTAAAATATAACCCCAAGGAAGTAACGTGTTATGTTTGAATGGATTAAAATCCCTAAAAATTATTATTTGTGTGTTTTAGACACCTATAAAGTAATCGCATCAGACGGTGGCAAAAAGAGCCACTAATCTTGCATTCGCATCGTCTACAACATACCCAGAGCATAACCGAAAAACAAACCATACGGAGAGTATAAAAGTGAGAGAAGAGGAAGGGGAAGAGAGAGAGAGAGAGAGAAATCAGTTGATCATCGTCCCAAACATTACTCTTTTCATTCTTTCAGGTACCTTACGATCATTGCTTTGTTATCTTTTCACTGTTTTCTTTCTCAGTAATCATTCAATTTATGTTTGTCTCACACAGTTTCAATGTTAATCATTATTGATTCTGATTCAACCGACCCTAGAAAATGGTGGGCCTTTCTTTTATTTCATCTATCGAAACCGCTCTAAAGATGTTTATCATCAGACTAGGGTTTCAAGGTTTCTTGTTGGTGTGATTTAATAGTATACATAGAATTCAAGACTGAGTTTGTAGGTTTCTGCATATGAGGTTTTAGTAATCTGGAATTAATGGGTTTCATTCAGTTCTATTTCTTTAGTGATGAAGATTGGGTTTGTTAATGTTTAACGGAAGAATGTTCATTCATTTTGGAATTTGGATTAAGTGATCTTGTTTACTTCTGGGGGATAGAGTTGAGAATTGAGTTTTTGTTTTTCAATTTATGAATGTTTTTTCATCTGGAATCAATGAGTTCTGTTCGGTTTATTGCTCGACAGAGCTTATTATTATTATTATTATTATTATTATTATTATTATTTTATATATAATAGTTGTAATGTTGTGTTTTTTGCTGTATCTTACCCTCAAATTGATTTGGGATGTTTTATTTTTAGACCCCTTGGCCCTTGGACTGTTGATAAAACTATGAAAAACTATTAACTGAAATGCATTTTGATGCTGTTAAACAAAAGAGTTAGAGAGCAATAACTTCTTAATCAATTTGCAGGGAGTGAGTGCTGAAAAATCTCAGTTGAGAGATGGTAGTGGCTCAAAACTGAGAGAATGGGATTAACTTATCGAAAAAAAAAAAAAAAAAAAAAAAAAAACTGAGAGAATGGGATTAAGAGGGGCTTTAGGATACTAATAATGTTTGGTGAAGAAAAGGATAAGAGTAAATACACTATTCTACCTACGCTGATAAAATTACAGAAAGCTTAAACATGGTTAACTCATTTTTGGCTGTTAAGCCTGACATTTGCTTCTGGACTGCATAATATAGACACAGCTTTTTTCTGGAATCGTATGTTGATTTGAGCATGCATGTGGACTTGATATGAGGAAATGAGTTAACTGTTGAAGGCATTTTGTTTCTTCGTTAATCAGGTGTATAGGAGTTGGTAGCAAAAAACAATGTCATTGGATGGTTCCCTATTACCTTTTGTGTTGTCTTGAGTTATTAGTCTTATCAAGTGATATTTCAACTTCTATATAACTTCTATCATCTTGGTTTGTAGGAATCCTCAAAATACTTAAAATTTTGTTCGTTTCTTTAATAGGATAAAAGGCTTTATTTTTTAAAACTACACTCGTTTATAAGTATGTCCAATTATGGATTTAGAATGAGTTCATAAATGACCTGGGATTGATCATCAGAAATCTCAATTTAAAGTTTGATTAAGTTTTTCAGTAATTTGGTTGCTCGATTAATTGAACTTCTTGATGGACTGATTAAATTTTTAAACAAATTATAAGTTGAAAAACATAGAGCTATGACCAGTCTTGGGATTGATCAAACCAATCAATCAAAGGTCTATAGAGGCAATGATTGATAGCTTGATCTAAGTTACTTGGCTTATCTATTGAAGGCTACTGAAGTAAACTTGATTGATTGACCATAGTGGTTGATTGATTGAATGTAGCAGATCAGTTTGGAAACTTACAAAATTTAGTAAATTTGTTTTAATCTTTTTCATATAGCACTCCTATATTGACCATGAGTATGGGGTTTATAGTCAGTCTAGGGTATGAATTACACATTATTAAATTTTATAAATTTTAGAGAGGAAGCTTTGAGTATTAATCTAGTTTTCATACAATTCCATACTCTATTTGAATTGATCAAAACAAGGAGCAAATTGGAAAATATTTTAGCAATCAGCAATCGTGTATTTTTGTGAAGAACAAGGAATTTAAAAACCACAAAGAGCAGACTAGTGGGTGATCAAGTTTGTTGATTGACCAGCAAGCAGAGTCCGAGGTGGAACATCTGGTGTGAGTCTCGATGAGAGGTAACTAGTGAACTACAGGGTTTAGAGTTTGGTACCAAGTGTTGTAATATTTTTCTCTATAGTGGATTGTTCATACTTGGACCCAAGTTCCTGTAGAATTTCCATTTCAAGGGCATGTAAAAGTCTATGTTTCTGCTTTGCTTTCTATTCATTGCTTTATGTGTTTGTATTTGTGATTGAGACATGTGGTAACTGAATAATCTAAAAATTGAGCAAAGTTTAACTGAAATTTGAAAAGTTTGCTATTCACAGAAACAGTTTTCATAAGACCTATTCACCGCCCCCTCTAGGTCTGAATTGAACCATTCGTACACTGATGTATCATAACCTAGGTGCTGGTCCGTTCCCTCATGGCACCCTCTTATATTTGTTCCACATACTTTAGATTGGCTTCTGTAGGATTACTGATTAGTCAAAACATTGACGTCAAATTCCCTGGTAATTAATAATTTCAAGCAATGGCAAAAAATGGGTGTCAGCTACTTTATTTGTGATTCCTTATGCCCCCTGATGTATGGTTACTTTTGATAGCATGCAATAAACATAGCCAACGTTCATACTTTATTTTAGCAAAGATGAGTGCATTAAATCCTTTGGGATTCTATTTTGGCCTTTTAAATGTTGAATTAGCTAACTCCGTGGCTTGTTATGATATTTTGTATAAGGTATTATATGTTGCTTATCAAAATTTGCAAGCAAAAGCTGGAGGGATTAATTAGTTTGTGAAGTACAGTAGCAGAAAAATTGAATTGCCATGAATCTCTTTTGCGAGTATCTCTCTGGTTTGGGACCTTGAGAAAATGTCTAGTGGAGAGGTCAGAAAAGTCTCATGTCAAGATATACAACTGGTAAGCTGCTGAGCTTGTATTTTGTTAGTGATGGACTGTTGTCTTACTGTACATTGTTTTTATTCCATTTTTTTCTGTCAGCCAGATAATGATACCAAAAAGGAACTTATAATATAAGTGGCTCAGCTTGTGCTTGCCTTGGCCACTTGTCAAGTCATCAAAATGATTGGACCATTTTGTACCAAAAGTCTGACAATACAAAATATAGCCTCTCTCTTAGTCCCTTGTCTACTACAATTAAGTAGAGTGAAGATGACGGACATGCTTTTTTTTTTTGATAAGTAAAATGTATTAAAAGGCGTTCAAAAGGGGAACGCGTCCCAAGCTATACAAAAAACTAAAACTATGATCTCAAGGAGCCCAAAAAGTCCACAATATCCTCAATGGAGGAAAAATCTCTCCCCCAACCCCAACAAAAAAGAGTACAAATAATAGAGAATTTCAACACCCCAATGGAGGACTCCTTCCCATCAAAAGATCTTCTATTCTGCTCTTTCCAAATGCTCCACCAAACACAAAAGGGGGTTACCCTCCAGAAGACTCTCGCCTAAGCCCCCACCCATTGGCCCCTCCAAATATCCAGCAAATCCCGAGATGTCCAAGGCATAACCCAATGAATACCAAACAAATCAAAAATGAGACTCCAACAATCATGAGCCACAGGACAATGCAGCAACAGATGATCCACTGACTCCCCATTCAACTTACAAAGACCACACCGATTAACAATAATATGTCTTCGTTTCCTCAAGTTATCCAAAGTCAAAATCTTGCTCCAAGCTACAGTCCACACGAAAAAGGCCACCCTAAGAGGTGCCTTAGACAACCACACCGTCTTCCACGGGAAGGAAGCGCCATGAAAACTAGAAAGGCATACAAAAAAAGACCAGACCTGGAACATCCCCTGAGAAGAGTGCACCCAAAACAGGGAGTCAACACCAGTGCCCTCCACCTCCTGTCTGTACAAGAGAGCCAACAAGCCAGTGACATCATCCAACTCCCAATCCTGAAAAGATCGCCGGAATTGCACATCCCAAGATAACCTCCCGTTATCAAGGCGATAGCAGTTAACAACCATAGTTTGTTTGTCAACAGCAATCCTGAACAGCCTTGGAAACAAAAGAGCCAGAGGCCTATCCGCGCACCAGGGATCCTCCCAAAACTGGACAAACCTTCCATCCCGAACTTTGAATCTAACATGTTTGGAAAACTCGTCCCATCCTTTTCCAATGGCCCTCCACACCCCTACTCCACTAGCAGACCTGACTGGCCTAGCTGACCACCCCCCTCTCTCCTCCCCAAAGCGACAGGAAATAACCCTTCTCCATAATCTATGCCTTTCACTGCCGAATCTCCAAAGCCACTTACCGAGGAGAGCACTGTTAAAGGGGGCCAATCTCCTAATCCCAAGCCCGCTCAACTGAAGAGGCCTGCAAACCTGCTCCCACCTGACAAGATGATACTTAAACTCCTCTCCACGACCCCCCCAAAGGAAGTTACGTTGCAACATCTCCAGACGGCCAACAACCGAGGCTGGAACCCGAAAGAGCGAAAGAAAATACGTTGGAAGGCTTGACAAGACGCTTTTTACTAGCGTAACTTTACCACCCTTGGAGAGATATTGCTTTTTCTAACCAGCTAATCTTCTTTCAACCCTCTCAATCACCGGGTCCCAACTTCCCACCCTCTTGGCCGAGTCCCCCAGCGGCAAACCCAAATACGAGATAGGGAAATGTTGTGTCCCACACCCTAAAGCAGCAGCCAGAGTGTCCACCTCCTGAACCTCCCCCACAAGGACAAGAACACTCTTGCCCACGTTGACTTCAAACCAGAGACAGCCTGAAAGCAAACTAAGACACATCTCAGATACCTCAACTGGGACACCTCTGCCTCACAAAAAACAACAGTGTCATCCGCAAAGTGTCATCCGTAAAGAGTAAGTGAGAAATTTCCATTTGCTGAACGGAGTCGGGACCGATCTTGAAACCCCTGATAAAACCAAATCCACCGCCCTTCTCATCAACCTACTAAGAGCCTCCATAACAATAATAAAAAGGAATGGGGAGAGAGGGTCCCTCTGCCTCAGACCGCGAGAGCTACCGAAAAACCCCGCGGGGGACCCATTCACCAACATCGAAAACCTGACAGTGGAAACACATGAAACAATCCATTTCCTCCATCTCTCACCAAAGCCCATCCTCTCCAACAGGTAGAACAGGAAATTCCAGCAGACATGATCATAAGCTTTCTCGATATCCAGCTTACAAAGAACCCCAGGAGCCCCACTACACAATTGAGAATCCACACATTCACTGGCAATAAGAGCAGAATCCAGGATCTGTCTACCCCCAATGAAAGCATTCTGGGACTCAGAAATAACTCCATCCAAGACCTCCCTCAAACGGAAAGCAAGGACTTTTGCGATGAGCTTGTAAATGCATCCAATCAAACTGATTGGTCGAAAATCCTTAATGTGAGAAGCACCACCCTTCTTAGGAATAAGAGCAATAAAAGATGCGTTCAGTGATTTCTCAAACCTCCCCGTGGAATGAAACTCATGAAAAGTGCCCATCACCTCGTACCGGACCACCTCCCAACTCTCCAACAGAAATCTCATAGTAAAGCCGTCCGGGCCTGGAGCCTTATCACCATTACAGCTCTTAAGGGCCTTCAGCACCTCTTCCTCCGAAAAGGGATTTTCCAACCCATCTCTTTCCAATGTAGAAATAGAATCAAAGTGAAGATCATCAAAACGTGGTCTCCATCGAAGAGGCTCAGAATAGAGCTTTTGGTAGAAAGAGACAATACCGCTACGCACCTCCTCCTCCGTAGTCAAAACCGCTTCATCCACACACACCCGCCCAATGTGATTATTCCTCTTATGAGCATTAGCGGTTCTATGAAAAAACTTGGTATTCCGGTCTCCCTCTTTGAGCCATAAGGCCCGAGATTTCTGACGCCACGAAATTTCCTCCAAAACTGCAATCTCCACACATTCTGCCTGACAAGCTGCTCTCCTACTGCGTTGGGATTCAGCAAGAACACCCTCCCCTTCCAGTCTATCAATCTCGGCAATATCAGCCAAAGCCCTATTCTTTCTCCACTCTAAGCTCCCAAAAACCTCCTTATTCCACCTTTTAAGATTATTTTTCAGAATATGAAGCTTTCTTGCAAGAATAAAACTCGACGTGCCCACCACCAGGTTCTCCTCCCACCACGAACTCACAAGTCCCTAGAAGTTATCCGCACGAAGCCACATATTCTCAAATCTGAAAGGAGTACAACGAGATCTCAACCCTCCACAATCCAGAACCAAAGGAATGTGATCCGAAGTCACCCTAGCCAACACAGCCTGAACAACATCCGGGAACTTCTCTTTCCAGTCACCGGCGATAAAAAATCTATCAAGACGAGAGAGAGTTGGTGCTTCCCTTCCACTGGACCAAGTGAAAGAAGCTCCCTCAAGAGGAAGATCAATAAGCTGATGACCATCTATAAAGTCAGAAAATTGCATCATAGCCTGAGTCCATGCACCTCCTGAAGATCTCTCCGCTGGAGACCTCACCGCATTAAAGTCACCTGCCACACACCAAGGAAGAGACCATCTATCCTTCACCCCACTCAACTCCTCCCACAGACCACCCCTCATATCATCATCAACTGGCCCATACACCCCAGAAAAGCCCCAAGTGAAACCATCCTCCTCCATCACAAAGGCACAAGACAGAGAAAAAATCTCACGAAAAACATCCACCTTAGCCATCCATCTTCTATCCCACATAATGAAAACACCGCCTGAAGTCCCAACAAAATCCAGCGCCTCCCATTCCACAAACCGGTTACCCCACAAACTCTTCACCATCCGATCAGTCATATAATCGATCTTAGTCTCTTGAAGACACACCAACTGCACCCCCCATTTCCTCACCGCCATCTTCACCACCTTTCTCTTGCCCGGACCATTAAGGCCACGGACATTCCAAGATAAAAGTCGTAGCTTCATAAGGAAACATTCTCCCCTCTCCTTCCCCCCCTCAACCACCCTATCATAATTCACCTCAGAAACCAGATTCCTAAGCTCCCTTTCCCCTTTCCACAGAGAAAGGTTTTTCTTCTTCCGGCTCCTCCTTCTGGAAAACTGAATCATCTCCCCCTCTCTCCCCACTGCCGTAGCCTGAAGAATTGCTAAGGCTTGATCCCGATTGCCGTTGCAAGAGACACCCAGAAGTTCACTAGTGACCCCAATATTAGCCTTGACCCATTCCTTTCCAGTATCCTCAGCTTCCTGTCTACACACCTCACTGCCCAACTCCTCTGGAAGAACAATAGCCAGTGGGTCCACCACCCCCAAGTTAGCATGACCCTCCTCCCACAACATCAGATCAAAAGACCTGCTCCCATCTCCCTCACCTCCCTTATCCACCACTGCCTCCTCCACATGAGAAGACCAGTCCTTACCATAATCCAAAACACCATCCCGGATGAAAGGGTCCGGATTGCAATCAACAGTTTGAACATCAGGTGAAAATTTGTGCCTCTGCAGTTCCTTAACCAAAAGAGAGGCTGATTCATCGCTGAGGGAAATATGAATGTCTTTGCCCACGCAAACAGTCACCAAATCAGACACAGAACCCTTCAAACAAGTCATTGGGCCATCTTTTAGAGGAGAACAAGACCTTGCCGGTCCATTCAAAAGAAGCTTGGCCAACCTGCCCATTTCCTCCCCTGAGGAATCATTATACTGAGACGTGGAAGAAAACTCAGAGCATGTCTCAGCAAACCCGGCACACAACTGGTTGAAATCCCTGTCACCAGACAAACAAACTGTCCCATCCCTTTCTGACGGCCCAACATCCCCAAAATCAGAGCCAACCGTAGAGCTCCTCACATCCACCGAGTCACCATCTAAAACATGCGACAACACCTGCTGCCTCCCAACAAAAACCTCCTCCCCCTTGCTTCTCAACAACTCACTAGAAGGAATAGAAGAAGGGAAAGAAACTGATGGAGCGTTCCGGACATGAGAAAAAGACAACTTACCTAGGCACGGGTAAGAATCCTTGCGGGCGACCCACTTCTGTTTGTCCTTTCTGGTCCATCTCTTTCTAGATTGCTTCAAAGGATTTCGAGAGAGACCCTCCTCCTTCATGGCCTCACAATCACCATTCTCTTCTTCACCCAAAGACCCAGACTGCAGAGAATCAAATCTGTTACCCGAGAGCCTGTTCTGACAACACGAACCATGCCGGAAAGACTTCGGACAAACCCCATCCCCTTTCGTCATGCTCAAACTCACCTTCGCCCAGCTCGTCTTTTCACTCCTCGACCAAGACCGTGATGCCGAGCATCTCTGAGATGTGTCTGGATAAGAGTCTTGAAAAGAGTGGCTATGATTCATTTCTGAGCTGGGCTGCCCACCTTGGAATGAAATTGAGAGGTTTTTATTTAGGCCCCATTTAACCACCCTCTCCTTAGCCAATCTTGGCTTAACCTGGGTTGGTCCAGCAACAACAAGAGGCCCAGCAAGCTTGAGGTGTCCATCCCTCTTAGCGGGCTTTGAGGGCCGCCCCAGCCCAGAAGGAAGCCTAGAACCACCCCCTTCATGCTTTTCCTTGCCAGCCCCTTTCGAGCCTTTAACATGAGGCCCACATTGAAGAAGCCCAACCTCATCAGGCCCAAAAGAATTAGAATTCAAAAAACTCCGAGAGTCACGAGGCTCCGCACGTGGAGGGGCAGCTGTCTTCCACACACAACGGTCGTCGTTCCTCCTCCAACCACGTGTCACATGAGAATCCTTCCCATTACCACTCGCCTGAAGCGCGTGATGTCTCCCACGTCCCTGACCTTGAGTCCGGCTGTACTGCACCTCCACCTTTTGGATCTCCGACTTAGATCTACCTCCACCACCAGATCTGCGAACCGGACGGGAGGCAGCCGACAACGCCGATGATCTTAAATCACCATTTCCAGCATAAGTCCCAGTCAGCGGGACCATGGTCGGAGCAATCTCTTCAGATAATGAGATTCTGAATGCCCACTGACCATCCTCCACCACAATACTCGCCGGAATCACACCACCGTCAGCCACAGTTGTCACAATCCTTTCCGTGTCGCTCATCTCGAAGGCCTCCACTTCCCAAAAGCCACCACACACATCTCCAATGGCGATGAAAAGCTTCTAGCACCAAAGATGCAGCGGCAGACCATATAAAACGACTCGCCGGAATTTATTCCTCAGCCTTAGACCGGAGCACCCAACCCTGTAGTACCAGAGATCAATAAAGAGCTGAGCCTCACCCCACACTTTCTTGCCCCAATCAAGGACCTTATGAGCCTCCAACGCCGACGGGAACCAGAACAGCAAGAGCCCGTCCGGCAAGAAGTTAACCCTAACCCCGCTCGAAATTAACCAGGTCTTCGTGGCCCAATCTTCAATCTCCTCCAAGGAACCCACCCCTCTGTCAAAACGCCGAACGAGGCAAGCTCTAAGAACCTGTTCGCGAGAGGAAGTGCTGAGCCTATCCACCCTAAACACATGATCCTTCTGAGAAGAAATCCGATTCACCTCCCCTTTAAAATCCAGGTGAGGAAGACGGGCTACCTCCAAAAAAGATAGCTTCTGACAATCGAACGCTTTCATGAACAAACCACAACCAACGAAGCAGCGAAACCACCAAAGAAAGAGAATGTAAGAAACAAAAGCAGTAAAGGATTACACCGGAGTTAATGACTCCGATGATTGGTCGGAGTAGTAGACTCCGGCCGCATCTCTACCACGGCAAGCTTCCTCCGGCAAGCTATCTGATTGTTTTCTGTAATCTCTTAACATTGCACCTCCCCTTTAAACCACGCTAGGGCCAAAAATACAAAGGAATCACTTTTGACGGACATGCTTATCAGCTATCTCATGCAATTTTTTGAGTTTTATAAATATAAAAAGAATTAATAAACCAAGCCACCTTGCTTTGTGTGTGTGTGTGTGTGTGTGTGTGTGTATGTGTGTGTATGTTTGTAGTACTTGGTTGGTTTGGACAAAATCTTACAACATGCTATTTTTTGTGTGTTACATGCAATTTTTTGAGTTTTGTAAGTATAAAAAAGAATTAATAAACCAAACCACCTAGCTTTGTCTATATAAACAGTCTTTATGTAGCTTAAACTAAGAAGTTAATTGACCTTCTCCAGGAGTTTTTAGCATGTTATATTTTGTAATACTTGGTTGGTTTGGACATAATCATATAACATGCTAAAAACTCCTGGAGAAGGTCAATTAACTTCTTAGTTTAAGCTACATAAAGACTGTTTTTGTGTACCTTGAAATCAATTATTTTGAGTAGACTGGCAAATGTCAAGATCAGGTTCATTTTATTTTGTTTATCATTTTATTTCCAATTTCAGGTGCAAAATCTTATAGAACACTGTATCCAATTGTATATGAGGCGGAAAGAAGTGGTGAATACCCTCTTGGTTCAGGCGAAAGTAGAGCCTGTTTTTACAGAACTTGGTAACTGATTTTATCCTTGCATATCTCCTTCATAATGATGCTTTGTGAAACCATGGCACATATGAAGACTAGTCTGTTATCACTATTTACTTTTTGTTGTTCTTCTGATGGTTAACAAAGTAAATAAAAAAAAATAAAAATAAAAAGACATTGTTTGACACTTCTTGTTGTAGGGACTTACCATAGGCAAAGGTCAGAGGATATATTTTTTCTTATTTTATGTTTTTGTATTTTTGGGGATAGTCTTGGATTGATTGAGAATATCAGAAGTTCAGTTTCTCCTCTCTACTTTTCTCCTCCTCCTTCCTCTTCTTGCTGCTGCTTCTTCTCAATTCTTCTTTCTTATCTATCTCATCCTTCTATCTCTGCTGTTGCATCATTTTGGTATCAGAGCACTATGGTCCGTCTTCTTATTCTGCTTCTTCAATGTTTCTTCTCTCCTGTTCTCTTTCTATCCCTCTGATCTCTCTTCTTCCGTCCCTATCTTCTCTCTGTTCTCTGTTTGCCTCTCAACTGTCTTCTCTCTAGGTTCTCTCTCTCTCTCTCTCTCTCTCTCTATCTATCTATCTCTCTCTCTCTAATTATCGTATACAACCTCTGTTCATAAACCCAGTCAAAGCAAAATTGAATCAGTCCAATACGAACGCCAACCGGATAGAAAACATTGTAGCTATTTTCTTAATTCCATTTTTTGGTCATGCTCCTCCAAATTGTTGGGGATTTATACTATTGGGGAGCTTTAATACTATGTTTATCAATCTTTGTAGTAGCAATTTTCTTAGGGAGGAAGACAATGTATTTGTGCGGAAGATGGATGGTTTCTATTCCTGTCTTGGATTTTTTTTTTTCAAAGTTGGACAGGTGTAATGTTTGTTCACTCCTATGGTTGCCTTTTCATTTTGAACCTTCCTAAAGATATCTGGTTAAGGTGGATCACATGACTATGGGGGTAGTGGGAGGGGGGTGGGTTGGAGATTCCTAAAATGTTTTGCAAGCATAACTGGTGAAGAAGAATTTTAGCATTCTTTTACTTTATTGTACAATGTCCGAGGAGCTTTGTACTTCATTATTTTCCTTGTTCTGCATTACTTTAGTCTTGTCAAAACATAAAACATTTGTTATTGATGCTCAGTGATAGACAAAGGCAGGAGAGAGGAATAGGAAGATTATTTGGAAAGTGGTGCCTATTTGTTTTCTTTGGATTGTGGGATAAGAGTGGAATAGGGGATTTATATTTATCCTTTTTCCATAAATAGGCTTTCTGATGCAGGACAAATAGACTTGTTGTAGTTTTGATTTAGAACCAGAAAGAAAGAAGGGGATGAGAAGGAGAAGATGAGAGGAGACTAGAAGAAAGGGGTGAGGAGATAGACGAAGGGGGTGAGAAATTAGAGTGAATAGGTAGGTTGGACAGATGGGGGATTGAGAAAAGCAAGAACACTGAGAGAGAAGAAAACAAGGAGAGGTCTCAAACTTACAAATATTATTCAATAATGCAAAGCTGAAAATGTCTGATTACATATGAACCTTTATATAGGCACAATGTTAAGCAAACCCTAATAAACCCTAAAATAAGAAAATACTAAAATATCCGAAAATTCAAACATTACCAAAAATAACAATAAACTTAAATTAATTTACTAAAACCCCTTAATTTTATCTCTTTCCCTCTTGTGCAAAAGTAATGCTAAAGCATGTGCAACTCATGTTAGAATCATATCTTGTTCCCCATCACTTTCTTTCCTGGATTTTCTTGGTTGCTCTAATGTAAGTTCTGTTTTGTTGAAATATCTCCAACATATATGGGTTTTGCCATTGCTTTTCTTTACAGTTCTCTCATGAACCTTGAACTAGGGTAGAGCTTGAAAATCTCAGTGCATTATTTGATTCCATTGGAAGTAATAAATTTATCCACAGATGCCGCAAACCTTTCTCCTAGTCCATGTCAAACTCAAAACCTTAATAAGGTATGAGTCATGTGAAAGGTACTATTAAAGAACAATTTAACTTGTGAAGCATTGCAACCTTATCAAATAAGAAATGATGATTACCTCCAAATTTTTTATGGCTTGAAGGTTTTGAAAATTTGGTTTACTCACCATCTATATGGATGGAAGGCTCATATTGAGGTTATTATTTCACACAAATTTTTAACCATTGATTGGATCATTTTGTTTATTCATTTCTTTCTATGTTTTGTTGGTAACTTGATATTCAACTAATGAAAGGAACATTATTACGGTTGGATGATTATTTTGCAGTATGTGATCAAACCACAGTAAAGGTCAGTAGAAGGAACATATTTATATTTAAACTGGGTTGACGGGCAAGAGGAGGCCACACTAAAATCTTTTGCAAAATTAGCATGAGGCACTGTATATCTGAGTGTTATTGTCAAGAAGCAGTTTAACTGGCTATATAGATGGGATGCACTGCACAGTGAAAATGGTTCCCCTTATAGTTGTTGGTTGCTTCTTGAAATCTGATGTCTTAATCCTGTTCCTTGGGGTATGGGGGGCCATTGGCTAATGCATTGCGTGTGTAATAGCTAATATATTGCACACAGTTGTTATGAACTTTTTGAATCCATTTTATATTAGAAGATGCATATTTGCATTTCTTGCGCATTTTTTTTTTTTTCAAGTCACAACTCAAATTTTTAAAGTTATGGGGAGCTCTCTTTAAGTGGCTGTAGAAAAAAATTATGTCATTAATTCCTGGAATCTGGATAGCTGCCACTAGTCATATGGAAGAATGACAACAATAGGGAAGTAACTACCCGAATCATCTGGATCCTGAAGCTGTAGTCTATGTCATGTAATTGTAATCACACACACACACACACTTATTATTCTCTTCAAGAGTATAATGTATTACTTTTCTTCCAGTTTGGCAAAAACTTGAAGAAGAAAATCAGGAATTTTTCAAGGCATATTACCTGAGATTGATTTTGAAAGAACAAGTAATTGAATTCAACAAGTTGCTTGCTAGTCAGGATGAAATGACGCGTCATATGCGCCCAAATTTAGTTGCTCCTACACGCATGGTTAATGGATCTCATATTTTACCAAGTGAGTTTCTCTACTCAGTTTTTAATTATGCTTGAACTGTAGTGGGATTTCCTTGTATATGTATATGAATGGATAAATCTCTCAAAATTGGCTTGTTCGGGAAACTCTTTGTTCTATTTACAGCCATAGATTTCAATTAGAAACACGCATTGCACGAGCCTGATATTGTCTTGATTTTTGACATTCTTAATATCTGTCAGTTTGATTACATCCTGTTATTGCAGTTAACTGCAATTTCTTTTCTTTTCTTTTATTATTATTTTTTTTTCATTTTTCCTTCCAGAGAAGTTAACCTCAATTTCAGTCAGATTTTCATTGTTTGGTGCTATCTCCGAAATATTATTATCTCTTTTTGTTTTTACCGAAGGTTTTAAACAATGCCATTACATTTTGGCAATACCATTACAAATCCTTATATCAGCCGTAATGAAGGTCTGTAATGGACCATAATCGCGGTGAACATCTCATACCCCCTTTTTAACTCTTCTTCTCACTTTCCACAATTTCAGCTTCTAAACTCTCTCAAAACATTACAGTAATAGATCTACTCTCCAAGATTTATAATACACATGTTAAATCTTGAATCAGGAGTTTGGAATATTTCATTCATTCTGTAAGTTTGAAGTTTTCATAAATATTCTCCTTTCAAAAATATATTTCGTCTATATATTTTACCTCTACTTGCAACCACAATTCTAAAAGCGTCAAGTGTGAACTTCTATTAAGAGTTGTACTAGGCCAAAACCTCTACCACCGAAAAGCACTCTTTTATCTTACCAGACACAACTACAAGTGAATGTTTAAAGTAAAAGTGTTTTTAGCCTGTCGAACAGCAACACCAAACATGCAGTAAGTGTGATAGCGGTTGCACTTGTTGTGATGATGATTGAAATTCTCTCTCTCTTTCTCATGGTGATGTGGGTGATTTGGATTAAAAAATTTGTAGAGAAATGTGGTTTTGAATCATACATGGGAGGAGGTGTTTTTTTCACTTCTGTGTTAGTTATGAAGAATTGTTAGAACTCTTATGTTGAATGGCTTCATTGCCCTTGGTTTTATGAAACTTTTCTACCATGGGAGAAGTTAAACCTAATTTTCATGGTTCCTCTCTTGAGAATCCAGGACAAGTAGGAATGTGTGGCATTTTTAGAGATCAAGCTGAGAAGAATATTTCAAAGCTGGCTCAAGATTATTTAATCAAAGCAGAGATCTTGTGTTTGAAGGTCTTAAAACAGCTGTCTTTTTTAGAGTGATTTATATCTTGGTGGAGAGGGATTTTTTGCGTTATGGTGTTCTTGGCAGTGAGATCACTTTATTATAGGCTGGTATATGGCAAGATGGACTTATTGGCTACGAGTGGGGCACTGGGGCTACATTGTTGAGTGTGTTATGGAAATGGTTGTATGGGTACACCTAGGCCTCAAAAAGCTCCAAGATCGGCAAAACTTAGCCAAAGCACCTTTACCTTCTTTTAGGCACATATAAATCCCTCAGGCGTGCACTTTTTAGTAGGCTCCAAGCTTAAACAATGCATGATTTTATTTTCTTAATCATTGGGTTTTTATTTTTTCGTAAATGACAGAATATTCTCTATATATATCTTTGTTATATTTCATAGATCATATTTATAAACTTATCAGATAATTGGTTTTTGAAATTCATGAGTTTGTGGTTGACTGTATGCATCAAAGGTGTCTATTTTTTTTATTAAAATATTTATGATAATGTAATATGTATTTAAAATTTGTATGATTGTAGCATTTTATAATTGCACATTTGTGATGAGAAGGGCTGTGGATTTGGGGTTTATTAGGGGTTTCAAGCTTGGCCCTAAATCGGTTCAGCAGATGGAGATTTCTCACCTTCTTTTTGCGGATGATACTATTGTTTTCTGTGAGGCAGAGGTGTCCCAGTTGCAGTATTTGAGATGTGTTTTGGTTTGTTTTCAGGCTGTCTCTGGTCTGAAAGTCAATGTGGGTAAAAGTGTGCTTGTCCCTGTGTGGGAGGTGCAGGATGTGGATTCTCTGGCTATTGCTTTAGGCTGTGGGACGCGACGCTTCCCTATTTCTTATTTGGGTCTACCGTTGGGGGACTCGGCAAGGAGGGTGGGAAGTTGGGACCCGGTGATTGAGTGGGTCGAGAGAAGATTGGCTGGTTGGAAAAAGCAATATCTCTCCAAGGGTGGAAAAGTCACGTTAGTGAAGAGTGTTTTGTCAAGCCTTCCAACATACTTTCTCTCGCTTTTTAGGATTCCAGCCTCTATTGTGGGAAGACTGGAGATGCTCCAACGGAATTTCCTTTGGGGGGGTTGTGGGGAGGAGTTTAAATATCATCTTGTCAAATGAGATGAGGTTTGCAAGCCTCTTCAGCTTGGTGGTCTCGGAATTAGAAGACTGGCCCCTTTTAATAATGCTTTTCTAGGCAAGTGGCTTTGGAGGTTCGGCAGTGAAAGACATAGATTATGGAGAAAGGTCATTTCTTGTCGTTTTGGGGAGGAGAGAGAGGGGTGGTCAACTAGGCCTGTTAGGGCTGCTTATGGTGTGGGGGTGTGGAGGTCCATTGGGAAGGGGTGGGATGAATTCTCCAAACACATTAGATTCAGAGTTCGAGATGGAAGATTTGTCAGGTTTTGGGAGGATTCCTGGTGTGAAGATAGGCCTTTGGCTCTGTTGTTTCCAAGATTGTTTAAGATTGTTGTTGACAAACATGCTATGGTTGCTGATTGCTATCGTCTTGATAGCGGGACGTTGTCTTGGGATGTGCAATTTAGGCGACCTTTTCAGGATTGGGAGTTGGATGATGTCACTGGCTTGTTGGCCCTTTTGTATAGATAGGAATTGGATTCCTTGTTTTGGGTGCCTTCTTCTAATGGGACGTTCCAGGTCCGATCATTCTTTGTGCGCCTCTCTGGGTTTCATGGGTTGCCCTTCCCGTGGAAGACGGTATGGCTCTCTAAGGTGCCCCTTAGGGTGGCCTTTTTTGTGTGGACTGCAGCTTGGAGTAAGATTCTGACTTTGGATAATTTACGGAAGAGAAGACATATCATTGTTAACTGGTGTTGTCTTTGCAAGTGTTTTTGGGAGTCCGTGGATCACCTTCTGTTGCATTGTCCTGTTGCTTATGAATGTTGGAGTCTTTTGCTTGGTTTGTTTGGCATCCATTGGGTCATGCCTCAGACTTCTCGAGGATTGCTAGATATCTGGAGGGGCCAATGGGTGGGGCTAGAGACTTCTGGAGGGTGACCCCTCTTTGCGTTTGGTGGAGTCTTTGGAAAGAGCAGAACAGAAGATCTTTTGATGGGAAGGAGTCCTCTATTGGAGAGCTGAAATTTTCTATTATTTGTACCCTTTTTTGTTGGGGTTGGGGGAGGGATTATTCTTCTTTAGAGGACATTGTGGACTTTTTGGGTTCTTTGAGTTCATAGATTCTTTTTGTGTATATCTGGGGATGCGTTCCCCTTTTGAACGCTTTCTAATACATTTTACTTATCAAAAAATAAAATAAAAATAAATTTTTTTTTTTTTTTTTTGATAAGTAAGATTTAATAAAAGGCACTCAAGAGGGGAGCACTCCCAAAAGAATACACAAGACGCCAAAGGCGACACATTTGTGATAGTATTTGATTCATGTGTATATAGAAATGATATATATGTATTGATTTAGTTGACTCTCTTAGTTGACATGCCAAAAAATCCATTTTTTTAAAATAATCTTGCTTATGTTGAAATATTCGAAATGTATCTTGACTTAAATGAATACATATACAAATTAAAAGGATATATGTACATTGCTTCAGCTAACCTACTGAATTGAAATGCTGAAATTTAGCTCTTTATTTTTTTTCCTAGTTGGTACTCACACACATTTGTCTCTTTTGAGACTTGAACCCTTGACCTCCCTTTGGGAAGTAAGAGGCTGTTACCGCTAGGCCACTGGCCCGTTGATAAATTTAGCTTATTTTGACTTGCTTTGTTTGTGTTACATTTGTAATTTTTTTTTCTATTACAGCTATATTTAGTATTGCATTTATATGACGCACATGCTTTAATTCTCTCAGGCTCACATCTTACATTGCGCCTTGCACTCTGACCCTAGGAGACCTTGGTGTTTGAGTGAGATTGGGCCTTAATAACTACACTAAAGGGTCTTAACTATAATGTTGATTTTTGGTTCTTGATTTTTGTTTTTTGGGTCCGGGAGCCTGGTTTTATTTTTTGGTTTGTTTTATTTTCGTTTTAACGACCTGTCCACTTCTGTAATTGATTAATTATTTTTAGTATATCTTGTTGTTTCCTATAAGAAATGATGTGGTTTAATTAAAATTAATTGATGTTTGGAAAATCAAAATCTTATAAGTATTATAGTCATTTGTGTACCATTCTTCACCAGGATCACCATTAAAGATGTTTTGTTAGATTCAGGGAACATAAGATAGAAGGTGAAGAATGGTTAAAGAAAGAAAGTTGAAGTCATTCAAGAGATGAAGTGTAGAGCTGGAATACACAAAATTTTGTTAAATTGCGACAATCTTGATTCCAATTTTTTTAAAACTTTAAATAGATGCCAACTTTTTCTTGACTGAGACTAGTTTGTTTCATATACTATGTGATCAAAAGCTAGATAAGTATGTTAATAGCTTGTAGTGATTTGTGGATGACTGTTTAAAATTTTGTTTTATCGCATGAAGTACCCATCCTAGGAATAAGTTAATGATGTTTGAACTTCGTGCTTGAGTTAGGAGAGAACAGATCTTTTGTATAAAATTTATTATATAAATGAATAGGCAAGTGGTATAAGACCCCAGGGAATTTTCCTGGTGATTGCCCGGTGCATGTGGGTTGGGGGCACTACATGTATCCGTTGGTGGATTATGGGTTCTCTAAGAGGCCCAACAAAAGACTTTGCTTCTTAGTTTTTATTTTTGATGGGACTTTTCTCAAGTTAGGAGAGAACAAATCTTCCGTACAAAATTTAGTATGTAAATGAAAAAAAAAAAAAAAAAAAGGTGGTATAAGACACCCTTCTCTGCTTCTTACTTTTTCTATTTTCAATTAGGGGGAAATTTTTTTATGTTTTTAGAGTGCAAGGACGGAGTTGACATCTTGGTCAATTTAAGGGTACAAGTGCTTCTGGTAGTACCATGCTTTACATAATAATTTGTCTATTGCAGTCCTCAAACTCACATCTTTTACGAAAATTTCAATTGTCAATTTTGGTGACTATAAAGTTCCTTCATTAAAAAAAATTTCCCCACCCATCCTTATCTTCTAGGATTAAAAGATGTTAATGGAAGGCTGAATGTATCTAAAATACTAATAGTGTTCTTTACATTTTCTAATCTATCATCATTTCAATATTGCAGTTCAAAAATTATGTTCCATGCTAAATCCTGTCCATCATGTTTACATCATGATGCATGCTTTAAAGATTTCCCGAGTGTATGATTATGCTCCTTAGCTACATGTTTCAAAATTTCAATTCATGGCTGTTATTTGTAGATTTTCATGACTGCTATCCTTATGAAGGAAATAAGTTTGTTAGATTTACCCATTCGTTTCCGTTACTGCTTTCCTTTTGAAGGAAATAGGTTTGTTGATACATGAGGATAACCATATAAGTATATTGTAAATGTTAAGGCAAGTTGGTCTCTACTTTTCTGGCTTCTCCACTGTGCTACTGTAAACGTGAACTAAGCATATATAAATATGTATATATTCATCTACAGTATTTCTGATTTGTTATTAGTAGTTTAGAGTTTGCTAGCCATTAGAACTCCAGTTTTCTATAAGTTGGGGGATAGTTTTGTTTAGTATTCTGTGCTATATTCCCTTGAATATTTTCTTTAAAATTTAATCTTGCAATGCCATAGTAAATCCCCGGACTTAATTTCTGTAACTCTCTCCAACAGCGCCCCATAACTCAGCCATTTATCCCCCAGAACAAACGGGACCTGCTGTGAAACCAGAAGATATGTGCCAGCCAGTTGGTACCAGTTTTCCTAATGCATTCTTAAACCATGGGCCTTCAGTGTACTCGCGCATGCAAACTGCTTTTGATATGCCTGCTCATGCAAGAGAGATCAATGTTTCGCCAAATATGCTGTTTGCTCAGAACTCAAATGTGGGAATACAAGGAATGAATGGTGGGATGATCACGTCTGAACTTGGCTATGCAGGCAACTCCACATTGATGTTTGGTGCTGATAGGAACGTTTTGGAAACACATCCTGCAATCGAGGGTGCAACTATGTCATCTTTCCGGAGGGTAGAGTCCAATTCGCAACCCTGGAATGAAGCAGTCCTGGATGCTGACATGTCTTCGTCTCGACTCTTAGGACAGATTCCTCAAAACTTCAGACTCACAGATTTGACAGCAGACTTTTCTAGTAGTTCAGGTTTGTTCTTTCTGTCTTTGTGTGTGTGTCTCTCTTCACTAAAACATGTTTAGTCAATTCCAAAATTTTCCAAATTCTTTTGAGCCATTTGAGCTAGTTCAGTACAAAATGTGGGCTGTATTGTGACTTTGCAAGTAAACATGGGAGTCATTGCAGCACATTATCCTATTTTTCATATTTATATTAGTTGACCCAATTAACTTTGGAACATTTGAACTGTATTTAATGTTTATCTATTTGTTCAGATTTTGGTACAGATATATTAAAAAGTTATAATGGGTCACCCTTTCTAGCAACAGATACAGACTTCCTCCAACCTCATGGTTGGGGAGAACAGCAAGGTGAGGCTTTTGGGCCACCCTTTCGAGCAACGGATACAGACTTCCTCCAACCTCGTGGTAGGAGAGAACAGCAAGGTGAGGTTTTCGGCTTTTTGTCGGTGTTTCAAGTCGCACAGTGTAACTGAAATTTGTATTCTGGCTTGTCCCAGGACAATAGGAGGTTATACACTATGTCAGCAGAATTTGTTACGAATATTTTATCAAAGATCAATTGAATAATCCCACTGGCCTTCTTTCAAAGCCTATTAATTTGTGTATGTGTACATTTTTTAAATGTGCAAGTAAATTGAGGTTTCTAGAAAAGTACAAAAGTTCCTCCCCCTGAAGTTAAAGCAAACACATACACCCATGGCAACAGCATGCCCCTAATGGGGCTCGAACTCTCAACCTCCCCTTTGGGGAGGAGAGATTCTGCCCTCCAGGCTAGAGGCCCAGCAAAATACAAAATTATATCATATACAAGTAATCCTTGCAAGTTTATACAATGTTCTTGTTTCTGGTTGTAGTCACATTTGTCCAGCAATAAACAATTGGTGATATTGGCTGAAAACGCATTATGATTTATAATTGAAATTTCTTTTAGAAAATATGGGAACTTCAATGTACTACCTGGAGAGTTTCAAAAATAAGATCAGGTTAAAAACATAACCAGTTCTATTTCTTTGGTAAATCTATTTGTTCCGATCAATCTAAGATAATCGAAAGGCAACTCTTATTCTTATGGTTCTGATTCCTAGATCTTACTTGGGAATGTATTTGCAAGAAAAGCTTGTGACATGCTCCTCAATTTCAACTCCTGCGGAACTAGGGATTACTGTCTTCGCTCTTCCACTGTGATTTCTTTAAAAAATTAATTTGTAAGCTGGACTCATGATGCCTGAACAAATTACGTAATGAATTGTAGTGGTTATTGGAAGGCATTCTTCTGTTCAATCACTCTACATTCTGTTATTTGTGTTATTTTAGCACCTAATTGACATTCCATTTTTCTGTTTTGCTGCAGGTCCAACTTGAACCCTGTTAGGACAGAAGTCTTTGTATATAGCTAAAATTCAAAATTCATAGTACTTTACTGGTTGAAGATATTGATTGGTGTGTGCTGAGGTAATAATTCATGTTGGATCACATTATGTATCTTCTAGGGATGAGAAAGTTGGAAACAGACCAACAGAAATTGTTTCTCAGAGACCATGGGATCCATGGTCTTGATCTTGGTCCTATATTAATTAGGGTTGTCCTAGAAATATGACACTGATACTGTGTTATAACAGTGGTGAAGTTGTCATCAACAAATGCACTGTTTTATAACAGTGGTGAAGTTGTCATCAACAAATGCACTGACAGTTTTTATTTTTTTTATTTTTTGTTTTAATGAAGAGGTGGTAATAATCAATGAAGAAATTTGGAATTTTTTTTTTCCTTTTCGTGTGGATGAGGATTAAACTCCCTTTTGGAAATTGGAATTCTACATCTTGATATTAACATCTTATATTTCAAGTATTCAAGAGATGAGTTCTGTTTGATCGTAACATTGTTTCAAAAACTATTTTGCAGGCAATCATTTGGTTGGAAATCAGTATGTGAGCATTTACGCGTCTATAAATTGGAAAACGTAGGTTTGACATATTTTCTTACTGTATTGTACAAACTTTTGGCTCTATTCCCAAGAATTATAGTGCTTATACTATTTTGTGAACCCTCAGCTCATGAAGACTAACTTCTTGCACCAAGTTTTGGCATCATACAAATATTTTGTGCACAATCATATTGAAAACTTTGCTTTATGCATGCACTTCTTAATGGTAGTAACTGAGAAAGCAAAGTAACTCTTAACCTTTTTAAGGTTGGCCCAACTTCACTCTTTGACAATTCAATTGCTCAATGGGCAAGGGCCTGGGCTTGGAAGTCATGGGCTGTACCGTCTCGGCCTGGCTTGATGTCGACCCCTAATATATAGGTGTGAACTATGAAAGAAACACAAGCCACCATATGGGTGGATCAAGGTACAATAATTACTTATATATTATAAGAGGAACTTCCTGGACCTTGCTTTTTACCCTTGTAGGCATAAGATGGATATGGGTGTATGCATTTGAGAGGACTTTTAGGCTATGTTTGGTAGGGTGGGTTCGAAGGGGGAGGATAATATTAGTTATGAGGGAAAGGGAAGGGAAGGGAAGGGAAGGATAATTTTAGTCTCCTATCGTGTTTGGTTGATTATTGAATGGAAAAGAAAGGGAAGGATAATAATAATGTTTGGGGAAAGAAATGGAAGGATAGGAAGGAGAATTATTTTAATAAATTTACTATTTTGCCCATTTATATTTTAAAATATAAATTTATTTATATATATATATATATATAATTGTCTCCTTTTTATATTTTAAAATATAAATTTATTTATATATATATTTGTCTCAGGCCCATGGATCGGCCACCAGAAAATGAAAAAAAAATTTAGGGCAAATCATTTCAGCCTCCATCTCTATTCTCGTTCTCAACTCTGAACTTGCTCTCTCTCTCTCTCTCTCTCTCTCTCTGTGCAACTGCAAACTACTACAAGAATCAGAAGTTCAAAACCCATATATTCCAGTTTATATATTTGTCTGCAAGAATCAAAACTTCAAAACCCATATCGGCATCGTTTCAGATTGTTCAAAAAATCAAAACCCAATTTCAGATTGTTCAAAAAACCAAAATCCATATTGATCTTTCAGTTTCCATCGCCCGCTGTTCCAATTCGGGTTCGCCGTTCGCAAGCTTCAGCCGCTGACCCTCCTTCTCTCAACTCTCAAGCTTGCCCCCCTCTCTCTTTGCAACTGCTAAATCAACTAATCAAGGTCTATAATTCTTGTTTTGCAAACTAAATTCACATGTAATCAAGGGCAAAATTGGCATCTGAAATCACACACTAAGCCTCTCCTTCCCTTTCCCTTCATTTCCTCCCATTTTTGGGAGGTTAAGAAATTTATTGTTGAAGGCTTGTGTTAACCCTCCAAACCCTTCCCTTTCCTTCCAACAATTTTTGCCAAACACAAATTTTTAATCCCCCTCCATCACCTTCCCGCCCTTTCCTCCCTTTGCCATTGCACCAAACTGACCCTTAGTGGGTCAAAGATGGAGATCTGTGTTGGAGAGAACCGACTGTTTTTTTTTACCCTGACAGTGCCTAGTCCAATAAAATATGTTCAACAATGTTCATTAAAAATGAAGAACATACAATGCTATCGGAATTGTATTATGAAGAACATTGATTCGAGTAGAAACTAAGAATATCATAAGTGCGTTAAGAGGGAAGGGTAACTTCAACTTATTTTGGCCATTGTAACCTCTTTTAGGCTCTTTCTGCTCCATTGACTACTGGGCCCCTACAAATTAAGCACTTGCCTGCTTGCTAATGTCTACTGTAAACCTGCCCCACTAAAGATTAGGACATGGTTGGCTTGTTGAAAAATAAAAAAGGGCCAGCGACCAGCGTATAGTATTCTTCAAAAATTCCAAGACATCATCTTTTTCTTGGACTGAGGATTAGATAAAAGTTATCTCATTTTCGCATTCATTGACTATTACAGTGTTAGCTAAACTCTTTAAAAGTTCCAAGACATTTTCTTTTTCTTGCACTAAAGATTAGGACGTGCTTGGCTTGTTAATCCAATGAATTGGCCAGGTTGATGGCTTTTGAGGCTAGGGGGGCCATCTTACATTTAAGATCATGATTAAAGTTGTTCATGTTCTTCTTTCAAGGGGATGAGTCTATCATATGTCTTGTCTTTATGAAATGGAGACATGCTGAAAATTTTAACATGTAATTTATGCAAATGATGTCTTGTCTTTAACGTGTAATTTATCATGTCTCGTCTTTATGAAAAATTTAGTGTGTAATTCAATCATGAAATTTTAGAGGAATCTAGGGTAAGATATAGTAGAAACCAATTTTAGATCTTCCCTAATTCAACTTATTTACAGCCTAAGTTGAATACTGGAAACCAGTTTCTTGACTATCAAAACCCCTTGCTATCGAGAGTGAAAAATAGTTGCTAAATTGTGTAACTTGGAATTTTCCAACTTTGGTGAAAATGGAGAATGATAGTTGAACTAAACCATATATTTATATGATAAGTTTCGTATACTATTATGTACTTAAAATGGCACATAAAATAAAAAATAAAAATAAAAATCTCTCTTTAAGCAACTGTAGCAGCCTGGACCCTATTGAAATGATTGCGTATTTGCATGGGTGGTACTTGACTAACATCAACAAAGGATATGAAGTTACATAAAACTAGCTCAAAGGGAGACAAGAATCTTACTAAAAGCTATACTGTGGAGTGTAGTAGGAGACACTAGTGGATGTGTGGTCACTTTTTGACCAATAATCTGCACTTAAGCATGCTTATGAGGTCAATGATAGGAACCTTAAAAGATACTACTATTAGCTTAAAAGCTAGGGAATTTACCGTGACTATAGATTTAATATGTGTAGTACTATGATCTTGTAGTTTGCAAGCTTGTTAGGTTAATCAGAGATGGTCTCGTGTACGAATGAGAAAGATTAGCAGAAGTGCATCCAATTTTTAGAACTCATTTACCCATTCCTTCTAAAATAAACGACCTTTATACTTTATCTTCATTTTATTCTCTCTCTCTCTCTAATGTTTTTCTCCCTGTCTTTCTTCTGCCCATTACCGCAAAACAAATGAGAACTCTCTTCTTCTTTTAGTTACAGTGACAAGAAAATATGAAGTTAAACACAATCTCAATCTTGGGATTTTAGTCCTGAAATCATTTAATCTCAAACTAAGTTGAACGCTTGTGTTACTCTGATATAACATAAAGAACTTCCATACCAAAACAATGCAAAGATATATTTATATATATATATGTATATAACCTTCACTCCTCATACCAAGGTGGCTTAACAGTGTGCCTACAGTTGCAATTGATATGAGAAAATTTTGCCATCTTTAAACAATTTCCTATTACCCAGATATAATCTTCAGACAGATCTCCTCATTGAAATATAATTAAAACCTCCAGAGTAGCAAAATTACATGGCTCTAGGGTTCCAACCAAAACCCTACAGTAAGTTAGTAACCCTTGTATCCCCTTTTCCTCTCAATCATCGGTGTATGGAACTAATCTATGTTTGTAAAGCTGTTAATCTGACTCTTAACTTAAACAGATTGTTTTAAGAACTCTATTCACAATTATTGATTGAATTTATTTGCAATGATATATTTTGTCGTGCAAGTAAAAAATTGATTTATTATTTTCGCCTATTAGTTTTGTTGACGATGAATAGTTTTATGTTTTAGAAAATTTATTTGTCCTATCAGTTTTATGTTTAGGAGAATATTAGTTTGTGGTGAAATTATTCTCTCTAATGAAATAACTTTTGTGGAAAATGATTTGATTCATTTTCTACTATGAATTTTGTCTTAGTTGCGAGTTCTATGCCCAGTTTTGCCCAACAAGCTCATGACAAAAAGGCTTGTTATCAAAAAGCAAGTTTTTGCGATGAAAATTTTCTCTCTTCACAACGAACTGTTTGGTAGTTGAAACCTCATTGTGCCGTATCTTTTAGTGGAGTGATATGTTGATTTACAGTGATAATTTCATACGACTTTAAAACTTTTCTTGGACCAATCCCTCAAAATAATTTTACATATAGAACACAGAGAGAGTTTCTGAAATTTAATGCTAGTACATGTCATCATAATTCTATTGATAATAAGAAGTGAAGATTACATATGCCTCATCTAGGAACGCCTAGATCAGGAACAAATAATAATAATGATACTGGAAACTCTCAAACTTACTGACATTAGAATGAAACCACCAGAACTACATGACTATCTTAGATATAAGAAAGCTCACAAAATGAAAGATTTGCCTCTACTTGAGGTCATCTAAAGGTCCCTAATAGAAGAAAATTTATGAAGATAAATATCAAAATTAAGGGAATAAAGAAAGGTAGGGGATAGGACAAAAAAGATGATCAGCTTGATATCATATAGATGGTTTCTCTAAACTTGCTCTTTAGGCTTGATACCTGAAAAATGAAAGCGATGTATATTTGTTAAGTAAGAAATTAATTTTTCTGCGCACACACACACACACACACACACACACACACATATATATATTTGTAAGAGTTGTCATAGTACTCACCTTAGCAAAAAATGGGAGTCTAAGATAGATCAATATTCCTAGCATAGTCCCTTGGTGCGTTGCATCTGAAACATTCCATCCTACTAGCAAAGTTGTGCTCATTGCACCCTGATCTGTTTAATACAAAATTTTGATGCGCTGATAAGAACTCTGCTCAGAGATTTCTTTATAATGCTCGTAAGTAGATGAAGGTGAGAATATTTAGAGTACTTCATTAAGCATTTAATTTTTTGTGTGTGTGTGTGTGTGAGAGAGAGAGAGAGAGACGGATGGTATCTGGACATTTTGAGCAAGACAGAGGAAGTGAGAATTGGCCTATTGGGTAAGAAAGGACCAGTTAGATATGTGGAGTACTTTTGTAAAATAATAGCAACTAGTATTAAGTTTAGGTCTCTCTTACTATACTATATCTTTTGGGTAAGGCATTGGCATTTTATTGACGTCTAGATGGTGTAATGGACAGACTGAAGGTAGACCAAACATTTGACATATAGTGTTACATAAAGTTACTACTCAGAGATTCGGAGATGCGTATTTACGCTTTATGAGTCTGAGTTTTACATCGAAAGTGAGTAAGTGCCAATTGTTTGAACTGTTTCCTTATCCTTAGATGCTAAGAAAGTAAAATGGTGTGTTTATAGAACTCAGAATGAATGTAATTTGCACATTGAGATGTGCAAACTTTACCTGGTGCAAATCCAGTCACCGGATTTCCATCCGGAGCGACCAGGGCCACCGCCGCCGCTGCCACCACTGCCGCCACCGAACCCGAAACCTCTAGAGCGAGACATTTCACCCTCGTATCCGCCGGATGATGCTTCATCCTTAAACGCTCCACACTTGAAGCAGGTGGATCGGCTGGCGAAATTATGGGTTCCACAATTCCCCACATTGCAGTACCAATCACCAGGCCTGACATCCGGACCTGTGATGAACCCGAACGATGAAGCAGCACCCCTCCCACCAAAACTTCCAAAGTCACCAGGTCTTGGATCTCCACATCTTTGGCATGAGTCTCTCCTCTGAAAGTTCAGGTGTTGGCATGACCTGCAATTCCAATCTCCTGGTCTGTTCATCTTTCCTGTCTCAAATATTCCCAAATTAGTAAGAAAGACAGTTATGTGTACAATACATATATAGACTAGTCCATGTTGTGGCAAAGAGAAATTTATATATATTACGTAGTAACAAATATTGAGCTAATAATGTCCCTCTTGTTAGTCCAGTACTAGTAGAAGTTGTATTACAGAGTAAATAAACCTCTATTGCCAGGCTATATATATGTGTGAACTCACACACTTGGCAGCCAAAAATTACACACACTAATCTTTCCTGTATACTAGCGATGGACGAGCAAGTAGCATACCATACCATACAAGTGGTCTGTGGCAGCCAAAAATTTAATGCACTAGATGTACACCATGGAAATGCTAACTTTTTTTTTTTTTTTTTTTTTTCATTTTCGGAATTTCAAGCAAACACGCACACACCCATAATATTGCCCCTAGCAAGACTCGAACACTCAACCTCCCCTTTGAAAATACTACCTTAGCTTTATGCCAAGTCAGCATATTCTACAGATACAGCATGGAATGAGTATAGTATTAGAAGATTTACATTTTTTGATGAGTAGGGGTGGGAGGTATAGATATATGTAATATATATTATGTATGTGTATATACATATGAAACATGAAGAAGGTCTCACCTTGAGAAAACAAAGAGAGGGTCTGTATTAGTTGGACTGCTAGCAATTGAAGAACAAGAGATTGCTTGAGTTTGTGATATTGATTTGTGGGTTGGCTGTGGTTTATATACTACTTGCTTTAGGCCTCGATATCGAGGGGATCGAGGCTGCTCGGTGGAGAGCTAAGGATCTTCTTTTATATATATATATATATATATATATATATATATATATTCTTCATTTGGCATATCCTTGATATTACAAAAAAATAAATAAGATAAACACAAGATAGATAAAGAGAAATTGAGATGGGATTCTGAAGCAAAAGCTTTATCAAATTGCACAACATTTTCCATCTTTTTTAGCTACAGCTTCTTTTAAGGGCTTGTAGAGGTGGGAAGTGCATGAACACATGCCCTTGAACTTCACATTCAAGTTCCCAACATGCCCTTCTTTACATGTTACTCCCTATCTGAATTAAGATCTCCTTTTAAATATTATGTTTATATCCATATATATATATCCATTTCACATTCAAGACACTCACGTCTCATTTTAGAATTTCTTATAATTTTGAATCTAGATGCTGGAAAAAAAAATCTTCCTCTCTTAATTCAGATTACTTACAAGTTCTTTCAATAAGGGTTTTATAATTTATATGATCACAATGAAAAAATCATTAATCGAGAGACAAATAATTATTGATGTGAAAATACGAAGCAAAGGGCTAATCTTTCGATAAAAGAAGGCGACTTCACAAGGTTTTAAATGAATTGACTAATTCGAAAAAGGCCATGCTCTTATTTTAATTTTAGCAAAGGGAGATACTCTATATCTTCAATCCGATTAAGTCTTACCAATTTAGCATTTGCAATTACTAACGGGCAAGTGGCCTAATAGTATTAGGTCCTTACTTTTCAAAGGGAGGTTAACGATTCAAGCCTCAGTGGAGGCATGTGTGTGGGTACAACTAAGACAAAAAAATAAAAATAAATAAATGAAAAGTATTTGCAATAACGGAAGAACAATCAAAACTTCTCGACTCTCTTCTAGGAAGTCTTGAATAATATAATTATAAATTATAATTATAAATTTTGTTCATATCACTCCAAATTCTTTCATCTCCATGTAATGATCATTTCCTTCAAGAGTATGTTTAGGTCATAAGTTATAACCTCTAAGCTTTGTATAGCTCATCTGTGAACTTTCAATCATATAATGGACATGAATTACAGGAGAAACCCTTTGGACTAAAGCTTTTAGGGCATTTTCTGAGTTGCCAAACAGAAAAAAGGTCCACACAAGTGCCACATGGGCATAAAATGCCTGTTTGTCGATTCATGATAGGACAAGGAGGAACAAAATCCACTAGAAAAGAAATGAATATTTTTTTAATTTCTTTTATATTTTTTCATCTCAGAATTGCCAAGGATGGGTCATCCCCTTTCAAAACGGTGACTGCTTTTCTAGTTTTGAATATTCCATTTTGTACTTCGAATTCAATTTTTACAGATAAGTCACGAGAGGAAGAATCTGGATCCTCTCTTGTGTCAAAGAATATCCGGTGTCAACGTCGCTTACACAACAACTATAATAATTTTACATCACAAGTTCCTTTCTTGTGTCACAGAATATCGCAACAATTATCTTGAATCACTTATATAATAATTTTACATCACTAGTTCATAAAAATAATATACGGTGTTATGTAAACCGTATAAGACGGGAATACAGAATTTCAATGCAATAGAACCCTTTTTTTTTTCCAATACAACAAAAGCCAAAGTAACATTTAGGACACAAATTAATAGGCAGATTATATATTTCCCAATAACATACAAGCTTGACCACGTAAAAAAATCTCTCTCTCTATATATATATATGTATATATTTTTTTAATAAACCCTTGGAGAGAAAAATATATATATTATATTCAATTCGGCCCTCAGCTTCACACGTGCATGTCAGATAATATAGCTAAAACCAAATAATAAGGAAGGGATTTTTTTAAATAATTATTCTATATGACCATATATATATATATATATATATATATATATATATATAAAGTAATGGAAGGGATATATAATTAAGAGAGATGATATGCGAAGGTTTCAAAAATGAGAGGAAAGCAAAACGATAGAGTTTCGATAAAGATAGTCGAAGCTGATGATGGCAAGAGGAAGTCTTCGAGGTCCATTTTGACCATCTTTTCTTTTCTTTTCTTTTTCCTCCTACACAAACACTGGCATTATTGGCTTTTTAGCTGTCGCATTTCTTTTTTTCCTTTTCCCTTGCCATCCCTCTCTCTCATTCTTATTTTGAATCCATGAACTCTGTGTGTTGTGTTGTGGGTGTGTGTGTGTGTGTGTGTGTGAAGAGAAGCATTAGCACACCACTCCCAACGAAATGAACTTGGAAGAAGATAAAAAATAACCAAATTAAAACTAATCTCTCTCTCTCTCTCTCTCTCTCACTCACAAGTATTCAGTATGTACTGTTCACCGTGCAATTGACACATCAAACCAGTCTATGTATAGTACATGTTAGACCAAACGATTCTAATTATCCAATGCGCAGTACACCAAACATATTGAATATATTCATTCTCCTCTCTCTCAGGTATTTGGTATGTTTTATGCACCGTGCAACTAGCACATCAAAACCGTCTGTGTATAATACATGTCAGAACAAACGATTTTAATTATCCGATGTGCAATGCACCGGACACACTGAATATATTCATTCTCCTCTCAAGTATTCAGTTTGTTCCGTGTATCGTGTAACTGGCACATCAGAACCGTCTGTGTATAATACATGCTAGAACAAATGATTCTAATTATCCGATGTGCAGTGCACTGGACACATTGAATATATTCATTCTCTTCTCAGATATTCAGTATGTTTTGTGCACCATGTAACTAGCACATCAAAATCGTCTGTGTATAATATATGCCAGAACAAACGATTTTAATTATTCGATGTGCAGTGCACTGGACGCACTGAATATATTCATTCTCCTCTCAAGTACTCGGTATGTTTTGTGTACCGTGTAACTGGCATATTAGAACCGTTTGTATTTAATACATTCCAGAACAAACGATTCTAATTATTCGATGTGCAATGCACCGGACACACTAAATATATTCATTCTCCTCTCTCTCTCTCTCTCTCTCATCATACCACTATGGAAGAATTTGAATGGAAAGAAAAACAAAAATAGAAAAAAAGGAAAACAAATATTAAGAAATCACCCACCATTTTCTCGGAAACTGGAAAAGAAAGCTGCAGCAAACTGAGAATAAAAAGCAACAAAAAGGAAAGAGGGAGGGATTGATTCGATTCTCTTTGGGAAAAGCCTCCATGCATGACCATAATCAATGTTCAATACTCCTAACGAATACCACATTTCTTTATTACTACTTACTTTCTCTTTTCATTTTTACATTTTTTGAGACAGATATTTGCTTTACTTGTCAGACAACACTTGGATATCATTATAAACAAGCCAATTCAATAATGATTCATTATACTGTTATGTTTGTGTCTCGACTAGTTCAATTGGTTTTCAGTTTCATTTTTATAGAATAGTTAGGATTGGTTTAGTTCGGAACTATTTTTTTAAAATCGGTCCAATTCCAACAATGTGCACTCCTATTCATCTTCTAAAAATAGAAACTAGAAAGTTTTAAATCCTCATAATGTAACTAACTTCACATGATTTGTTACATAAGCTATGTGAAGTTAATACGTAAGCGATATAAAATTGTTACTGAACATCTTGTGACACATGAGAGGAATCGGATTCGATAACGTTGGTGTAACTTCAATTGATTAGTGTTGCTCAAGAAAATAGGGATATATCTTACTTGGTTCCAGATTTCAGTTTCCACTGCTCCATTTCTATATAGCAAATTGCAAAAAATAAAAATTAAATATAAATAAATAGAAGGGATAATTCCTAAAAAAAGGGAATTATGGGTCTTTATGTCAAGATGGAGTTAAGGGCACCTCTTTTCAAAATGATGAAGTTTTTATCAAAGTCTGTCTAAAACTTGAAAATTTACTTTACATTATCATTTTATTCCCATACTGCCCCCATGATTTTATCAAGGTATATATATATATATATATATATATATATATATATATTATATTCCCCAAAAGCACCACCGCCATTGCCAACAACGGTGTCGTCGCTCCACTGCCACAACCGCCGCCACAACTCTCTCTCTCTCTCTCTCTATCTATCTCTCCGCCGTTGCTGTCTCCCCTCTGTTCTCCCTCTCTGCGATTCTCTCTTCTCTCCACCATGGTCTCCAACCACCATTGCTAAACACCATAAATATATAAAACATATGCACACATATGAACATACATATGTGTAATATATTTTGTATAAGTACATAATATATGCAAACATTCAATTAATCCAACATATTATTTCAATAACTTATATATATATATATATATATATATATATATATATGTATGTATGTATGTATGTATGTATGTATGTATGTCCCTTGTAGAAGTAATTGAAGCAGTCTCTCTCACAATATAGTTGCATCTTTTAATTTATATAGACGCACACCCACAACCACCGGAGAGGGCAGTCGTCGGCGCACTTGCGAACGTGATTCTCCCACTGGGATCCTATCCAAAAGAAGGTGAAGTAGCGGCAACCGGAATCGACGAAGTTTTGAACCGGCAACACGGTTACAGAAAAGGACAATCCGCCGGAGATAAAGAGGAAGTTTTAGGGACTGTACTTACCTTCAGCTCTGTTAATGGTGTCATTGTTTTTCCAAAAGAGGGAGGAAGGGCAATTTTGTAATCAAGACATACCTTTATAAAATTCCTATCATATTGAAAAAGTTGACTTAACTCTATCATTTTGACATGAGGCATCATAATTCCATTTTTTTGAAATTATCACTAAATAAAAAGAGTAGAATAAAAATAAAGAATAAAAAATAAAAACCTTGAATATGTGGAATTGGCACAAAACCTCACTTAACTAATAATCATTTGACCTAGAACACTCCTTCCCTGTCCAATTGTTGTAAATTTGAGACCAAACCCATAAAGTAATATTATAATAACAAAAATGACCCTTAATAGAAAAGAAAAAAAATTACAAAGGGTTGAGATAAAAAAATTAATAATTTAGGGAGCTTGTTTGCAATTAACCAAGGTTAATTTGGCGTTTTGAAAAAAAATTATTAATAATAATAATAATAATAATAATAAAAAATGCAAGCACGTGACCATCACGTGTTCCATATATCCTAACGGCTCACTTGCATAAGATTGTCAAGTACAAAATGAATAACAGCGCAAGTGATATGCAAAAAAAAAAAAATAGTCAACAGGGTTGACATGCAAAAAATAATAATAGTTCAGGGAGAATTTTTTGCAGTTAAGCCAAAATTTAAATAGTGTATGGTAAATAATTTGCTGAAAACTATTTAAATAATATCATAAAGGACAAAGAAGCCTAGAAATCAATGCTAATGATAAACTAGAGCTGAATCACAAGAGAGAAAATGGTATTGAAATATGTGGGACAAAATGATATGACAAAAAGAATCATCAGATGTAGCCATCAATTATTTGATGATGCATTAAAGAAGGTTAAACAAATCCAGTAGGTCCATGGATGACCAGGCCATGAAACAAAAGATTGCCGACCAAAACATTGTGGGACACCATATTCTCAAGAACTAAGGATATATCAGAAACAACAACAAAAAAAAAAAAGTGGTTGAAGCTATGCTGTATGACAAACTGTGTTCTCAACATCTAACCAAAATTTATTCCACAGAGAAAAGCATTCATGCTTTATCAGTGATGATCATCATCTCCATGGCCGTCCGGAGGTCCGCCGGAGCCAACTACTTGAAGCTGCAATACATCAAATAATTACTAATAAATCCAAGTGTACCTGTGCTATAGGATGTAATAATTCAGATTAAAGCGTATATCCATCACTTACCTTGAAATGTTGAGAACAGACTGGGCATTCATGAGGTTTGCCTTTCTCCAGCCAAAACCACACGACATCGTGCTCCTCTTCTGTAAATATAAACAATTTAGGTTACATGCTTAGTTGCAAATAGCAAAAAACAAAAAAAAAAAAGGTCCGTTAAGGAAAATCTTTTTAAGTGGCCAGTTGCAGGATCGTTTTTGCTTTTCTGTAAAGTGAAATATCCAACCAAGTAAGCAATGCTCATCAAAATAACCTATTAGTTTGTTTGAATTTGCATTGTTTAATCACTCTGAACTTTCAGCCTCTGTTGCACTGCTCGCCAAGTAATTGTCAAAACATTTTTGCATAAACAAAAAAAAGAGAAAAATGCGCAGAAACAAATATTTTATGACAAGAAGGTCTTACCTCCCTCACCACCAGGGCATCCAACTATTCTTTTGTTATAAACAGATTTAACTATAGCAGGTCTTTCCTACAAGAAAATAACCACACAAGTAAATAATGAAGAAACCTACCCAAAATAACAAAAATGAAAAATATTTAATTTAAAAAATTGGCATACAATTATGTCATGTTAATAAAATTGTTACCGTTGTAGGACTAAGATATTTTAGTTCACTGGAAATTATTATTAGCAGAAAAAAATCAACAAGATCTACTTAAGCAAGTACTACTTAGATAGCTCAGTAAAATCATGACTCGTGTCATAAGGACTCATCAAAAAATAAATAAATGATTTGTGTCATAAGGAATAAAATCTGTACTGTTGCTGCTTTCTTTGAGGGGGTAAGATAAAAATAAGTACACATTATACATGATTTTTATTAGGGGTGCACAAAAATCTGTTGGAATCAGTGAACCAGACCGAACCGCATTTTTAGGGTGTACAAGAATCAGGTGGAACTGGTGAACCAGACATGAGATCAAACAGTTCGGTTCTGGTTCTAATAATTAAGGAACCTTAAGTTTCGGTCTGGTTTTCAGTTTGACGTCAAATAAAACGAACTAAATCAAACCAAAACTAATATGTATATATATTATTTTGATGGTATGCAACACACACGCATATATTTATATATATATATATATATATATATATATATATATATATATATTTTGAAGAAAGAATAAGAAACAAACATTAAGCATTTTTCTATTATCCTTTTTCATTGATGAAAAAAATTAAAATATGTTTGTTTTTCACCGCTTTGAATTTAAGCATTCTGGAACTTCGCTCTTACTAAAACTACTTTATAACCTATAATTCTAGTATTGAATAGATGAAATACATCCTCCTGAAAAACTTCCTACTCTTTATATATATATATAGAGAGAGAGAGAGAGTCCTGATCTCTTGCTCCCCATGGAGCAAGAAAATTAATCCACGCTTTATATATAGACCGTTAGATTTAATCTAACGGTCATTTTTCAAACCCACCTATAGTTTTTCCTTTTAACACAAAACCACTTTCACCCTATTTTTGGTTTTCTATATTTAATTTTACCATTACCATCCTATTTTAATTTTACTAAGAAAACAAAGAAAAATAAAGGCTTTCTCTGAATTAAAATTATATTTGAATCAATTATAATTAATGCAACAAGATTTTGACTCTATGTATTGAATTAGTGATTTATAAAACTGGGGAAATGAGGCTGAACAATAGTAATTAGAATAAGGAGCCACACAGAACTTAAAGACTTGAAGGGAAAATAAATTTACTTTTTCAAAACAAAATAAATAAAGAAGAGGAAACTGAAAAAATGTCACACAGAACTTAGAGATTTAAAGGGAAAATAATTTTACTTTTTCAAAACAAAAAAAATAAAGGATAGGAAACAGAAAGAATGTATAGTACCTTAGCCTGTCTTGTAATTGTTCTTTGTTTAACATAAACGTGAAAAATAGAGGTAAAGTGTGCCGCAAAAATATTTATTTCAAAGAAACATGTAAATAAAAACAAATTTTTAGTAAAATATACTGGTATTATTTTTTTTCAAAGGTTTCTATTTTTATTTTGGTAATTATCTTTTATTGTTACAGTATGAGGTAATTGTAAAATTAAATATAGAAATTAAAAATAGGGTGAGAGTGGTTTTGTGTTAAAAGGAAAAGTCATAGGTGGGTTTGAAAAATGACCGTTAGATTTAATCTAACGGTCTATATAGAAAGTGTGGATTAATTTTCTTGCTCCATGGGAAGCAAGAGATCAGGACTCTATATATATATATATATATATATTGCATTGAATCTTGCTATAAGCTTTAATTGGAGCACTTTGGTTGTGTTTTTCATTTCCTCCCCCTTGCTTCCTCTTCAGCTCACTTTCTCTTCTAATTTGGGGCTTTGATTTATATAGGTATTGCGTCAACACAGCTGTAGAACCAAACTGGCCCAATTTAAATTTTCGCGACTTTTGGTCCAATTCAGTTCTTGCAGTTTTGTGTGGTTCCAAAATCTATGGAACTGTTGGGACCATTTCAGTTGTGGTTTACCCTGAAACCAAACCTTGGGCACCCCTAATTCTTGCACACTGGGAGAGAGGAAAGTTTTGCTTGATTTCATTTACTCAAATCATTTTGTGATCTCAGGTCTTCTAAGGAATGGCAATGAGCTCGTATATACACACAACTTGTCCCTAGTGGGTCAGGTTTGGGCTCTAATGAGGGTGGTTGCAGCAGGAATCAAAATGCAATGTAAAAATCAAATCCAATTGTAGAATGCCCTGCCCATACCTTAAAATGCAGAATTATTCAATTTTTCTTGATTTCTGAGTGCTCCAGTTGACGCATCTAGTAAAGAAGAGGAAGCATGAAATCGTGGATCCATAGATTCATATAGGTATTGCGTCACCACAGCTTTGCACCTTACTGTCCAACAGTTGCCACCTAGCAAGGCAGTGACAACCAATCTGCTTTGTGCTAACTACAATTGACCTCTTTCAATGTCTGTTTTATTCCTTTGAAAAGGTATAGGGTGGAGAAGATCCATATACAAACTATGATTTTTGTTCACTTCAGAAAAAGGCCAGTAGTTGCCATGCAGTAGGACAGTTTTCCAATGTGTTCTGCAATCAATGACAAGATGAGTATATGAAACCTGTCCTGAGTTTGCAACAGATTAGTTTGAGGTGCCCCATGACTCCAACACAATCCTATACCAAAGTTTCTTGCTTCCCTTCATATGGTGGCATTTACATTCCTCAAAATTCCTTTACTCTCCTTGTACAGTTGTCAGGCTATGTTACATGCAGTTTAGTATGTGTATTGTGTGCAGGTGTGTCTTAAATGTTGAACCTCCCTGATTCTCAGATCTTAAGATTTGGGGACTTAACTTGAAATTTGTCCAAAACTTGAATATGGGTACGTGACAGGTACTACACATTTAAATACTTCTATAACATAAAATAGAGTAACATATAATGCTATTATTCTTTCAAACACAATCGATTATAATTTAAATTAAATAGAATATGTTGAAAAAAAAAGGGGGATTCCATCTATCTCAAAAGTAGGAAACCCTTCTTTGTTATCAATTCTGACCTTTTCTTCCATGATCACATGTAAGGATAAAGGGCTAGCCAGGCTAACCCAATGCATGAGGCTCCCACCATTACAAGGTCTGGGAAGGGTCGAATGTACGCAGTGTTACCTCCGCATGTGGAAAGGATGTTTCCAGTCTCGAACTAAGAAAGGTGCTATCCGAGAACAATTAGCCAATCTGGAAAGTGCATCAAAGAAGAACCTTACAGATTCAAGTCCCACGCGGCTTGTTCCTCACGCCTTCATGAAATCCTTATTGTTCGAGTTTTTGAATCTCTTGCTAGTCAGTTTTTATTTATTTTTTATTTTTTATTTTTTCTTCTTACTGATAAGTGATAAGTGAATCTCTTGCTACTTATAAAATTAGTGTTCACATAACCAAGTAGAGTGTTTTAAGATTAAATTAAAGGAAGAATCACAACTTGACGTGTTTTCCTAATACATTGTACAGGCCTAACACTTTTTGACTGTACAAAAAAGTGATGGAGTAAACCATTTAGAGTCCTGGTAACATCTTTTCTATAACTCTTAGAAGTATCTAAAAACAGAGCAATTCATAACTCCAAGGAATGTGAACAACTAACTAAGAACATATGCATCCTATGAAATAATTTAAGATTTAAAACATGAAAAGATTCATAAAAAAAAGCTGCAAATAGAATCAAATATAACAGCTGAACTGAACACAAAAGCCTACAATTCTTCATGGAAATTCTTGCATACCACAGAAAAAAATTGCTCTTGCAAGGACTTGTAAAAATTTTATGCAAAGAATACTCATCCAAAAAAAAAAAAAAAATTATGTGAAGAATGGAACTATTGCATCCATACCAATAAGAATTATGCAAAATAGTATAGAAGTCTTTGATAGTACATACTTACGATTGTAAGTCATTACAAGTAACTAAATTAGTCTAATAATGCAGCCAAACAGACCAACGCAGGTATCCTGATTCCTCTAGAAAAATATATTAATTTCACAAAACCGATGTAAACCAACATCGAACCAGCATTTCTAGTATATGTAGCAAAGATTGAAAGCAAATGCGCAAGTGAAGGGTACAGTTCAATTGATGCTAACCTTGGTTCCGAAAGGTCCAACCGGATAATTCATCTCAAGAATGTTCCTCCCCTAAATCAAATAAATTAGACAACATTACAGATTTGAGATTACATCTATATGAGTGTATGACACATACATATTAAACATATAAATATAAATATAGATTTAAACATATAGTGAAAACCTCAAGCTCAGCCTCAAGTTCTTCACGCTCGTGTCCAGTGGCGATCGGCATTACATCTTCAACCCTCTTCTTCCCCTTTGAAAGGAAAGTGTCTGCCATCATTGAACAAATGAAATTACATTTAAATTGAAAACACAAAGCTTGAATTAATATACTTGCATATATACAATCCAAATCAAAGCATGAATTTTTTTTTTAAAACAATAATTACCCATTTCGTTTTCAGTTCTACAAATATAGTGCGTTAGGGTTTAGAGAGAGAGAGAAATGGTTACCGGAGTCAGTGGCAGCTTGGTGAGATGAGAAAGTGAAGGTTGGATGAAACGGCGTCGTATGGGGGGATGATGAGGCGGAGGTGAGTGATCGAGTGGTGGTGGTGTCGCCGGAAATGGGAACGGATCGGGTGATTCCGGGGGCGAGTCGACGCCATGGAGCTAGGGTTTGGACCTGAGTAGGGACCACTCTTCTCCACATCGTATATGTATATTCAAATTCAGGTGGAACCAAACACCAATGCTACAACAAATTCACACAGAGACACAGAGAGGGGGGGAGAGGGGGAGAGAGGTTTTCATTGTGAAATTTCCGATTCAGAGGTGAGGGTATTTCTGGTTTTTCAGTCAACACAGGATTTGAATGGCACGTTCAAACTCTCATTCTTTTGTTATTTTTTATTTTTTAATATATCTTTGGTAAATTATACTAGCCTCCCCTAGGTTTGGAAAAATTAGACACAAGACCGTTTATTATTTTGGACTCCCCTGAACCCATTCTATCGTGAACAGAAAGTGACTTTGAGTAAAAATTCAGTAATGCCTTTATATTATAGTAATATATTATATTATATTATATTACATTTTATACAAAATGAAGGACAAAATTATCATTTTATAAATTTTGGTCAACAGGTCTACCGAAAAGAAAACGTGTGGGGTGTTACTAATCACACGCGTCAAATCTTATGGGATATTGAAGTTATAAACGTTGAACGGTTTATGAGTTTAATTTAGGGCAAATTTCACAATACCCCTAATACTATCACTTTTTTTTATCAAATACCCTCAACCTACTTTAGAAAACCCCCAACACTATAAAAATTGATCACATTGCACCATATCTGTGATAAAATGACGAAACTACCCTTCTGATATATCAAATCAATTAAAATAGCCAAAAGGTATTTTACCAATTACTAAAATACCCTTTGTGACATTTAAGTCACCAAAGCACAAAACGACCACTTTTTGTGTGTTTATATTATATGTCCACTAAACGCGGTCGTTTTGATCAAACCCATTTGACGAATTAGGTAAATGGTTGGTATATATTACATGTATATGTCTATGTATAATAAATGAGAATCTGAAGTGATCAAAGGGATGGGAAGGGGTTATTGACAAACACTTACGATCAGAGGAATTGGAAGGGACTAGGCTTTGAGGGTGCGTTTGAGTGAGATTGTGTGTTTTTCTTTTCCTTATTCAATCTCTTCTGTGCTCTTTTTGTTCAAACACTGATCAGTGGGGTAGCTTTCATCTGTGGGTCAATGAAGATTCGTAAGGAGTGGTCTATTCGACGTTCTTGTCTTCGACTTTTCTAGACAACAACATGTCGAAATGTATGGCTTTTAATATTGTTTGGACATCATTTTCATCTACGGGGTCTTTGTCGAGTATGATTCCAACAGTTTGGGACCATTAAATAATTTAGGGTTATTGTAATTTTGTATTAGGGTTATTCGAATTTTGTATTAGGGTTGTGGTCTCTATTGATTAAATTAGGGTTTTATTAATTAGGGTTAATCAATTAAGATTTTGTGTGTTGTATTATATATTAGGGTTAGTGTTAGTTTATATGTTTTTTTAATTAAAATCAGTTTATATTTAGTGTTTTTAAACTGTAATGTGTTGGTGAATTAATTTTTGTTTCTTTATTGATAGGATTTTGTGTGTTGTATTATATATTAGGGTTAGTTTATATGCTTTGTTAATTAAAATCAGTTTCTATTTAGTGTTTTTAAATTGTAATGTGTTGGTTAATTAATTTGTGTTTGTTTATTGATAAGATTATGTGTGTTGTATTATATATTAGGGTTAGTTTATATGCTTTGTTAATTAAAGCCAGTTTCTATTTAGTATTTTTAAATTGTAATGTGTTGGTTAACTAATTAGTTGGTTAATTAAGTAGGACTTAATTGATAGTTAATTAATTTGTGTTTGTTTATTGATGGGTTATAATCCTATTTTTACGAAATTATATTGTCTTCAAGTTCATCATGGTGGCCTATTTGATAACACAGAGCAAATGAATTATATTGGTGGGTCTATTACTAACATTGATGGAGTAGATATTGACCACATGTCAATGGTAGATTTCAATTGCATTTCACAGTTGGTTGGTTGTTCTCGAAAAAGTGATTTGTACTACAGATGTTTGAGAGATGGGAGTATATCAAAGTTGGCAACTGACCAGGATTATATTGATATGACTGTGAAGTATAAAATGTTCTCGTTCATTAAAGTTTATGTGGTTGTACCAACTGAAGATGATGTTAATGAAAGTGAAGAAGGTGATAAGACACAAACCGAAGATGGGACAGTTGATGTGATTCCAGTGGATGTGACTGCAGTAGAACCTGCTAAGAGAAATGTTAATGGAGTACAACCTAGTGCTGCAGCAAAAGTGTTCATGGACTGGACTGATGATAGTTATGGGTTAACAAATCAATATCAGGATGAACCAAATGATGAAATTCATGATGAAAATGTAGCATATGGAGGTGAAGATGATGAAAACTTCACATTTGATGATGAAAATGCAGGTAATGATGATGAAGACTTCACAATTGAGAATGAAGATACTCATGCAGGCTGTAATGAAGATGAAAATGTAGGTCTTCATGATGATTATGATGAAGCTTATAGAGATTCTGAGTATGGGCCAAGTGAGGAGTTGATAAGTTTAGCCAGTGAAAGTGACGAGGATAAAGAAGGCAATAGTGCAACTTCTTAATACTTTAATGCTATGAGGGACTTAGGAATGAAGAAACTAAAAGTTGGGCAAAAGTTTGGTTCTGCGGCTGATTTTAGATTAGCGGTAAGGTATACAACAATAAAAAGGAAGTTTGACCTCACATTCACGAGAAATGATAGAGATAGAGTGACTATCATATGTAAGGCAGAATGTGGATGGAAGATTTGTGGATCTACCAACACTAGTGATTACTCATTTGAAATCAGAGAATTCAATGATAACCATAATTGTACTGGTGTAAGGGTGAATGGACAGGTGACATATGGTTATATAACTAAGCATTATATAGGGACAGTTAGAGCTGATCCTAGTTGCACAGTGCATGGAATGGCATATGCAGTTGAAAAGGAACTTGATGTTGTTGTGAATAAGCAGAAAGTTAGAAAGGCAAAAAGTTTGGCTCTAAAAATGATTAAGGGTAATCATGAAAAACCATAGTTGTTAAAGACTCAAGGCGCACAAAAGCGCAAATGCCTCTTGGAGCCTGAGGCGCAAGGCGCAAGGCGAGGCGCACGCCCGACTGAAGCAAGGCGCACATTGGGAAAAAAAAAAAAAAAAAAAACAAAACAAAACCCACCCAATAAAGTATTAAAGATGCAATAGTATATATAAAGATGTAAAAGTCAATTAAATAAATTACTTAAGTTAAATATTCAACATAAAGATGCCAAAACCAAGTAAATCAAGTACTTGAGTTCAACAGTGAATAATCAAACATATTAACATAAAGATGCAAAAGTCAACTAAGGAGAAGTATGAGATAAAACTAAAACAAACATAAATATTATTTCTTCCTAAGAAGACAACACCAACGAATCTAAATAGCATCATCGTCATCAATAAGCATAACATCATTTTGATCATCACTAAATGATTCATAATTCTCAGGATCCTCTTCTATCTCATCTGAATTATCCTCATCCTCATCCACAAGTCGAATTGAAGAACTTCATGCTCTCTTTGTTGGTAACCGTAAACTGGAACTAGATTTTGATCTAGTAGACCGTTGCGGTCTGCTAGCCTCTCCAATACCAGCAAAATTAGCAACATCACCCCATGTCAAGGAATCATTTTCAAAGACTAGATCATGTTCTGCATCAGAATCATCCATCATTCCCGTCAATGTAAAACCCCTAATTTTCAAAAGGATAAAATTGGAATTAAAATTTTTTTTTAGGGCATTTTTATGTGTTTATTTGATTTTGTGTTTATTTATTTTTTATTTGATTTAAATAATTAGTTGTTGTGTTGGAATGTTTAATTGGTTAATTGATTTCTTTGTTCTAAGTGAATTATATACTTAAGAGGCCTTTTAAATGTTTAATTAAATGCATTGTTTTATTTATTTATTTTTTTAAAACAAGGTTGGGCTTAGTTAGGATTCACAGACTTTTGGATAGTGTAAATGGGTACAGTATTTACCCATGGAAGTATATACATGTATGTATGGGTATATATGTATATGTGGATTAGGTTAATAATTAGTAATTATTATTAATTAAATTATAATATTACCGTCATTTAAGGTGTATTATAAATTCTAGGGTTTTAAATCGTATAACAAAATTGGCCAACTAGGGTTTAGTTGGGATTCCATCTCTGAATATAAGTAGACGTAGGTTTTATATATGCCTATAAATATACTGTGATAATTTTGCAAGGGGTTTTTTTAAAACCCTATTCGTATATAGAGACATAAAGAAACAGAGAGGGTATTGTGAGGTTGAGAGAAAGAGAGAGTTTCGTTAGGATTTCCGTTATGGATTAAAGGTTGGACCAAAGAGAAAGGACTGAGTTGCTCGTGGGGTTAAACCAAGAGCAGTAGAGGAGATTCAATGGCAACTAAGGTCGCCAGAAAACCTAGAAAGAAGACGATGTTGAAAGGTTTCAAACCGAAACTGAAAGGCAAGTTCTATTCTGTCTATCTCCCTTTGCCTGTGTTCTGTGCATCCTTTGATGATCTCTAAGATTGTATTTGAATTTTAATTGAATCTTACATGCTTAGAATATGTTAATTAGATCATCTGTATATGTGCATATTGTCTGAAAATAATTCTTGCAACTCTGTTCTTCGTTGTTTGTTTCAAAGCATTAAATTGGTCGTTGTTTTATATCACTATATTAACTTGTACTGTGGTAAATTAAGGACGGGGGATTAACATTGTATATATATTAGACAGTGAGGACAAGTTTTAAAGAAGAATAGTGGGGTAGGAAAGGGCCGGAGACGAGGCAGGTGGTCGAAAACGAAGAAGGAACAAAGTCGAGGCTCTCTCAAAAGGGAGAGAGCCGGCTCTCCCATGGAGAGAGCCGGCTCTAGGCAGATTGAGCCTTCTCCACTATTTTGGAAAAGGCTCTGTGATCCTATTTGTTTACAGAAGCAGTTTTGTGCGTTGTTTGGTTCGATTATGGGTTTTTTGGGTGCACTGTGTGGATGATTCTTGAGTCTGGAACTGTGTGGGAAGTAGACTAAGATGATTAACATGCAATATAGGTATTGTTATAAGCTTTCAGTGCATAAGAGATTCAATTATGCAGGTAGAATAGGAAGCAAAGGAGAAGGCTCAAAGGGAGAAAGAGAATGCTCTAAAATGTGAAGCCTGCTCTAGGTGATTTAGAGCCTTCTCTAGTTTTTTAGAGAAGGCTCTAGGTGGTTTAGAGCCTTCTCCAAAAAATTGGAGAAGGCTCTTTTCAATAGTGTTTTCAGAATTTTATTTTTACGAACTATATTGTTACTATTGGAGCATGGAAATTGTTTTGTTGACTCTGGGGTTTTACAGAGGGATTATAAGGTTGGTTTAGGGTATTATTAAATCTTTAAATTGAGTAAGGTTGACCTCTAAGTGAATGGTATTGACAGTGCTCTAATTAACAACTTTGAGTGCGGTTAACGGCGGGAAGGAAGTTTATTGTCTAGTTTTAATTTGGCAATTTAGGGTGCTATATAATGGTTCTAAATTAAGTTTAAAAGCACGGTGAAGTATTTTAAATTAATAAATTGGACTTGAGTATAGTGCCCGGCTCTGTGCTAAAAGATAAGACAGAATACAAGTATACAACTTAGTACGCTGTTACCGGATGGAAGGAATTAAATTATTTAAATTAATGTACCGATTTATTGGACTATAATATGATTATAGAATTTATTTTAAATGCATGATAGAGTCATTGATATATTAGATTTGATCTATGCATGCTCTGGATGGTAGTTGCTGAATTATTAATTATTTCCTGCAACTATATGGTTTAACTCTTGGATTTAAATTGCTGAAATACTAAATACTCTTCTGCAATTATTTGGAATGGTTTTGGACTGTAAATTGCTAAACTATATGTATATGTTGTAATTTACATGGATATGGATGATTGTATGCACCGGTATGGGACGGTGACATATTAGGTATGGTTTAGCTCAAAACGCTAATTTCTACCTTATGGATTTTAATTGGTGAACAGTTTTACCTGTTCAATCAATTATATAGATTTTGTGAATTGTATGCACCGGTATGGGACGGTGGCATACTAGGGACAGACTGATTCAAAATACTCAGTCCTACCTATTTTGGAATAAGGGTACGGGTTGTTAAATAAAATCCTCCTTATATATATGGGTCGGTGCGGTTGAATATGCCGAACGACTTACTAGATTTCTTATGGATGAATGTGAACGGATTTTATATATATTGTTATGGTACCGCGATCTAAGCTTGAGTCTCATAATCGACGGTTAGGGTGCGTATATGCAGTAGGATACGTAACTAGCTATGTTGGTTGAGGTATACCCTGTTAGGCTTAGGTAGTCATGTCCACTCAGGTGCGTATTACATGTTGCCTTCTATTCAGGTTAAGACCCTCAGCATAGTTTAGTGAGAGTCATGTAGTGTGGATATATATTTATCTATTGCGGACTATATAGATATGGTTGAGACACCTAGGATGTATCTGCGTATCGGGTCTTTGTTTGGATTGTAGTTAGGATAGAACTTGTTCGTGAGCCTGACCTACTATTATTTTTCAGGTAACGGACGGTTCCAGGTCTTAGAGCTTGTTCGTGCTGAGCAGAGCGACTACTCACTCTACCGACGACATAAGTGGTTCCTGCATGGTGTAGCATTGGATTCTTTTCCGATGATTCGTTTCTCAGTATTGGTTTTACAAGGGGTCCACTAGATGGATTCCCGAGTTGTATTAGAATTGAAAAAGTTGGATGTATCAGATTAATACTTTATTTATAAAATTTTATTCTGAGGTTTTCAGTTTTGGATTATCATTCTAGATTCTTTACAGCAAAATTTATTTATTCGTGTTATCTTAATTGTATTCTATGTTCATTTATTGCTAATTTATTTGATATCCTCGGATAGTCGGGCGTGGGCCTGGCCAACCCACACTCGTTGCTCTCATTAATGTCATCGAGTAAAATAGGATCAAGAGTGTCACGCATATTATATCAACGCCTCAATGCTCTATTATATTTGATGAACACTAAATCATTCAAAGTTGTTTGAGCAAACCTATTTCTTTTCTTGTTATGAAGCTGCAATAAATTCAATTTTAACTAGTAAGTATAAAAAATTAAAATTTTAATTTTCAACAATTAAATTACAAACCTAGTTAGTAGATAGTATATACTTACATGCTCAAACACGCTCCAATTTCGTTCACAACCAAAAGAACTGCAAGTAAGGCTTAAAACCTTTATAGCAAACTTTTGGAGAAGTTTTGTTGGCTTGCCATAAGTTTCCCACCAATTAGCTATTAAAAAAAATTAATAATGATGTTTAGCAACTTTAGCTTCATCTTTCTATCGACTCTATTGTCAAAATAATTTTAACACTTAGCTATACTAACTTAATATACTTTACCACTTTACCTGGTCCTCGTGTACTTCTCTGTCTAATAGCAAAGGGATTACCAAAGAGGCCCTCAGCTTTAGAATATAAGGACAGCTCCTCAGTAATTTTGTCTTGGTCTTTGACATCCGGGACTAACCTTGCAATGCATGCATACAAACCCTTTGTAATCTCTTCATCTTTTTCAATTTTTGGATTTGAATAAAAGTATTCTGGGTTCAAATAATAACCTGCTGCATGCAAAGGGCGATGAAGTTGAACATTCCACCCCTTATCAATTATTTCAAAAATATCATTGTATTTGTCTTCTACTTCCCCAAATGATTTTGCAATGGTTTTTTTAGCCCTATCCATAACCGCATAAATGTATCCCATGGGAGGCTTTTTCTCGCTATCAAGTAATCTCAAAACCGGAATAAGAGAACCGGAAACCTTAAGGCTAAAGACAATGTTGTTCCAAAAGGAAGGCATCAAAACATAAGAAGCAACTCTTTTACCGGCTTCCTCTTTCGCCCATTTACTACGACTCCATTCTTCTGAAGTAAACATCTTTCTCAAGTTATTCTTTTGCTTGTGAATACTTGGTAATGTGATGAAACATGTAGCAAATCGAGTCTTAGCGGGCCTAAGCAACTCCTTTTTATGAGTAAAGTTCCTCATAATATTCAATAACTTTGGACGCATATAAATATAACTATTCAACTCCACTGCCCTCTACATTGTTCTAGAGATGGACGGTATTTTTCCAATGTCTTCCAACATCAAGTCTAAGCAATGAGCAACACATGGTGTCCAATACAAATGTGGGTGTTCTTTCTCTAACATCCTCCTTATTTGAAACCAAACGGAAAAAAGAAAAAATGATATAAAGAGAATAAGTAAATCAAAAAAGATTTAAATTATATATTTGTAAAGAATGTAAACTCTAAAAGTTATAAACATTGAACATTCTAACCGGCATACTTATTGCTTGATTCACTATCTGTGACGACTTGGACGACATTTGCTATTCCAATGTGGTTCACAAATTTATTAAGCAAGTCAAACATCTTTGCACCATAATTTGAAAAAGAAGAACTATCTATCGATTCAATAAACATGGTTCCCTTTGGACTATTTACTAAGAAATTAAGCAATGTTCTCCCTCTGTTGTCTGTCCACCCATCTGCCATTAATGAGCATCCAAATTTTGACCACCCGTAAAGATTCTGCCTGAAGCACTTGTATGACAATTTCAAGCTGAGATACAAAGGTACCAGATTAAGGAACTTATTCTGGGATGCAGCCACTGCATATACTACTTCTGAGTTTGACCTTTTAATGCAAGAAATAAGGTCAGTGGATAAAAATGCATATGAATGGTTAATGAATATTCCTAAGAAAGTGTGGGCAAGTTCATCATATATTGGCAAGAGTAAGAGTAGCCTATGTGTTAACAATATGCGTAAGTCTTTTGACAATTTTAGTGGGAAGGCAAAAGAAAAACCTTTAGTGTTTATGTTTGAGATGATTAGAAAATAGCTTATGATAAGGTTTAAAAAGAGTATGGTTAATATGGCAAGGGTAAATGGATTATTATGCCCAAAAATTTTAGAAAATGTAGAAAAGATTCCAGTTGATGTGAGAAAGCTGCATATGGAGTCTACTGGGAATGACAAATATCAAGTGGATAACATGTCATACCAAGATACAGGAGTTAGTGATTATGTGAATGTGGTAGAGAAATCTTGTTCATGCAAGTATTGGGACATAAGTGGCATTCCATGCAAGCATGCAGTTGTTGTGGCAGTGTTCAGAAGAGAGGATCCACACACATATGTGAACCCTTATTACTATAGGGACAGTTTTTTTGAGTGTTATGGCCATGTGATAACTCCAATGTCATTGAGAAATATGAGAAGAGAAGTGGGCACTGCTCGTATTTTGCCACCACCTCATAGGCCCCAACCAAGAAGACCTAAAAAAAATAGGAAGAAAGGTGCAGATGAGGGCCTTTCAAGTAGTGGTATGGCCAAGAAAAAGCAAAAATTGACATGCAAAAAATGTCTGCAAAAGGGCCACAATGTTAGAACTTGCAAGGCAGCTGAACCTGCTCCAAGACCACCTAAAGGTAGAGATGGAAGACCACCACTTCAGAGGGGTACAGGTGGAGTAGGTGGTGGCAAGGATGAGAGCTTTAGTGGTAGGGGTGGTGGTAGAGGTGGTGGAAGAGCTGGTGGTAGAAGTGGTGGAAGACATGCAGATGGTGGTGGAAGGCATGCATATATAAATGGTGGTGGTGTTGTTGTTGGTGGGGGTGGAAGAGGTGGTACATTTGATAGTGGTAGATCTCCAATAAATTTTACTGTTGTTAGGGCCGCAAGTGGTGATGCAAGTGGTGTAAGGGCTGCAGTTAGAGGTCATAGTGTTGGTGTAGGAGGTGTTTTGGGTCATTTACAGGTAAAAATGCCTTAACCTTTAAATTCCATTTTATTGACATAAATGCTTGTATTTGCAGTGCTATTAAAATTTTATATGTTTTATTAGGCATCATCATCCAACCAACAAGTGGTGGATATAAATTATCCATACGCACAAGGAGGAACACAAGATTGAACATCCTCTTATTAATTTTTGTGAATTAAGTAAGTGACATTGCATAAGACTAAATCTTACAAGAATTAGGATTTGTTGTACATGGAACATAAAGTCATTAAATTTTTTTATTGTTTTAACAGGTTGGTTTGTGGATGATAAAGTGATGGTTGGTGACAGTGCATTGAATTTTGGAAAATTTGATGATTAATGGCGGATGACAGTGCAACAGTTTTTTTGTAAAGCTTGTGTTGGACAGTACTATGGCTATTGTTTTTTTTTTTTTAGAACCTGGTGGATGATATTGATATTAATTTTGTAATCACAACCAAACTTGATCAGTTAATGCCCAAGTTTTATTTTTTGGTCAATATGTGTGTATTTAATGGTATAGACATGTTATGAAATGCTTTTATGGTATTTATGGTATGAACATGTTATTTATTGCATTTGTGATTAGGTTATTGTATGACATGTCTCATGTGAACAGGTTGCATTTGGATGGATTGTTATATTGCATTTGTAAACAGATTTTATTTGGATGGATTGGTCAATTGCATTTGAATGGATTGTTGTATTGCATTTGTAAACAGTTTTCATTTGGATGGATTGGTCAATTGCATTTGAATGGATTGTTGTATTGCATTTGTTAACAGGTTATTGTATGACATGCTTCATTTGAACATTTGGTATCAATGTTGTGAACATGCGATTGAAACTACATATGCTAACATTCAAAGGACATAAAATAATTGTAATACAACCACCTTAAGAGTAGAGTACATTAACAGCAACTTGCAACACAAAACAAGATCCTAAACCAAACAACACATACAATATTTGAAACATACAAGCCGCCTTTAACTCCTAAGCAACTTAAACAACACAAAACAACTTGCAAATCCTAAACCAAACACAAAAGCACAACTAGTCCCTACACCTCCTAAGCCGAACCAAGAACCAGGCTATTTCCCTCCCAAAGTTGACACAAAAGTAACAATAAAAATGATGATACAGGCTGCAACAAGTTTCTTCATCAATTAAAGACTTCCTTCGATGGCAGTCAATTTAGTCTTCAAGTAAGCAATATCAATTCTATAAACTTGTTGACCAACCTTAATCATCTTCCTATTTGCATTTGAAGTTCCTATTGAAATTGGTTCACACCATTCCCAAAATCCACATCTTCTATTTCGACATCTATAGTATAGCTTTCCCATATTGTCATATTCATCGGACCCTGTTACCAAAATTATAGCTGTTTTTTGATAATCACATTCAGCATCGGTATACCTTAGATCAAGACTCCCATGTTGATTGCTTGAAGAAGACATTCTTGGATTAAAATCTACAAATCAAAACCAACTCATAACAATAAAAATTTGATAGTGGTCATGGCTGGAAACTAAGGTAGATATTGAATTTACGAGTTGAAAAACAAAATTCACATAATTAGGGCTACGGTAAGAGATTTCAATTAGGGCTTCGGTATGGGGGTTTCAATTAGGGATAGGATAAGAGGTTCCAAGTAGGGCAGCAAATTACATTCAATTAGGGCAGCAAATTACCATCAAATAGGGATTACCTTCAGTTAAGTCTTTAAAATCACTTCGAGTGATTCTTTGAATGGAGGAGAGAACGGCGACTTCAGATTACTTCCTCAAAAACTTCTACCCATGATTGTTTAAAGGATTTCGCAGAAAAAACTCTCAACTTGCGCTGTCCTTTCAACCCTCCTATACCTTCCTTTGTGGATCGTTTTGTGTGTATATATTATATGTATATGTATATATAAGTGCTTTGGTGACTTAAATGTCACCAAAGGTATTTTAGTCATTGGCAAAATACCTATTTTGGCTTTTTTAATTGATTTGGTACATCAGAAAGGTAATTTCGTCCTTTTATCATAGACATGGTGCGTAATGTGATCAATTTTCATAGTGTTGGGGGTTTTCTAAAGTAGGTTGGGGGTATTTGATAAAAAAAAAGTGATAGTATTGGGGGTTTCGTGAAACTTGCCCTTTAATTTATCCAAACTTCATAAGAGGTAAATGTAATTTATCCTAATTAAATTAAATATTATTACTACATCTACTTCTAATTAATATATATATATATATAGGAAAGAGTTAAGCCCATCATTTTTTTTACCAAAGGGCATCAATCCTAATGGTATAATCTCCCCATCGATCCTAATGGAGAGGGTTCAAGCTTAAGTATGGGCAAAAAGTGTGTGAGTTGGTGTATTAAAAAAATATATATATTTTGGGCTTGTCGGTTCTTCATACTATATATGCCAAAATTATACCATATATGCCAAAATTATACATGATTGGTAAGAATGGAATATGAAATACTTTTTTTAAGTAATGATCCAAAGTAAGAGTCAGGATGACTAAATTTATACGAGTAAAAGATAATGTTATGAATACATCATCCGACTTTCAAATTACTTATCACTTATTCATAAATTTTTTATTTTTACATGATCTTATTAAAAAATCATGGAATGCTCCAATTATTCCCCATTGTATGGTCGGCCTACTTTCTTGAAGAAGCTCTCTGAGAGGAAGCCGCCGATCTCGTACGAGTTTGGAGGCAAATAGACAAATTTGCAAGTGTAGGGAATGAAATAGCTTTCGGGCTCTTTGAGCACAAGAGTGCTTTGTTATATACTCTAAAACACTTCCATAACAGGTGGTAACCAATACAATCACATATTTCCTGTATACAAAATTATGATCTGTGATGCCAAAGTCAAGATGGCTATGAATCAAGACTTAGAAAACATCAAAGCAGCTGGAAAATTAGCGTCTAAGAAGCATGGAAAATTAGCGTCTAAGAAGCATTGACTGCGTCACGGGACACGAACACGATATGCATTTACCGAGCGCAGAGACTTACTGTATAAAACTTTCCTCAAAATGCTTTGACAATACCAGAGCGACGGTGAAGACAAATAGATGGTCAAGCCATGGACAGGACATGGCTTACTTTGTGGCACTTAGTGGGGAAGAACTTCATCCCTTCCCAAAAAAACAACCAAATTCCACATAATTATGATTATCTCATCTCCAAATTTAGCTTCAACTCAAATGACTGCCTAATGAAATATATATATATAGTACCACAGTAGCTACAATATAATTTATAATGCATATAACATCCATCATCCAACAAGCACCTCTAAAGCGCGTCAACGACTTGGTCCGAGTAAAAACCAGAAATGCCACTACAAATAACCTTCTAGCATCATAATAAGAACAACAGTCAAAGGCCATTATGAAAAATCTGTGTCTCTCGTCATGAAGATCAACTCGTCCTCGCTGTGATCACAATCATCACTCCTAAGTTCTTACCTCGGGCTGGAGTCTGGAGAGCCATCTCCATAGGAGACCAGGCCCTCCTTCCTAGGGGGACTACCAGGCGAAGACCTTGACGAATCTTTGCTTGTGCGCTTGGGCAATTGCGAGTCAACTGATGACCTCGAGTTTGATGGGCTCTGGCTGCGAGAAGGTGACCTCTGTCTCTCAGCCCGTGGAGACTCGGGTAATCTAGACCTCTCCGCGGGAGAGTACCTGCGAATAGGGCTGCGGCTATAACGGCGGTTACGATAACGGATTGGGCTCCGCGATCTAGTAGGGCTCCTAGTCCTGCTTCTTCTGCTTCTGTACCTGCAAACAGGTGTTACATAGCATGAAGTGTTAAAAGTCCTATTAATAATAGCAACAATTTGGTACCTTACCGAGAAAATATATATATACACATATATTATGGTGTGTCACAATTGAGGAAGGTTTGGTGGGGAAGGGGGAGCAACTGGTCAGAATGTTAAGAGTTTGGGAGGATTATTAATTACCAAAAAATTGTTAACTAAATTATTAATTACCAAAAATTGGAAGGTCCATCACAGATGAAACAGATTGCAATAGTAATAATACATGCAGCAGCATGGTCGCACTTAATTCAATTTTCAACATTCATAAGCATTCACAATTCAACTAAATTATTAACTACCAAATAAAACAGATTGCAATAGTAATAATACATGCAGCAGCATGGCCGCACCTAATTCAATTTTCAACATTCATAAGCATACACATTGTGTGTAACATGCACATAGACTTGGGAGTGGAGCTAAAATTCCATTATTCAAGCTACATGCACCTATTTCATATGGAACCAAACAAAAGACAAAAGATTCAACAATCAGAGAATACAAGGGCATCACCATGCTCCTTCCATACTCCATCCTTTTTCAATTTTTAAAGAACTACTCCAAATGTAAAAAAATTAACATACAAACAAGTCATATTTTCCATTTACAGCTTTACAATTTTTCCATTCCAAAGAAAACTAGTATAGAGCTGTATCCTGATATAACAGCTCAGAAGTATGTGAGAAACAACCACCACATGTACAGGGTTGCAAAAAGGAGTCAATCTAAGGCCTACCCTACAGCAGGAGGAGGAGGAGGAGGAGAAGAAGAAAAAGAGCGTAAAAGTAAGTTGGCAAGCCCTGCACAAAGGTCTCTTGATAAGCACAAGCTAAGATTTTAACAGCCACGAAGAAACAAGCTAGAACTTGTCAGACATAATGTATAAGATGAAAATTTAACAAATGCAGGCAGATAACAGACCTTGGAGTTCTTCCTCGAGGTGGGCTCCTGTAACGCCTAGGAGATCTCCTATAACTTGAATATCTAGCAATACAAACAATCACAAATGATAGAGTAAATTACATTCTGCAGAAAAAACATGACATTGTCAATAGTACCTTTAGTTGTTAATGGTTTAACATAAACAGTTTTGCTTATTACCTATCATGATCACGTCTGTTGCCATAACGATACGGCCTTGAAGGCGAACGTTCAGGAGAACGAGTCCTGTATCTGCGTGCATAAGAGTATCGCTCACTGAAACCCCTTCCCCTTCTGATGCGCTTCGGTGACCCATCTGGCGAAAGACTTCTTGATGGGCTCCTTCCACGATCCGACACAGGTGACTGTGCTTTGGCTCCTGCACTTACAGGGCTCCCTGAATAGCTGCGATGATTATTTATTATAGCTGCCCTGACTGGACCTCGGCTAGTACTTCTCCTAGAAGGGTCCCTACCCGAGCTTCTGCTTATGCTTTTTTGAGAAGATCTAATGGGGCTTTTGCTTACAGATTTTTGTGTTGACTTCCTCAATGAAGTTCTTGGAGGAGTTCGGCTGGGGCTTCTCTGAGGCAGAGGGCTCCTGCTAAGGCTTCTTTGATATCTGGCTCTCAACGGACTCTGGTTGACACTTCTACCCTTTTTGCCTCTAACTGGACTTCTGCTGACACTTCTGGCAGGGCTTCTGCTGGTGACACCTCTAACTGGACTCCTACTGATACCCGTGCTTCTTTGTAAGATGTGTAGGGGGCTTCTATTACCACTTGGTCTCCTGCTCAAACTCGGTCTCGGGCTCACACTTGGGCTCTTGCCCAAACTCCCATTGGGACTAATAACCATACTCTTGTTCGTAGTCCTTTTAGGACTAACGCTTCGGCTCCTGCTCATCAACTTTCAATAAAATGCCAGATCTGGAAGAATAGGTAAGCATAAAAAATGAGATATGAGAAGAAAAAAAAGGTAAACCTAGATTTGCCTGGGTGATCATCTACTACATCAGGTCTATCTGCACTTCCATCCGATTTAGTTTCTGCTTCAATGCCATTGCTTTTCCGCTCACCATTTTCCTTGGGATATTCATCCTCTTCCCTTTCAAGCATATCAGTCACCTCCCCCTTCTTATGATGAATGGAAGCCACTTCTCTCTCCTCAATCAAAGGAAACTGATTTCCAACTATAGAGTGAACAAAAGAAGTTAGCTGCACATCTAAGAAAAAGGAAGCATTTTAGAAAGGCAAAAATAAACAAGATTTATGTTTTACCTACGAAATCAAGATATTGGTCATAAAAATCTTATAACATGTTACAGCCCTTATATGCAATACTGCAGAGAATGCAGTCCATGCAAAAATTAAAATGCTATTCATACCTCTAGTAAAACACCATGGCCTTCATTCAAATTTCTCAAGCATTCAAACAACTGCCATGCAAAGAAATGCAGACAACCATCTCATTATTCGACAGCCCCTCATTCTAATGCATAAGAATACAAGAAACATAACTCAATTTAACTTTTCTACCATGGGGTAATCTGGTTATCAATACATGAAGAACTTGCACATATCATCAAACTGGTAAGTAAAATAATTCTTTTGTGAGTAGTTCACATTTTTTATGGCTCATCGGTGTCCTCCAATAATACAAGTCATGTATATTTAAATTTCCTGAAACAAGTTGATACTTACTTTCTTTGTGGGGTGGGAGAACCAAGAACTTTATGATCAAAATACGTCTCAAGTTAGGTAGAATGTTGATACCAACAACTCGTTTAGATAAAAATAAAGCACATGCACAGAAAAAACATCTGTGTATACAAGTAATCATAAATCACAAGAATAGCAGCTAAAGACTTGGTGAAAAATTAACAAAATAAATTCAATCATAGCAGTTATCTGTGCCGGATTTTTATGCTTCACATAAGAATTGTATGATCAAAATGCATCTAAAGTTGGTATAATGTTCTGTACCCCCTCATTTGGTTAACAGTAAAGCACACACAAACGGAACTTGGAGAGTGAAAGAGCTGAACTAGCAAAAGGTCCAAAAAAAGAAAAATAAAGGAGGTAAGGGCCGTAAGGCTGTAAGCAATCATAAAATTCAACAATAGCAACTGAAGAATTGGTGGGAAAATAATCAAATAAATTCAAGGCCTAACTAGAAAGCTCCAAAAATGATAAATAAATGAGGTAAGCAATCATAAAATTCAACAACTGAAGAATTGGTGGAAAAATAATCAAATAAATTCAAGCATACCAGTTATCTGCGCCTGGTTTTTAAGCTCATGATTTGGACCTTGTACATCAACACCGTTCTCATCAGAAGCACTTCCACTTTCACTCTCAGTACCAGTAAGACTGTCTGACGCCCTTTAACATAACAAAAAGGAAGAACTTCAGCATGTTATAATTCTCAACACTAAAACAGTAACAGGGCAATTCATACTTCGAATCAAAAGAAGAGAATAAAAGAGATCTTTTACCACTCTTTCATAAAAAGTTCCAAGAAAGCCCCTATCAAAGCAGGCAACAAGTATTTAAGAAAGAAATATGCACACACTGGCATATTATATATATATATATATATATATATAGAGAGAGAGAGAGAGAGAGAGGAAAGACACGAGAAGGTCGCTCAAGAAATACTCATGCAGCGCACTGGCTCCATGAGTGAAATGGTTTAGATGAATCTTAGGGTATACTTTCAATATAAGAACAGTTGAAGATCACATTGAGATACAAAATTGATTTAAACAAAAATTTGCACATTAGGACTATGTTTAATGAGTCAAGGACCATGATATAACTGTTTTTTCAACTCCCAAAACAACAGAAACGAAATCTCCAACATTTATTCATCTCTAAAGATTCCTGTTCATCAATAAGTCAAATTAAACAGTTTCAAACCAGATAGATTCAGGAGATTATGATTTTCTCATCTAATTGTCAACAAAAATAAACTTTAAGAAATTGAGGACAAATTGGCAGTACATACGGAACAAATATGGGAACATAAAACACAATTATAAAATCAATAATGTCTTAACAACAACCTTTTTGATCTGCGCTTTGATCTCTTATCACGCCTATTGCGCTTTTTTCCATGCCGTCCATCCCTCCTTTTTCCATGTCTATATCTCTCTCTCTTGGAAGACCTCTTTCTCTTCTTTCGCCTGTCCTCACTTGAAGAACTAAGATCCGATGATGACGATGTATATAAGTCAGAATCACTATCAGATTCAGATGAATCTATCTCAGAATCCGAGGGACTGTCTGAATCAGATGTATAATATTTTCTTCTCTTTTTCTTTTTGTCTCTTGAAGATTTCTTGTGTTTTCCTCTACGTAGCACTTCATGACTATTAACCTCAGAAGAAGCATCCTTCCTTATTTTCAATTTATTCGTTAACTTTTTTTCTGCACTTAAAAAGAATAAAATCAACAAGTAGACAGGGCAAAAAAAAATTATATGGACAATGCTCAACTAATAAGGATCAAGATCCACTAAGTTGAAGCTCCTTTAAGCTACCATAAAGTGAATCCTCCCATGTTGACGCATGTATACTTTACTCAAACTCACGGCATGCATGCAGTGAGAGACATCATGCTTTGTCTCTTTAAATCTTAATTTGCTCCCTAACAAACAAACAAACAAACAAACAATCCTAACAAACTAATTACCAATAGAGCACGATATGACACACTGCATCCAATAGACCTGAGTCAGGGAGAATTCAACTTAGTATAAGTTAGAGAATTTTCAACTTGGAGCATCCTTATCCAAAGGTAAATCTTGAATATCCTTTAATGTTAAAGGAACGAGAATATGCGTATAAACTATGGAACCTTTGCTTGAATATTCTACAAATAAATTCCATGACAAGACAATGTCACTCTGAAATATAGTTGAATTTTGATTCTCACCCTCATGAAATTCACCGCTATTAATGATCTTCACCATTACAGCAGGTCTCCCTTCTTGATCACCCACATTCTCAATCTTTTTTAAAACTTCCTGTCCTTGCACAAGTTTCCCAAAGACAACATACTTCCTGTGAGACAATTTATAATTAAGATATTTGAGTACAATGCAACAAATTTCATGTATCAAACAAAATTGGAACAATTTGTAGAATATTATTGGAATCAGCCCAAGTACAGTTTAAAATGCACTAATAAAAACTGAATTAATTGCTATAACAACATCAACCCAGGGAATATTCGCGGTGCATGTGGGACGGGGGGACTGCGTGTGCCCAATGGTGTGGACTGTGGGGTGCTCTAAGAGGCCCGGCACCACCATCGTCGATAAAAAAAAGGAAAAAAAAAAAGTGCTGTAACAAAATAGCAAATAAACAAACCTGTCAAGATGATGATTAGCCTTGAAAGTGACAATGAATAGAGAACCACATGTATCACGATCAGCAACAGCCATTGATAAAAGACCAGATGCATTGTGTTTTAGCTTGGGCGGCTCATCTGAAACATGTCCCAATTACACCAGTCACTACTTGGTAAAATAGACCAAATAAGTATTAAGGTTTACACAAGACAGTTATTTTTCCCCAGTGAGTATAAACTATAAAGTCAAAGAATAAAAAATATATATATTATATTCAGGGGGAACTACAAACACAAAATCAAAGAACCTTTTATGGACATGAATAAACAGAACAATTATAAAAATCACAAAACACAAGAAAATGAGACAGCATCCATACATCTCCAAAAGGAATGCATGTATTCAATGACAAGATTGCTAGATCAGTATTTCATAAGCACTCTAGATCCAACCTTTCCAGTTTGAGAAACACAAGATGCCGTGCTTATTGAAAATACACTTCACCACAAACACATTGTATGCATCAATGATAGTTATAACTTTTTAAAATACCATCAATACAAAACACAATTCTGAACAACAAAAACAATAGTTGCTCTGATTATTTTTGTATTGGCAGTTAAATCCATCATATTCATGAAAAGTTAGATGTTCCATTACGTCATGATGCATCAATCCATTCGTAATTATTTAATCCACTCTCTAAATAAATAATGTGTTACAGAAAATAACATTTAGTTAAGGTGAATGGCAGTGGCAGTGATGGCAGATGTTATCAAAGCACTAATGGTAATGCAGTTGCTGTGGCATCATGTAAGAGAAACAACAGCTGCTAAAGCAACAAAGTAGCGACAGTTAAGAAGATGCACTGGTTGATTTGGTGAAAGCATTGGTGATGTTAGCAAGAGAAACAAAAACACTCACGATCAATGTACTGGAGGTGGCAGGGGGCTACGTCATTACTGTGATAGCAATTTATCATTGCTACAACAGTAATGATAGTATTGACAGATGCAACAATGCTACAGGAAGAGTGAGAAAGGGAGGGGGAGCAGCATCAGTAAAGGTGGTGTCACCAATCGTTGCAGCAATGTTAGTGAATAGAGCCTAGGTGTCAGTAAGGCAGCAGCAGTGGTGATGGTGAGCATTGCTGCGTGTGGAATGACACAATACAAGATGGAATTTATGACTTAAGTAAGCGTTTTAAACTTCACATCACACAGTTTGACAGGTCTACCATAATCAGTGGTGAATCCACCAGGGGAAGCCAGGGTGACAAAGAAGCAGCCCCCACTCACCCCGCCCCTGCCCCCACAAAACATATAAATATATATACACACAATTCTACTAAGGATACTCAATTGCGAAAGAGAGAGCAAAAAAGGAGTCTCTAATGGGCTCAACACTTCTCACAGTTCAATCTGTCAGATGAACATCATTTAAAATTCTTTAACCCTTTTTTTTTTTTTTTTTGATAAGTTAAAATTCTTTAAGAAACTATCATCCACATTCTAAAAGTGGTGGATAAATCATTTTTTTTTTTTTTAAATTGACGTGGAAATGGGTATCTCTCTCAATATAATACCATTAATATGATCATAATACTTTACATAATTCATCATATATTAATGAATTTCCTTTCACATAATTTCTTTTCTACTTAAATTTTGTCAAAAACACAATTTAAATCCACAGCAACATCTATGAGGAACATTGATTTGTCTTTCAATTTTTTTAGGTGAGAAAGGTAAAACACAACAGAAGTCATACATCCAAATGACAACTTGTCTAACAATGCATATTTTGAATTGCCATCTAGCAGACAGAACAATAATGATGCTTGAAATCTCTGCAATTTTGAAGAAGTCTAGCCAATAACACAAAACCAGTTGCTTACTCTATGTATCAATTACTTAAAAGGATGGCATCATCACTAAACCATCAGGATTAAAAAATGTGCCTGAAAAGGAACAAAAATATAACTGTGTGCTCACCTGGAAATTCATCCCCATATATACTTTCTCCAAAAGTCCCTGCAAAGTAGGCGAAAAATTAAATTCGCAATAGAAAGTGACAATGGAAGCTAAGCAGTTTTATCAACTACAGAATAGTCCCTCGAACAATGCATCATATCCCGAAATGCAGGACAACAGTTACAGAACAATTGTATAAGTAAGACAGACGAAGTCAAATGAGGCTTACTCAAATAATTTGTTCAACCTATAATATTAGGTTATGTTCTACTTAAATTTCCTCATCCTCAAGCTCAGGCCCCGGTATACAAAGTCGTTAAATATTCTTGGACTCATTTAACATCCCACCCCTTCTATTATACCAGTTAAAATCACAGAGAAGATGGTGAAGAATGGCTGTCCCACATCTTTTGCTTTCTCTTCGTAAATGCTTTGAGCAACTAAACAAATTAGATGCAATGGTATTCATACTGAAATATCTTTTTGTTTTTTTCATAACTAGGAGTCTAGGTTACATGACAGTTTACATTGTGAGAGCACTGACAAGAAGCATTGTAACAGGCTTCTCCAAAGTATTATACTTCCATTGCTGTATCGCTTGCTTTTTCAAGAATTCTTAGAACATTTAAAGAGGTAATGGAAAAATACTCAACTAGGGCTTACTACTTAACGTTCAAAGTAGTCAACATCCTAAAGCAAATACGCACCTGCATAACAATCGTCCTTTTGGAGATTCCAACTTTTTAAGGGGATGTGTTTAATGTAAATTGCCCTCAGAAATCCCAAAACTAGCTTCCAAAATCTAAATATTTACATTGTTAATTTAGGAAAATTTTTAAAACCCATGGACAATTTAGGGAAGTTTAATTTTTTACATTGACTTTTCAAAACGGACACTTACTTTTAACAGGCATTTAATTTGGGATGAAGGAAGTATGTATATGTGCCTATACGTCTTCAAGAAACACACTTGAATTTTATGGAGGGAGTATGCGTATGTACATGTGTCATTGCCTGTTTGTCCAAGGCATGTTTCCAATGCGTAGGAATCACAACAAGGTCATGCACTTGTGCTGTCTTCTACCACAGTGAAGTTAAGAGTTACTTAAAAAAATTTAACAGCTTCACAATAAGTGGACTTTGTCATAGTTTTTGGTCACTAGGTTATGCTCTTCTAGTTAAAAAGTCAACTTGGCAAACTGTTTCAAGTAAATTTATGCATACTAGGCTAAAGTATTCCCAATAAATAGATAAGAGCTTAAAGTAAGGGTGCAACAAAAAAGAATAAATTTATTTTTCTCCCTTTGAGAGAGAGAGATTGCTTCATCTCAACTATCTGGTGTCCTCTGTCAATGATACTGTATAAAAAAATTAGGATTCTAACCACTAAAACAGGTATATAACCCTGCAAACACCAGAAAAAAGAAAAAGGAGGGTAGGAAAACGCATAATAATTACATGGTTATAATCATCAAGAGTAAACATAGAAAATTAATAAAAAAGTCGAAATCATAATTTGCCTCAAATATGCAATCCTAGAACAATGTAAAACAGATACAAACAACTGATCAAAAACCACATACCATCTCGTTTAAGAAAATCACCACCCTGCAAAAAATGAACATAAGTTAATTAACTAGCAATCAAGGAAAAAAAACCATTTATACAAAACAGGTTTGGATACAGTGAAGTTTAGTAAATTTTTTAAGATGGACAACTTAAAAAGTACAACCTTAAAACTACATCACAAGAAAAGCAGTCGTGACCATCATCCCTGTATCCTACAGCATAAACAAGGATAGCTGACTAAAAGACAAAGACCACTTCTAAGTCATGCTCAACCAGAAAATTAAGCATAGGCAATGTGTAGCATTCATTCTAAAAAATAACAATTTGAATGCAAAAAAAAACATACCTGAGCCATTGATCCTTTAATTATGCGATGGAAAAAAGATCCTTTGTAGTGCAGAGGTCTTCCAGATTTACGACTTAGTCCTTTCTCCCCTGAAAAAAAAATATATAGATAATGATAGAAAAATCAGAAAAGTTGATTGTGATTCACCATCTGACAACAAAATGGATTAGGATGCAAACAAGGTGAAAGATTAGATTTCCAAATTCATGTTAATTAACAGCATTACAAGTCAAATGGCATACATGAAAACACAATAATAATCAAATATATATATGTATATGACAAGGCTCAATCTCATTGAATTTTCTTTCGCTTGATTTGTTAAACACGATGGAACTCATGACTACAGCATATAAACTAACAATAATAGGTCACAATTTAATTTCAAACATCCTTGCACTTTGAGGCTTTCCAAGAGTCAGTGCAATGGCTTCTCCGTATGCTTAGACAGTGGATGAAGTATTTGCACAACATAAAATGGAAAACTATTGAAATGCGTTTAATTACATTAACATGGAGCTACATAAGAAAATGGATTAACATAAAAATAAAAATAAAAATAAAATAAAATAAATAACTTACATACCTGTACAGAGTGCACGAAAATTTTCTGCAGTCTTGGGAACAACATCAGAAAAAAGCTGTAAGGTAAACAATGACCAATCATATACATGTTCTTTTATTTTTTTGGCATGAGGAATAATACAATATTAAATGATTTTTAAAAATTTAAGAAAGAATCAAAGGCCTTACAATAAACAACAAAAAAATGTAGCAAAAAATACACGTAAAAAGAAATTTTCACTCAATACTTTAGTTGATAGTTTGAATAAATAATAATACCTCAAAAACCATTTTTTCAAAAGGATCACCATCGATAGACACGTCCAAGAAAACCTGAGGGTTCTTCTTGTTCATTTTCTTCGTATTTCAAGAATACAATATCAAGCCAGTGTCGCCAATGATCTGATGGCAAAAGCATGCATTAGCAAGAACACAAACGCGATCAAGATATAAAAGATAAAGAAGTCATCACACATACACTTCAGAGCAATCTACGAACCCATTTCAAACATGACACGTGACAAGTGGTGAGCAAGGACTACAATAGATGTCGGAAAAAGGTGCTATTGGATGCATGGCCAACAAGGGCGTCAAGCAAGGGGAGACAATAATTCCTGGAGTAGCCACAATTCAAATGAACATTCCCAATGATCCTGTATTTTTTCTATTCTAATTAACATACCCATGTCAATACAACACAACATGGGTACGCATATAGGATATATGCCCACACTCTGATACTCTCAAGTCTCAACTTGTCATGATGGAAGAAGAAAAAGCTCAAACTATAGCAAGGAAGGGTTTCCAACTTCTAAGATAGATGGAATTCCCTTTTCTTCACAATACTACATTTAATTTAAATTTTAATTGTGTATTTGTAAAGAATAATAGCATCTCATAGTACCCTATTATATTTATGTATTTAAATGTGCAGAAATGTCCATGTACTTGTATCCAAGTTTTTGACGCAATTCAAGCCAAGACTCTGTATCCTTATATTTAGGGAAGTATGAGGCTTTGACACAAGTCTGCACTAAATACACATACCTGAGTTCATGTAACATAGAACCAAATAAATTATTGGGACAGACAAATGGGGATGGATATTTTTAATGGTGTTCACACTCCTTCAAAAACTCAAACCCAAGCATGTGGTTTTCCTATTAATGTGTATCAGTAGCAAATCTAGCTAGCATCATATAGTTAATGAGACAAATATTTAGGAGTGCGACTAAGGCAGGGTCAAACAGGTTGAGGGATCAACCTAGGCTCAATCTAAGGTACAACACCTTTAACACAGGCCCAAAGCAACCAAACCCAAGCTCTCCAATCGGAGCCCAATCCGCACTATAATCTTTGCATTTGAGTAAAGGTTGGGTTCGAAATTTCAAGCTAAAAGCCTAACCATCAAGTTGATCTCAGGTTAATTTCAGGTCGCAGCACTGTGGTACTTCTATGTATTTTAAAAATAGAATATATAAAGATAATAAACTCTCAAGAAATAGATTCTTCAAAGGATTAATTTCCAATAAATCAAGATTTAAAGAAAATAAATCAAAAAAATTGTTGATGGCAAAAATAAAGATATCTATGTAACATAAAAAATTATATATTCTGATTTATCTTGGGTTGGGTCCGGGTTGGTTGACACCCCAACTGGAGCTCGACCCAAATCAAGCCGAATCGGCTTCTTTTCAATTATCGTCATTCCTTTTTGTCCAAGACAAATCCTGTATTAAATCCTAGCACATCAGATCCCCACTTGACTCAAACCCATTCCTTATAGCCTCAATTACCTTTAAGCTACCAACTTTAATTAATCAATTCAAACCACTCACTTTGGGTTCAACTTGTAGTACATTACTATGTATAAACTTGTTGACAACACATTCAACTTCTTTGATTTTCCCTGCATTTGCCACTAAACATCTATATCTCCTCATTGTGTGACCCTCAGATGATAGGTGAGATGTTATTTCCTACACAAGACTCAATACCATAAAGCATGAAATACCCACATACCTCATCTAATTTAGTAGGGAATTGATGATCACACAACTCTTGAGACCTACTACTTGCAAGTTGCAATGGTAATGCGGCTCGGAAATTTGTCAACCCAACTGACAAACCAGATAGTTCTAATGGAAACCATACTTTTATGAAAAGATAACCAATTAGTAAACACAATTCATTCCACATTTTGTAAATCAGCAGAAATAATGTAGATATCTTATCATACTAACAAATCATATCAGAGTCTAAATACTTAGCTCCACTTCATCCCATACAATAGATCAAAGCGGATATAACAAGTACATATACAAAAACAGCTACTTCAGGCAGAATCATGCAGTAAAAAAGCTAAAAGTTCAAGAAATTGATTTAATCTGAATTATTAAAAGTTAAATCACTTCTCCAGTTCATCCACCCTACCAAGGGAGAAGCAAACCGCCCAGCAGAGCATTTATTTAGCAGATGGAAACAGATTGGACTATACAGTTCGAGCGCATACATCAATATAAAAACAAATACATATAAACATATATATACACGTACATGGGAACGTACAAATGCACATATACGACCATATTTTACCAAAACTCCAGATATATCAACTCCAAAGCTATCAAAAACATATGACTACAAGATCAGACCAAACATTAAACCCTACCAAATTCTTTCACAAACATGAAGCAAAAAAACTGATCACTTCAGAACAGAAACCAAAAGGAAACAGTAATCGGATCCATCAGTGACGTGATTAGACTACATTTCAACAAAATTCACGAAATTAATAACAACCAAAGTAGAGAAATTACAAGAACATATTGCAGAGAGGTTCTAACAAGTTCAATATCCGATAAAATTAAATACACGCATATTTATACAAACATACACACATAGCTAACCCTAATTTTTACCTGGTAGATGACGCAGCTAGTAGTGCTGCTGCTGCTCCTCCACAGAAACGTAAAGAAGAGAGGAAGAGTGTGGGTGGGAAGACGGAGGCAAAGCGAACCTAGTACTTCCACTATCTACGTAATTTACTGAATTGACCCTGGGTTAGTCTGGAATGACATACATTGTCCTTTTGACACAAGAAGCCCAAACAAATTTTTTTATTTTTTTTTCTATGTACTTCTTATTTTTTTTAATAGTAATATGTACAAAAAGAATACTAGTAAAAAAAAAAAACCCTTCCTTTTAAAAGATATAAATCCTCTATATTCTTATTCTATTTAGAAAATGGGCATTATGGCAAAGAACAAGAAGAAAACAACAGGCGATATTTGTCCAATAGTCACTATTTAGAAAACTAAACAATATATAATTAATTCTATTAATAATATGTATCATGCATCATATAGCATTACAGTGGAATTTTTATTTAAATTAAATCTAACGTTGACATTCCAAACTCATTTATCTTCTTTTTTAATACTACAGAATCACTTTCTTCCTATTTTACATTTTCAAATTTTAAAATTACCAATTTTATACCTATTGTTAAAAATAAAAATGAAAAAGAAGGTATTTATCATTAAAGCATCATACTTTCTCTATGTGTCCCCACACAACCCTTTTTTTTTTTTTTTTACCTGGCAATATGAAATAGCCAAACGGAATGTACAACAGAACACAAAGGCATTAGTCAAATACCGAACAAAATTACCATAACGTGTATACAGGGCGGAGTCAATGCATGCCCACGGGAAACGGAATTTACAAAACACAACCAAACAAAACAACACAACAAAGAAGCATAAGCCAGACATCGAACAAAATCACCATAACATGTATGCAGGGGCGGAGTCAGTGTATGCCCAGAGGGCACTGCCCACTATACAAATAGAATTTTTTTAATATTTTATGTGTTTTTATGGAAATTTTTATATAATGTTCCCTTTAAAATTATTTCTAATTTTTTCTAATTTAAAGAGTTAAAATTTTATTGTTAAATTAAATTTTAATTGTTTCCTTTTTAAATTGTCATTTTTCTTCTTCTTTTTTTTATTTTTTTTCCCTGCGTCTATGTAAGCATCTCATCAACTCGGTTTTGACCAGAATCAGGAGTGATTAGGTGGCGATCACATGCTAAAGTTATTATTTTCTCTGTCTCTTCTTCCTTATTTACTTTGTTCTGAAAAAAAAAAAATTGGCTGAAGTCTTGGGACAGCGAAAGCACAAACAAAGAGAACCAAAGAAAGAGAAAAGAGAAAAGATTCCATCGTGATTCTGTTTAGATATTACAACAATGCAGCAACACCACACAGTATACATAGAAACCTAAGACAAAATTCCAAATAAAATACAACTCTAAAATAGATATTTAAGACAAAATTCCAACAAAACCAATTTATGATGCATTTGAAACTCGTATTGCATGATTATAGAAAGAAATTTTGAAAATATCTTATTAACCCAATTTTGGTCCGCATCAAGAGTGCTTTCACGTGCCTAAAAAACATTGACGTTTGGAGGCCAGTCATTTAAAATTAATTAAGGACACATTCCTTTAAATAGCCTGTTTTATTTTTAAAATATTAATAAGTCCTCAAAATAAATCAACATGTTGAAAACTAATTGGAAAAAATGAAAGAATCTTCAACAAAGAAGAATAATGTGTGATTTATATATGTGTTTTGATTCACTACTGTATTTGGGTAAATATATTAATTTTTGTTCAAATTAGATTTATACATATGAGTTTAGGCACATAGCCTAATATATATTTGTTTATAAATATGGTGATTGGTGGAGAAAGGGGTGGTGGTATGAGTTGAGAGGAGATGATGGCCATCGTTAGACAATGGAGATGGCCATTATTAGAGGGTGGGATGTAAGACGCGGAGAAAATAGAGTGATAGATATGAAAAGAGAGAAGATAAATATAATAATGATAAGTTAATTATTTTTTGAAAGACTATAATAAGGCTGAGTTGTTGTTCCTCAAAATGCTATAATTTCTAGGCACATGATAAGACCATATGACCATAGTGGTTAAGAGCCCGTCTCTTGAACTCAATTATAATTGACAGGGATTGACACGAACATGATATGATAAAAAAATGAAAATTTTTAAAATTGGGAACTAATATATTTAAAGAATATTTTTAAAACATACAATGTAACTCGAAGATTTGACATAAGGACAACCTTATATAAGTTGGCATATTTTTGGACAATGACACCTCTTATTTCTTATTAGAATTTTTGATCCAAACAAGCCCTTAATACATTGAAAAAGACGATATTACCCATCACTATTTAATTCATTTTTATTGTAAATTATCAGAATTCTGGAAAAGTCATTTTTGTCCTTAGTATATATACACAATAATATACACACTATTACTGCCACTTCTTGTGAAGCCAGTGGGTGGAGGAAGGCGGCGCGGCAGTGGTTGTGGACTTGTGGTGGTTCATGCCATGGTGAGGGCATATATATATATATATATATATACACTCATATACTATGTATATAATAGAATTTTTTTAGGTAACTTTAGAGAGAGAGAGGAGTTAGTACAGAGAGAGCGTTAAAGTTATAGAGAGAGAGAAGTTAGTATTGATTGAACCAAGTTGCGAAGCCGGTGGGTAGAAGTTGGCTGCAGCCGTGGGTGGATGTCGGCGGTAGCAGTGGTGGTGGTGGTTCATGGCATGGTGGCGCTGGGTACTGGTGATAGCCAAAAGATGAGGACCGCGGCGGCAGTGGTTATGGTACGTGGTTCATTGCATCGTGGCGGTGAGTAGTGGGTGGTGATGGGCTTGGTGGCGGTGGGTGGTGATGAGGACAATAGACGGTGGCTATGACAAGGCCGAGAGGAGCAAGGAATGACCGGCAGTGTAGAGGAGATCGGAGAAGATGCCGGTGTTGACTCCTCCTGATCTCCGCCACTTAGATTTTCATTCTATTGGTGATTTGACGTGCAAGAAAGCTTGCCTACACTTTTGGAGTTGGTGAGTGAACTCCCCGATGGCTAAAAGTGTCAACTCCACCGGCGGCGTGGTCTGGGCTTGGCGGCGGCATGTTTCTGTTAGGATTTTCTGGTTTGTAGACAAAATGAAGTAAAGGGAAGAGAGAGATGAAAGTTGGAGGGATATTTTGGTAATTTAAAATAAGTCTTTAATGGTAATTAAGTCATTTTATACCCGAATCAGAGTCAAATGGGTAGTATTTTCATTTTATACATGTGATTTTGGGAGTGTGAGTGAAATATAAATTAACTTTATAAAAAGTAAAGTGAAAGTTAAAACAAAATGTTTATTTATGCTAGATTTGACCTAATTCGAGAAGACGTCTATAAAATTTATTCAATTAAAACTGAAGCAATTTGTAGAATTAAAAGTCTTTGCACAATTTGCATATGATCTTGATAAAATCTCTCATAATCAATTGACAAAACCAAAAGGTCAATGATTATCTGAAACACATATTAAAAAAATAGAAAAGTGGTTGTTGGTGAACCTAATCATTTACAACAAGTCAAAGACATAATAAGGCTGCATAAGATCTTTTCTTTTTCTTTTTTTTTTTTTTTTACTTTTTCTTTTATTTTTCATTTAAAAAAAAGAAAAGAGACCGTTGGGAAACAATTCTCTGCCATTCCGGTGAGGCCACAGGGCAAAACTATTGATCAGAGAGTTACTGCATGACATGGACTTTCCAATGGTGGGGAGCACCAATTGACAAGAGAGTCAAGGCAAAATGAAACCCACAATGTGTTTGAATAAATGACAAAGATGGAGAGTTAAATTGGTAATTGAAGAAGAGGTGAATGGTATTATTGAGAGACAAATCAAGGCAAAAATGGTTTTGGGATGTCATGGCTACTTTTTGTTTTTTTATATTATTTATTTTAAAGAAAATCATACTGTAAATGGATAATAGTCCAGTTGGTAAAAACTCACCAGTTCGATCCTTCAAAAAGGAAAAAAAATATATATATATACTGAGAACATACAAAATCCAAGATTTTAGTTAAGTTTTAAGCAAATAATTTCAATTTGTGACGTGAAGAGGCGGGTTTATATTCTATTATCATCCACCTAAATTGTAGAGTCAAATCTTTGGATTTAATTATCTGTGTACATTTGCTGTCCTACAAAACTCAAATCTGGATCACTAAAATACCCGCCATGTTTCTATGGACTGGACCATGTGACAACATGGTGCAAATCTCTATGTTAAATGGTGTGGAAATGCCATCTTTTTATGATGTGCCAATGAAAATATATCTGTATAATATTTATTTACTATAGTCTATGTATATAGACATGCACCTTGAAATTGTCACTAAAAATTCCGTTGTGATAACCGCCAAATTTCAAATCATGCAGTATTAGCGAAACGACCAATGACAAGAGAAATATACTGTAATATGATGGAAACACAACGCAATTTTATCAGACAATGACAAAGAAGATGCTATCACAGTGACAGCTTTTCGTTAGAAACTTAGAATCAACTCACCACCCCTTTCCTGTTATATATAATCTCCACCATCATGGTATCAAAAGCATCCTTGCTCTCTCTCTCACTCTAGTGATTCTAATTTTTTAGAGTGAGAAAGATGAATGCTACAGGCTACGCTCCCCTCCCTGCTAACCTATTGCCCGGTCCTGCAAACCCGCCATGGATGAACAAGGGCGACAACGCGTGGCAGCTCACGGCTGCAACACTTGTCGGTATGCAGAGTGTGCCGGGGCTTCTGATTCTGTATGGAGGTGCAGTGAAGAAGAAATGGGCAGTGAACTCAGCTTTCATGGTGCTGTATGCTTTTGCTTGTGTTCTTGTTTGTTGGGTGGGTTGGGGTTATAGATTGTCTTTCGGGGAGAGACTACTTCCATTTTGGGGAAAGATCAATGTAGCACTGGAGGAAAAGTACCTCCTTGATCCTGCATTTCTTGGGATGTTTCCTAATGCGACTATGGTGTTTTTCCAAGGCGTTTTCGCGGCAATTACTCTGATTTTAATCGCGGGGGCTGTGTTAGGAAGGATGAATTTTTATGCATGGATGTTGTTTGTGCCATTGTGGTTAACCTTTTCATACACAATTACAGCATTTAGTATTTGGTCCCCTAAAGGTTTCCTATCCAAGATGGGAATAATCGATTACTCGGGTGGATATGTCATCCATTTGTCTTCTGGAGTTGCCGGATTCACAGCTGCATATTGGGTATGGAAGAAATTCTTCTCCTCTGACATATTTTTCATTCAATAATAATGTCACTAGTTTTTGTATATACTCTGCAAAGGAAAATGATATTTAGGCATATTTGTCGACGTGAAACAATTAAGACCATTGATGACCTGAAGTGGGGCCTGACAAATAGGCCTAACTAGTGGGATCTTCAAATTACTGCTTTGATTAGAAACTAGCGAAGTGCAATTCTACTTTTGGGAGCTAAAAATTCGAGCAAAATTTGCTTTTGAAATGCTATCTAAACAATGGCCAAGATTATATCTAGGTGAAGCAAGAGTACTAGGAAAAAAAATGCCTACTAAATGGCCCTATTTTCCCTATTGCAGGTTGGACCGCGCCTGACCAAGGACAGAGAAAGATTTCCTCCGAACAACATCCTTCTTATGTTGGCAGGGGCAGGGCTGCTCTGGATGGGTTGGACTGGATTCAATGGAGGAGATCCTTATGTTGTCAGTGTTGATGCTTCCTTGGCCGTGTTGAACACCCATGTATGCACCGCGACTAGCTTGTTGACATGGCTCATACTCGATATTCTATTCTTTGGAAAAGCTTCCATAATCGGCGCAGTTCAAGGCATGATCACTGGTTTAGTTTGCATCACTCCTGCAGCAGGTAATTTCACAAACCTACAGAGTTACAATTATGTTCTTGAAACACTATAACCCTGTCCTTGTAGTATATTACCCCGGTTGGTCCTAACGACATGGGGGTGCTAGAAGGAAGGACCAGAAACGAATCAAACCTTCGCATTATTTAGCACAAAGTGACTTTTCCTAGACTGTGTCCTTAATTGTTTGGCAGAATTAAACATTTGAGCAGCAAATTTGGCATGTTTGATGCATAAAATGCAGAGCTTACTTTAACAAAACTAGACATATAACATGATATATTAGGCTTGGTGCTACATACTTGAGTGTCTTTAACATATATAATACTATTTCACACACACACACACACAAGGAGAGAGCATACTAATATTTTACTTGGAAATTTGATTTAGGGGTTGTACAAGGATGGGCAGCTATTATAATGGGAGTATGCTCAGGCTCTATTCCCTGGTTCACCATGATGGTTGTGCACAAAAAGTCTGAGCTCCTGCAGAAAGTTGACGACACAATGGCCGTTCTACACACTCATGCCATTGCTGGAATGCTCGGAGGGATCCTCAGTGGTCTCTTTGCTAACCCGAAGCTAAACTTCTTGTTCTATGGTTTTTACAACAAATATGTTGGGCTATTCTATAGCTTTGAGAAAGGAAGAGTCCATCTCGGATTCAGACAGATTGGAGTACAACTTATTGGCATTCTATTCGTGATTGTAGTAAACATCGTGGTCACAAGTTTGGTATGCCTTCTGGTGCAACTCATTGTGCCTCTAAGGATGTCTGATGAGGACATGGAGATTGGGGACGAAGCTGCTCATGGAGAGGAAGCTTACGCTATTTGGGGTCAAGGTGAGAGGCTTGAGAATTCAAGGATCTCGACTTGCAATGACATTGAAATGCCGGGGAATAGGGCCAGGACAACCGGTCAAGTTGAGATGACATGAAGTTGCATCTAGTTTTTTTTTTTTTTTAGAGTGTTTTCAGAAACCCCTTAAGATCAGGGTCATTGTTTTTAAATGATCATTTCCAAAAGTCACAAGAACATAGGAGGTGTGTGTTTCCTTTTGTAGAGCACATACTCCCAAATAAGAGAGAATAAAAGCTCTACTGTTGCTTTGCTTTGTACTAGTTATTTATGTTAATGAACCACCACACTGAAACTTTTGTTTGTGACTTTCTGCATTTATTAAGAATCTTCTATACTTTTAACTAAGCATGCAATAAACACTTTTTCATTGTGTTACTAAACCAAATTAAATGTTCTTTAAAAGAATTTTCTACATTATGAGGGTTGCGTAGCATCTAAAAAGTTATGTTCATTCTGTTGAAAACAAGTAAGAGTTGCATATTTGTGCATTTCCTTGATATATACCTCAAAAGTGCAGCTTGATTTGGACCTCTTAATCTTGTTCATGCACAATTGACCATCCAAATCTTCCAACAGTCAGCATGTTCATATCAGACCTCTCCAGGAACGTCCCTCCTTCCATCACAACTCTGCGCAGATTCCATCATATGTCTGGCTCACCGACAGGCAGGTTCTCTTCGCTAAGTAAGATACCAGGCCTCGAACCTAGTCCAAAAGGGTGGAAGTACAAATAGACTCCAAATCCAAACAAACTTAAAAATATGTAAGTAATAACAACACACAATATGCGGATTCTGACATGTTCTCTTCGCCAAGTAAGATACAAGGTCTCGAATCCTGTCCAAAGGGTGGAAGTACAAATAAATTCCAAATCCAAACGGGCTTGTAAGGATTGGTGCAAAGTGTTTCTAGATACCTTTTATGTATTCAAACTTCCACTTGGAAATATGTGTAATAAGCACACACTATATGTGGGTTCTGGCAGGTTTTCACTAAAACACACCCTAATTCCCCTCAATCAGCTAAGTCATCTCTGGTTTGGAGCTCACCCCATGTCCCTCTCTAATCTTTCATTTCATTATGTGGTTAGCAGTTCAAAAGGGGTTAAAAAAAATAAAAAAAAAAAAAAATAAAATAAAAAAAGAAAGAAAGAAAAGAAAGCCATGTCTTTCCTTCACATTGGAAACCATTGTTGCCTTAATTTGGTTCTCATCTTTCGAATCCCATTCACACCTCTTCTTCAATTGCTAATTTAACTCTCCAACTTAATTAGTCATTTATTCAAAATAGTTTTATGTTATCAGAAAACTGAAAACAAAAACTATACAATAAAATTTTGTTTGGTTTAGTTTTATGAAAATTTAGTTATAAAAATGCTTGTTTTTTAAGAACTATAAAAGATTGTTCTTTATGAATTGTTTTTTGGTTTTTGAGTTATTGAAAACTGTTTTCAGAGTTACAAATCAATTAGACTTACAAATCAAGCAGACCTATGCATTTGGTGATTTGAAAAGTAGTACAAATAGCTTATTTATATGCTAAAACAATGCGGTCAATAAATGCTATATAAGAAAAATGATATGTGAGAATATAATTCTATTGTGTGTTTAAATAAATATATCATGTTAATAATATGTTCAATAACAATATCCACTAATACAATTAATTTGTGAAGAGGTTTATCATTCCAGTCTAATTAATTCTCAATAACATTGATTATCTTTATTTATTTTTTTTTAAGTAGAATCATATTTCTTAAAAGAAAAACAAAAAAAATAAAAATTGTTGCAAGGACAAGAAAAAAAAGTTCACTTAGGTATATACCAAAATTTGGTATGTTTGGTGGCACAAAATCGGGATGTTGGATTTGGAATCAGAAAAAATATAGCATAAACATAACATCAGTTAATTTGTGAAGGGATTTATCTAATAATTATAAAGAAATATTGAAATTTAAATTTTGTACAACAATTTTTATTATTATTGATTTTTTTTATATTTTAAAAAATAAAAATTTGTGACTGAGAAGATTGCTAATCCATTCCCTTTTGCTTTCCTCCTCTGCGAAAGAAAGAAAAGATGTTCACCAACCCAATAAAGTAGGGTAATTAGGAAACACAATAAGGAAAAATAGGTAATTAGATAAGACTAATTTGCACTATTAAATTCTAATAATAGTAATAGAGGACATTTTTAGTTATTTCTCCTGAAAAATTAAAAAAATAAAATAATACCCAGAAACAAGAATCATAAGGGGACTAAGGTTTCTAGGGTTTTTGCTAGTTCTTCTGCTGAAACAAAGCATGAGAACTTGGGTCGCCTCTTCAGCTACCCCTCCGTGGCTGATTCGTTCTCGCACAGCTAACAAAAATCTCTGCTCAGCTTCAAGTTCAAACTCCCAAAACCCCATCCTTACCGTCAATTCAATCCCAGAACCAGTGATTTCCGCTGAACCCGTCTCAGATTCTCGACTTTCAGACACATCTATCAACTCAGAATCATCATTTCCCGATAATCCCACTAGAAACACTGATTTTCCGGAGACACCCAGTCCAGAATCAAAATTTTCCGGGGAAATAACAAATTCTACCGAACCCAGCTACAAATACACCAAACCCATTACTGCAAAAAGAGATCTCACACAAACTCATGTAATAGATGTTCTTTTGAGCAACAAGCACGATCCTTATACTGCTTTGAAGTTCTTCCAATGGGCCGAGGAACAGCGGGGTTTCCTCCGTGGCGTCACTGATTCCTTCTGTGTTTTGCTCCACATTTTAAATGGTTCGTGGAATCATCAAAGAGTTGCTCGGAATTTGCTCAATCAATACGTCTCCGGTGATTCGGGCCCCAGTGCTACCGTTCTTGTAGATAATTTGGTTGATTGCTTGAAAAGGTTCGATCTGGAATCAGATTCGCGTGTTTTCAATTATTTGTTGAATAGTTATGTTAGAGCCAGACGTTATAAAGATGCTATGAATTGTTTTTATAGAATGATAGAGAGTGATATAAATCCGTGGGTTTCATGTATAAATATGCTCTTGAGTCGACTGGTTAGGAAAAAAATGATTAAAGAAGCACAAGATTTGTACTGTAATATAGTTTCAAGTGGAATAAACTATGATTCTGCTACGGTACATGTTGTGATGAGTGCTTGTTTGAAGGAAGGGATGGTAGATGAGGCACAAGAGTACTTTAAGGTGGCTAAGGCTAGTGGCCTTAAGCTCGATGCTGTCACATACAGTACTGCTATTCAGGCTGTCTGCAAGAATCCCAATTCTAAAGTGGCATGTGAGTTGTTGGAGGAGATGAAGGAAGTGGGGTGGGTTCCTTCCGAGGGCACGTTTATGACTGTAATTGGAGCTTGTGTGAAGCAGGGAAATGTGGTACAGGCTTTAAGGCTAAAGGATGAAATGGTTAGTAGTGGGAAGCCTATGAATTTGATGGTTGCCACAAGTTTGATGAAGGGGTATTGTGTGCAAGGAAATTTGGGCAGTGCTTTGGATTTGTTCAATAAGATTATTGAGGATGGACTTATTCCAAACAAGGTCACTTACGCGGTTATGATTGAAGGGTGCTGCAGGAATAGAAACGTGGAAAAGGCATATGAGTTATACACCCAAATGAAACTCCAAGGTATTCGGCCAACTGTCTATAATGTAAATTCGTTGATACAAGGATTCTTGAAAGCTGGGTTGTGGGAGAAGGCCACAAAACTGTTTGACGAGGCAGTTGAGTGTGGTATTGCTAACGTTTTCACATACAATAATCTCATATACTGGCTTTGTAAGGTGGGTAAGGTGAATGAAGCTTGTAGTGTATGGGAAAAGATGACGAATAAGGGAGTGACACCAAGTGTGGTTTCATATAACAACCTGATACTCGGGCATTGCAGAAAAGGGAATATGGACGTAGTATCAGGTTTATTTTCTGAGATGTTGGAAAGGGGTTTGAAAGCTAATGTAGTCACATATAGTATTATGATTGATGGGTATTTTAAAAAAGGTGAGACTGAACGGGCCCTAAACATGTTTGACCAAATGGTAGGGTTAGGAACTTCCCCCAGTGACTTCACCTTCAATACAGTTCTCAATGGTTTGTGCAAAGTTGGCCGCACATCTGAGGCAAGGGATATGCTGAAGAAATTTATAGAGAAGGGTTTTACTCCCATCTGTATGACTTACAATAGCATTATAGACGGTTTTATCAAGGAAAATGCCATCGATTCTGCATTGGCTGTTTATAGAGAGATGTGCGAGAGTGGGGTTTCCCCCAATGTTGTAACTTATACCAGTTTGATCGATGGGTTTTGCAAAAGCGACAATATTGATCTTGCTTTGAAAATGAGGAATGAGATGAGAAGCAAGGGCCTTGAATTGGATGTTACTGCATATAGTGTCCTCATAGATGGATTTTGCAAAAGAAGAGACATGGAAAGTGCACGCGAACTTTTTGATGAACTCTTTGAAGTCGGGTTATCTCCTAATGCAATTGTTTATAATAGTATGATTAGTGGCTTCAGAAATTTAAGTAACATGGAAGCCGCACTTGCCTTACATAAGAAAATGATCGATGAGGGGATTCCATGTGATTTGGGAACATACACTACATTAATTGATGGGTTGCTAAAAGAAGGGAAACTACTCAAAGCCTCAGATCTTTATGGTGAGATGCTTGGCAAGGGTATCGTGCCGGATGTCATCACATATACTGTTCTTGTACATGGTCTTTGCAATAAAGGACAACTAGAGAATGCACGCAAAGTCTTGGATGAGATGGATAAGAAGGATACAGCTCCTAATGTCCTTATTTATAATACATTGATTGCTGGATACTTCAGGGAGGGGAATTTCCAAGAGGCTTTTAGATTGCATGATGAAATGCTTGACAGAGGTCTGGTGCCCGACGACACAACTTATGATATTATTGTAAGTGGAAAGATTAAAGGGAATGACTCCCTTGTTGGGGCTTCATGTGTCTGAAAACTGTCAATGGCTACTATCTATAAGTTGCTTCCAGCTTTGTTTGGGCCCTCAAAGGAGAGAAATATCTTTGCCTGTGATATATTTTGTTGTCATGCTGCTCTATCTGGGAAGGTAATATTTATTTGTCACTTTCATATTGCAATTTTTCTTTAATATATTGGTCAGCACTCTGGCACGGTGGCTTGTACGTGACCTGAATATCTCATTTTCCTACTTTTTCCTTCTAGGTTCATCATCCCTCCTTGGCTTATCATAGCAAAAACTAATTACTAAAAATATTGTCACAGATATGTCCAATCTTTGCATTTTGCAGTCTTGGGAAGGTATGATTCATACACTCACTGCATGTCTTTTATATAATTTATTTATGTGGTCGTGATTTTTTTATTTTTTTTTTGTATATGGTTATGGCTTGATCATCTAATAATCATGAGCTACTTCATTGTCACCATTCAGGTTTTACGCTAAAAACTCTGTGTATATATATTTATATATAGTAATCAAAAGTTGTCTTTTTCTGGTTCAACAACCTGAAACCTAGGTATGTAATGTAATAAAATGATAAGCTGCAGGTTGAATATAAATGAATATCAGTTGTATTTTGTTGCAAATTGCAGGGTTTTTTTTTGTTCTTTCAAGAGCTTTATAATAAGTAAAATAATTTCACAAATAAAAATGCACAAGATTTCGCAATTTATTGACGCATGTTGGCATTGGAGGGATTTGGTATGGTTCCCTCCCTTGGTGCATTATACATAAATTTGCAATATTTATTAAAAAAATGATGAATGTTTATGAGAGCTACAAACAGTTTAGAGAGTGTTTATGTTGGAACCTTGAAGTAACATTGAACCTGAAGTTCAGAAGGTACTTCGGACACAATTTCGCTCACTGAAGTTATTAATAACCTATAAGACACGCCAAGATGAGAAGATATGTTCCTGAATTTGAACACATCTATAGACTAGGACGGATCTAGAAAACACTAATTATTTCCTTAGGATTACATGCCTGTATAACAGTGTTCTTTGCAGTTTTAGTCATCTGCAAGGACTGGTATTGGAGGTTGTTGAGTTCTGTTCTTCCAGAAACTGTGTAGGGATGCATAAAGGGGAGTAATGAAGGAATTAATCTGAACGCGATAGTGAAATCCAAAGGGAAAGTGGAGCCTAGGTGGTCAATGATTTTTTGAGGTCTTAAGGGAAAAACAAGTTTTCCAAATTGCTCTGCTTAATGTAATAATGGAGTCCTTAACTTGGTAGGTCTCGTCATAAATGGGAGGAAGTGTTGTCTGTTTATAGCAGTGGGTTTTGTAGGACCTTAAGGTAAGAAAAGCTCATTTCTGGGTCAACATGCAACAAAATATTTTGACAAAGTCCAATATTAGACATGGTATCCTAAGACTACATAGATAGAACCAATTTTGGTGAGGGCATTAAATGTTATATGGTGCAATTTTGGTGTGGTGGTTGGGCTCATTAAATGTGATAAGGTGGGTTGTGAATTTCAAAATTTTCAAGTATCGTGGTTTACTCCCTCTCCTGCACCCCATCTACCGTTTTATCCAAGTGGGGCTCTTGATGAAATCTGAATTCTAACCTCCATGCTACAAATACCCCAATATGTTGTTGGACATCATCTATTTATTCTACACTGCCCAAGTCCTGCTCCCAACTTGAGGTGTAGAACAAAGTTGTGATGTGAGATATGCATGTAGTGAGGGCTGTATAAGACTCTTGGAGAATCTTCAAGGTGAGTTGCCTGTAGATGAGGTATGTGTTGGAGGTCCTCAAAGTGACGTGTGCCTGTGGAAGAGTCCCCGAGGCTTATCAGTAGAGATGAAGTCATCAACTTAAATTATGCCACCTGTGAGGTCTTGTTCTTTATAGGTAAAGACATCCTCATTATCACGTGTGAAAGTGCCCGTGGAGAAGGCTAGGGCCTATAGTTATTTTACTCGGATAGGATTTCTTTGATTTTCTCAAAATGTTCGGTTGATCTCTTTGAGAGTGTGACTTGGAAAGTCGACCAGGCCAGTCTCCCGTTGACTTCAATTTCATGTACCCAAAATTGCAAGCCAAGCACATATGGAGATCCAAAAAGTTAAGTGTACCGGAAAAGCGAAGCACTTGAAATTTTTAAGTACCTTGACCATTTAGAGTTACTCAACACTAGGTCCTGCCCCCAAAAGGCTGTCTAGTAGAGACAGTAGATGGTGTTAAGAGGGAATCTAAGAGTGAATATTTCTCTTGGGTTAGTCTACAACCTTTCTCTATCTTTTTTATTGTACCTATATTACACTAAAAAAGCTACTCATTTTTTATTTTTTTATCATAATGCCCCTGAGACTTATGAAAAGTGAGAACTCTCAGGTTCTGTGTAATACTTCTCCACTTAATAATGAAGGCAAGGGACATGAGGATCAGACACTTTATTTTTCTTCCCCAGTTTCTTTAACCTATTCAAGAAGGCCATAATACAACCTTTTAAATTCCTTGATACAACACTTCTTATGATGATATCTGGTCTGGTCTATAGAAACCTTTATATAAATTGTCTTGGCTTCCCCACAACTTGAAGACGCTTTAATCCCTTGAACCAGATAAAACAAAAACAATTAAGCACAAAAAGCTAAGGAGCACATGGATGCTTAGAGGTCTCAAATTAATCCACATAATGATGAAGGTTAGACAAACAAATTTGAAGCATATCCAATGTATCAATTAATGCACCCTTGCCAATATGAACAGCATCTTGACCTGAGCCAGCATGGAGGACCTCATTCCTATCCTATTCCACCAGATTTTCCACATACAAACAATGAACAACACTCCTCTGGTCTTCCTATCTTTATATTTGTCCTTCGAGATGAACCAGTGCACAAGCTGATCAAATGAAACAATAGAACCACAGTTCCAGTGGATCACATCCGCTATCCTATTCCAAACTTTCTGAGTAAAAGAGCAAGCAAAGAATAAATGATCTATGGAGTCATGGTCCCGCTTGCAATTATAGCAGATTGGAATAGCCATAATTCCATTGATCAAGTAAGGGATCTTATCTTGAAGAATAAGAGAACTAGTATATCTTGCAGCAGACACAAGTTCTGCCCACTCCCTTTTAGAATGATGAACTCTGCATAAATTCCAGAAAATTTGGAACTTTGGAAGGCCTTTCTTCAAAACAATCACATCAGGTCCTTGATGAATAGGGATAGAGGAAATTCTGCACCATATGTCCTTGACTTCTGGCATAAGGAATTGAGGTCTACTAACCTATCTTCCATTGTGGAATTTTTATTTTTTTTTTTGACAAGTGACCCACCTTCCATTGTGGATAATCTGTTTAAGAGGACACTCCGTAGGTAAATCAAAAGTGTCTAACTATATGATAACAATAAGTCTGAATTAAAGATCTTCCTTGCCACCATGGATCAATAAGCAGCTTCAGATAAGACTCCTCCCCAACTTTAAAATTCACATTAGCAGCCATTATATCTCTAACCTCAATTAAGCACTTCCAGAAGGCAGAGTGATAATGCTCATGAGTACAATACCACAGAGACTGAGATTGTAAGTAAAGAACCCTCATCCAGTTACATAAACTGCTATTTTTATTCTGAATCAGATCCCAGAAAAGCTTACACTTAGCTGCTTTGTCTAATCAGATTCTGGGTTTGTTCCGATAGTCTTCTCATCAAAATGGGTTACCGAACACAGTGAGCAGATCATGGATAGTCTTAAGGGACGCGGATCCATACATAGACCAATTAGGTTTGATGGAACTAACTATAGCTATTAGAATGCTAAGATGAGAGCCATTTAAAATTAATTGATGACAAAGTCTGGTAGTCCCTAAGAACTAACCATAGCTATTAAAATGCTAGGATGAGAGCCATTTAGAGCATGCAGGCATCTGATACATCATATTTGTGCATTCTAGTGATCTTTGATTACTAGAGTTTTGTTTTTTTTTTTTTTTGTTTTTCATCCATCATAATACATCTAATATGGTGAGTGAATCAATCCTTTGTTGAACAATTGATTGCTGCGTTTCAAAGTTTTCACAACAATCGTACTAACAAGGGCAAACGTTGCTAGAAAGGAGAGATCAGAAATCCATGAAGAAGTAGATCGCGTGAGGAGCGGATTTGTTGACAGATTAGTAGCTTGAGGATCGGGGCTTGATCTTGCTTAAGTCTATCGGTCAGGAGGAACTAAGGGATTCTTGGGGCAGAGTCTGGTAACTTAGTTGTAAGTTGTAACCTCTTTCTTTTGGTCTGACTGGTTACCCATGGTTTTTTTCATTTGGGCTTTCCATGAAAAATTCCTTGTGTACTTGTGTGTGATTACTTTATTTTTACTGTCTTATATTTTCACATGCATGTTAAACAACATGTACTGGTTGAATTACTTGCCTGCTATATAGTTTCATTTTAAATTGTTAGTTTCGTTATAATTTAAAATTCTGTTAAAGTAATTTAGAAATTAATAGAGTTTTAATTTATGACCTATTCCCCAACCCCCTCCCTTTAGGCTTTAGATCACACGGCCTTGTACTACTCTACTCAGAGAGTAGGTTTGGTTGGATAGTCTTCTCAAACTTAAAAGGGCAAACTTGAAAGGAACTATTAGTGATTCTGTCTTGCCATCAGAATCAAAGCAATTCAGCTCCTCTTGATAAGATGTCGAATTTTTTTTTTTTTTTTTTTGTGGTACATCAAATTATTAAAGGACAACTCAGTGCTTATCAAGAATTGGTCCTCCCTCATAAGAAGTTTATTATTCTTCTATACCTTATCTTTTTAATTGTATTTTATTATTATTATTATTTTTTTCCTAGTTGGTACTCCATACATGCCTCCACTGAGGCTCGAACCTCTGACCTCTCTTTGAGAAGTAAGGGTTTGGTACCACTAGGCCACTGGCCTATTGGTAATTGTATTATTATTAGATCAGCTGAAACACTCAAAGAATGTAATGACAAGTAAAGAACATTATGCAAATGACATGTAAAGGCATAAAGTAAATGACATGAAAAGAAATGGCTTTGAGAAATTTTGGTTCTCATAAATGCTTATTTTTTGTGTACCTGTAAAAAGGCATAAAGGAACGAGTTATAAAATGTATTTGTTTTTGAAAAAGTAGACATGGCATGAATATGATCGTGTTATTATCATGGAATGTGATGAAAAGCAACATGAAAGGTGTTTCGGCTTAAACCCGCTTACAATATGTCCCCAGCGGAGTCGCCGGCTGTCTCACTTGAGGACTCGCTGGAAGCCGATCGCGACGAAAATGCCGGGTCAAGTAGTCGGCTAGCTGTCGTGAGGTCCGTGAACTTTAAATGTGACGGGGGTGGAAGGTGTGATGTGATGGGGTAGGGCCAATGTGTTCGGAGTCGCCACCTAACATCGAGTTTTGGCGTGTTAGGTCACCTAAGGGTACTCTAATGAGTGAAATGGAAAGAAGTCATGAGGGGGCCCTAGTGTGACTCTCTACTAGTCGGCGTGAACCAAATCAGTGGGTTCGGAGTTTGGTTACTCTTGGGAAGGTGTTAGGCACCACATGACGCATCATCCAAAACATAATGATAAAAGTGCCGACATGACATCTAAAAGGTGGTAGGATTTGAGGTTCATAATGTTGGCAAAAAGTGAATGACACTGTTAATTGGATTGGGTTCTGATTTCTGTGTGCAATATTCGGTAAAGTAAGGAACACACACACCCATTTTGAGCCTACTTGGGGATTGAATCCTCGACCTCTTGTTGGGAAGTGGAGATTATACCACCTAGGCCAAGGGCACGGTGGATATTATTTACTTATAAGATACCTGGTATAGTATAGACATGTCAACTATTATTGTAGAGAAGTTTTCTATATTGCAGTATTTTGGAGCTCAATAAATATTTTGAGCATGCACGCTTCTTTTTTTTTTTAATGAAAAATAGGCATGCACGCCTTCTGAACTTCGATTGGGTGCTATATGCCTACTATATTCTGTGTTCCAACTGGACATTGTATTTTATAGTTACAAAGCTGACATCTTATTAAGTTATTATTTGTTAACTAACTTCATATCACCTCATTCTTGGTTTTCCTTATTCTCTTAATGGTGTTCAGTTCAGCCGGGGACAAGATATTGATGAGTTCGTGTCAGGACTCAGGCTGCGTAAGGGTTTAAAGGACTGGAAACATTGGACTTTCGCTAGAACCAAGGAGACTATTTCCTATCTGATGCTTTTAGACACGGTTAGATTGAACTGCCTTTTTGGAATTGTTATGCGGTGGTCTTCAATCGGCGACAACCGACTGTAAAACCTATGTCGTATCTTTGATGAATAGATTGGAGAGAGAGAATCATGTGGCTGACCTTATTCACATGGAATAAAGGCAAAGATGATGATGGTCTTCGATTCCTCCCGGTAAATCATGGGTGGATAACCAAGTTGTATATATTTCTTTCAATTAGACCAATTGTAACATATATTGATATGGTTAAATTAATTGTTGTCCTCCAGTAAAAGTGGAACTGGCTATGGTTTCTATGTCTTCTAAGAAGGTGAAAATATTTCTTCCTGTTTGGTTTGGCTTCTCATGAATATTATCTTGTTTTCTTGAAAGATGGAAAAGAACAAAGACAAGACCCTGAGGACACTTTTAAGTTCAACCATAAAGACAAGCTTTAGTTGTGATTGAATAGAAAATTTCTACCAATATCAAACTTCCACCATTTTAAGTTCAGCTGCTTCAACCACAAGACCCTGAGGACACAAAGCATAATATCTACATGGAACCAGACTCATTAAGAAGGGCAACATAGACAAACACTTGTGATATTTATATTATTATTCGATAGACCTATCAATTCTTGGTGCCATAAACTTATTCCCCATGTCCCTCTAGTTTTTATTTATTTATTGTATGATAGTTTCTTTTTTATCTATGAACTTGTATATAATGTGCCCACAGATGGTATAATCTAAATATTTTCTTAATTTATATTCTAACGGTTAGAAGTATGCGACTTTATTAGAGAAACTTGTGCAAGAAATCACAACAGATAGTCCTAACAAGTGATGAGATGACACTTTTCTCATCGTCGGATTTAAACTTGTAGTTATTATGAGAAAAAAGAATTTTGGAGAGGATCGGTTTTCACAATCTATACCCTCTTCGTAAGTGCATAACCTAAAAAAATTGTATAATTGTAAAAGAAGATAAGTAGCTAAATACAGCCCTATGACGTTGTTAAACATAGTCCCTTGCATTAGAGGAGATGTTTGTTTTAGCGAAAAGCCATGAACAAAGAAAGCCCTAATTTTTACAACTTGAGCATGTGAAAGAATATGATTCTTTTCATGCAAAGATTGATATGCATAACAATGCGATATATGGAATGGTAATTTGCATAAATTATAAGAAATTCTATCCAACAACTTAAACAAGAAGTAAAGAAATTCTATCCAAAAGCAAAAACTGTCTTATTCTTAAAGTGAAGCCACATTGCTAATCTGACTTTGCCCGCTAAGAGTCCTCAATTGGTAAAGTGTTTAGAGATGGCAATAAAAGAAGAAAAAGATAATAGATGACGCAAGGAAAAGTCGCGAATTTATCAAATTTTATTGTCGGATATTGTTATTGGCTATTGCGTAATTGTGTTACAATAAACCAATCTCATTTAATAGATAAAATTGAACAATAGCGACATTATAATGCGTTGCATATAAAAACTTTGTATACATGCACATGGAATTTGTGATCGCTTGGCCATTATGTTTAGGAAAAATGGTAACTAAAATACTAGACACAAGTGCACAATTATTGTCTCATGCATGTTAAGTGGGTGGGCAAGAGAAAAAAAAAATCTAGTGTCGCTGCTTTTGGTTCTCAATGAATAAGAAGAACACAACGAAGCGTATTTGCATCCCCCAAGCAAGCAACAAAACAATTCCTCATGGGAATTTCTTTTCTTGTTTTTACTTTAGTTGACAGTTATTTTATTCTGGTCCCCTCGCCCCCACCAACACACACTATCTTCTATGTAATAAATAAATATACATATGTTACTTGTGTCACGGAGCTTGTGTCGTATGGTGATAGATGACCACTTTTTATTAGTATTTTATATTATTTGTGATGAATAAAATATTATTTTAAAATTTTTAGGTTAATTTCACTAATACCCCATCAGGTTTGGCCAAATATTACTTTGAAACGACTTTCGAAAATTAGTATTACCTATACTACAAATGTTTGTTCCGTTTTTCATTCACACCCCAACCGTCACATGAGTTCTGACATCACGTAAATTAACTAAAATACTCTTTAACTTTGTCAAAATGGTTCATTGACCTACAAAACTAGATTAAAAGACTAAATTATTCCTAAATAATTTTCAATTTACAATTATATTATATTATATATATATATAAATGGAAAAACTATTGTACAAGACTACTCCCACTAAAATCTGCCACCTCATAAAAATTATGGATATTTATGTAATTTTAAAAACCAACCCACTCATTTCTCACCCACATTTCTCTTTTCCCTTCACATTGTCTCCAAACCCTCTCACCTCGGCAGTGGAGGTTGTGGAGATCAGATAACCCAATTGTGAATTAAAAAAAAACCAATTGGGTTATTAATCTCTCATACACAAACCAATCAATCATAAACTAATTCAATAAAAAAAAAAATTTGAGACCAATAATTAACAAATTTGAAACCATTGCAAACATAGCCTTTTGCTTGGCCGGCGTTGTCCCAAATCTGGGCCGTTTGAAATTCCACTCCGATCGTGGCCTTGGAGTGCGAGCGTAACTTGACAAGAGATTCGTTTGGCCGGCAGTGTCCCAAATCTGGGCCTGACCCCCTCTCCTTCTTCATGTGAATCCATATATATATATATATATATATATATATGACTATGTATATGTATATATAGATAAATGAGAGGTTGTGGATCGAAGATCAGACAGCAAGGAACGACGTCACGAAGAGAGAAGAAGGTGAAGCCGTCACCGTCGAGGATTTGATACCAGAGGTTTGAGGTGGCGATGGAGAAGAGATGCCATTCGATCACAACCCCTAGGTTTGGTAGTGGCCGGTGGTTATTTGTGGTTGAGAGATAGGGAAATTTTAGCTGTCTGTCGAGGTTGGGATGGTAGTGGTAGCAGCGCCAGTGTAAGGGGTGGTGGTGGCTTCGTTGATTGCGATTTTGACAGTGTCGATGTCGATATGGGTTTTTGTTTGTGGGAATGATTATTTCAGATGAAACCTAGTTGGAATCGTTGCTGGTCTTCATCATCTTTGGAGTAGTTCCGTCGCCGTCTTTGTTGTTGCTGGTGCAAGGCCACCGAGCCTATTTGTATATATATTTGTATATATATAGATATATATATACACACACACATATATATTTTAGAGAGATAAATTGTTGGGGGCAATTTTGTCTTTTTTAATTTGTTGATTTTTAGCTTAAAATGAATTTTAAAAATAAGGGTAAACTTGTCTTTTTGCACTTTTTTAACGATGTTAGTGACGGAAAAGTAAAATTAGACCTAAGTGATAGTAATTTTCGAAAGTTGTTTTAGAGTGATATTTGGCCAAACCTGAGGAGGTGTTAGTGAAATTAACCCTAAACTTTTTGTTTATCATATATTTGTTGACAAATTTAAAGGAAAAAAAAAAGTTTCAAAAGAGCTCTTTTTATTAAAAATAAAAGAAACAAAACCGTACATATTTTCTTACAAAAATAAATAAATTACATATTAAAAACAAGAAAAAAAAAAAAAAGAAACAAATTTTTTTTTAAATTTGTAGCCATTTTTGGTTTTCAAACATGAGAGCTGTTGAAAATTTTTGGGTCAACAATAGCCTAGGCTAGCTTTGGCTAGCCATTTAGCCTGCGGGCATGGGCTTGCCCAGGCCACAATCATGGCCAGTTGGCTAAAAGACTAGCACACCGCTTGTCTTTATAATTTATTATTGGATCAAGCAGAAATACCCCCATCTACTATCAATATAGTGCAAAATAAGTCCATGTGCAGTGTAAAACCCTCCTATACTATCGATTTGGTGCAAATACCCCCCTCGAGACTTAAAATGACTATAATGCCCTCATATCAGTAATATAAATTAATTTATAAAAATGTAGGCCATGTAAAATGATAGTTTTGTCCCATGCTCTCTCCCTTAGAATTTTTCAGTAAAATGACTCTGCGCTTTGGCAACCTATCTTAGTATCTATGTGCCCCGATTACGATCCTTTTTTCCTTCTCTACCTCTCTTTCTCTCTCTACCCACAACTGTCCACCCTCTTTCGATCTCTACCTTTACCACCATAGTTACTACTACCACCATATTACAGCCCATCAACTCCGCCCTTATGCCACGGGCAAATCAAATAACACAAATATATATACATATATATATATATATGCATTCAATGAATCAACGGGCCAGTAGCCTAACAGTATCAACCTCTTATTTCCCAAAGGAAGGTCAGGGGTTCAAGTCTCAGTAGAGACATGTGTGTGTGAGTACCAACTAGAATATATATATATATATATATATATATATATATATATATATATATATATATATATATATATGCATTAAATGTTTAATCTTGTTGGAAAGTATATATGCTTCATGTGACATTTAAGATATAATAAACCTTATACTAATGTGTCATGATATAATTAACAATATGCTAAGAAATCATTAATTAAATATGCAACTCTATATTTAATTAAATATGTAACATAAAGCAATAAAATAATAATAATAAATAAAGAACCTGTACAGAGGCTAGTATTGGATACTATGTCCTTAAGACAGATTCGCCCCGTTATGGTGTTTACGAACTCAGTGGCGTCTATCTGCCAGGATACAACGATCTACATCCACCAGTAGCAGCACTTCAAACTCGTGGATACGGCGAACCTCCTCCGTGTAATACTCTCTCTGACTCAAAATGGTTCGGACCAATCTTAATATGGCTCGATGAAATTGGATTAGAGTCTAAGTGGTTCGGACCACTTAACCTATGGTTTGAACCCACTTGGGTTGGGTTCAAGTCTAGAGAGGGAGATAGAAGAAAATGAAAAATTGAATAACCTGCAAATGATCCAAATGGGGGTATTTATGGAAACAGAAATGCATTTTCGGATTGGGTGCATCTCTTCATCATTGGACAAAACCATTGCAATAGGTTACAATGGTTCACATGGTGTCTATTCACCAATAGACACATCTATTCCAATAGGTTGCAATGGTTCACATGGTATCTGTTCACCACTAGACACATTTATTCCAATAGGTTGCAATGGTTTACATGGTGTCTGTTCACCAATAGACACATCCATTCCAATTGGTTGCAATGGTTCACATGGTGTCTGTTGGTTTTGAGTTGCAACCCTTTAGAAACAGATGCAACTATTTGAAAAACAGATATAACCCTTTAGAAATAGATGCAACCCTTTGGAAAAAAACAAAAAAAAAAAAAAAAACTAACTTTTAATTTAAATTCAAAAACC